CATCTCCATCATGGGCTCCGCGCTGCAGGCCGGGTCAGAGAACCTCGTCGCTCTTATTGTCGGGCGGTTCGTTGGCGGGACTGCGGTCGGTATGCTGACGTCTACGATTCCAATGTACGCCTCGGAACTCGCGCAGGCGAGACATCGTGGGAAATTGTCGGGTCTACTACAATGGATGCTTAGTTGGGGGTTCCTGGTTGCGCAGTGGTTGGGGTATGGGTGTTCATTTGTGACGAATGATTTCTCATGTGAGCCTTTTCTTCCTTGGTTCTTTTCTCTTCCTATACCTCTCTCTCTACCTCAAGCTTCAGCTTGTTGAACCCGTTTGGTGAACTACCAGGGCGTATGAGGCTAACATACCAAAAGGGCGCTTCCCACTAGCCTTCCAATGCATCCCCGGCATAGTCATCGCAACAGGAATCTACTTCCTCGAAGAATCCCCCCGCTGGCTCGTCGAAAAGGGCCGCTACGCCGAAGCCCGCCTCAGCCTAGACAAACTCCGCGTCGGCGTCGACGAAAAGGCCGTCGACGTAGAATACAACGAGATCCGCCACGCCGTCCGCACCCAATCCGCCCTCCGCGAGAACGGCAACCTCTGGAAAGCCATCATCACCAAGCCCTCCTGGCGGAAACGTCTCCTCCTGGGCTGCGGCGTCCAGGCTTTCTCCCCGCTCTCTGGTATTAATGTAATCAACTACTTCGGTCCCCGAATCTACGAGCTCCTAGGTATCGGAACTCAGACCTCCCTCATGATAATCGGCATCAACGGCGCGTTGGGCATCATATACAACACAGTCGGTCTCTGGATGCTCGATCGCATCGGCCGCGTAAGACCGCTCATCGCCTCCGCCGTGGGGCTAGCAGCCGCACTCCTAGTCAACGCCGTCCAATTCCAGTACCTAGACCGCTCCAACGCAGACCAACTACGCAGCATGGTCGCTATGAACTTTGTCTTTGGCTTCTTCTTCACACCCTTGGGGATCATATCCTGGGTCTACCCAGCCGAGATCTTCCCCCTCGAGATCCGCGCCCTCGGCAACGCGCTCACGACGTTTACCAACTGGACCATCAACCTTATCCTCGTCTCCTTTTCGCCGCAGGCTCTCACGGCCGTCGGGTTCAAGTTCTTTTACGTATTTTTCGTGTTCAACGTCATAGCGGCGCTGTGTTACTACTTCTTTTACCCCGAGACGTCGGGCCGCACGCTCGAGCAGATGGATGAGCTGTTTGGCGATTATGTGCCAATGTCGGAGCAGAGTGCTCTGGGAACTGTCATCACCGGGACGGACAGCTCAAGAGTAAAAGGTGGCACGTATGGCTCGTTTGCAGTACACGAGCGCGTATCCTCGACTGCGGTGTAAAGCGGTATCGAGAGCTGTCAGATGACAGATGTTGTTGTTTTGTCAATCGTTCACAACTCGGCCAGGGGTAATGCAATAGAATGGGCTTGTAAGTGGATATAGACCATAGCTACACTTAGTCAGAACATTCGTTATTGCAATAAGCCTTTGAGAACAATCTCATTCGAGAAACTAGCTTACAGGTGAACGGAAATAGATGAAAAATCTGGTTCGCTTACACTAAGAGTAGGTCGGCAAGTGACTAAACTCGGGTACACAAGAACAGCTGAACAATTACAAGGTTTGCATTACTAGTTATATAAACAGCCATCAAGCGTGAACTCGTCGCCAGCGGTACAATATGAATGCCAAGGACAACAAACTCGCCATGAAGTCATGACCAAAGCCACACCGAAACGTACAGGGCTCATTTACAAAAGCACCATGCTCTCATTCACACTCGCTCCCGTGGAATTTGACAACAACGAGGGCGCTCACCAGCTACCAGGCCAATCCTCAATGTCGAGTTCCTCCTCAATTGTGCTTAGATTGCTCGAGGTCGTTGAAGGTGACAGATCGGACGGAGGCGTGGTGTCCGATTCATGACCGAACATCATCGTCTCATTTAGCATCTGAAGGGCTGTTCGATCTTCCACATCCAGGGAGTCGTAAAACGTGCGCAGCTCCTTCAGCAGCGCAGAATCGCTCGCCGCACTCTAGTCGGTCTTCTCCAACAGTGCCTCGTCCTCGGACTCGTCTTCGATGCTCCAGTCCTTGAAGCCCTCGCCCCGGACCCAGCTGATACCCTTTCTCCAGCTGCCCTCCTTAACAGCCCTCGCGTCTCTTTCGTAGACGACACCAGTCAGCATCAGCGCCATGATAAAGACCCACACGTCTCCGCCCTTCATGGCCTTCCACCACCTCCTCTTCACGCCGACCTTCCACAGCGAGTCGACGCTCACGCGAGCCGAGTACAAAAAGACACCGCGTCCGCTCTTGCGCTCAACCCACGCCCACAGACCGGCGACGAAGCCTCCAAAGAAGAATCTCTGGGTCGGCAGGAATGTGCGAGGGAACCACTGTTGGAAGAAGCAGATGCTGGCCCAAGCAGTGGAGATGGCGCCGGTCAAGAAGGTGCTCATGCGGAGCGACTTGGCGATGACGCGCTGCAATGTTGTGACAGGAGCATTGTACAGCGAGCGGAACCGTGGGACAAAGGTCATGACGGAGTAAATGACCAGGAAGAACTTTGTGAGGCCGGGGAATGAACCGAGCCAAAAGTTGAGGTAGGTCCGTAGACAGGATGGGTCGGATGGATGAAGAGTGGCACATGATAGCGAAGTGATGATGGGATGTGCTGATGAAGTAAGAGGAGCAACAGCGCTGAGTGTTGGCGGCAGTGTCTCCTTGTTGGGGAAGAGAGTTGGTGATACAAAGGGTCTGCTGTTGTTAGAAAAGGGGTGATTATTGGAGGATTGCGGGAGACTCACGGCCAGTTCAGCTTTGCCATCTGGGCAAGGTTGTCGACAATCTCCATGGCCTTGGGCCACTTGAGATGAGATGGGTAGTCGTTTGGCCTGGCGTGAATGTATGCTGTTGAGTTTTTGAAAATGAAGTTTCCGTATGACTGGTCAGATGTTAGTCTTCTGCAATTCAACCCTTGTTTGCTAGCATCTCTTACCTCGGGGAAGCAGTCCCGGTCAAAGACAACAGCATGAAGCAGCTGTCCAAAGGCAAAAGGTTGGATGAGCCAGCTGCCCCACCACCAAGGCCTCTCCCTCTTGATCTTTCCGCCGTTCTTGAAGCCCCAAATCATACCCTCCTCTTCACACAGGTTCCAGCCGAACTCGAGCGCTCTGAACAAGGTGTAAATGGCAATGGTAACGCGCAGCTGCTGGGCGGGGTACACGCCGAGGAATGCACCAGCGAGAGACGCGCCAATGGCCGGAGCGAAGGGCGACGTCAAGGTCGCAGTTGTGCGCGGGTTACGCTGGCGGAAGGGTGCCGCTGACGGGTCGAGGAGGTGCGCTCGTAGGCGGGTGAGGAATCGGAAGAGGATGCGGTAGAGAAGAAGGATTGCCGAAAGAGAGAGGGAGAGTCGGAGGGTGGGCGACTTGTGGAGGGGCTGCTTTTTGGCATTGGGACTGGAAGTGCGCAAGGCACGTACGTCAGCATACGGTCTTTCTCGCATGTATGGTTGAGCAGAGCAGCAACTTACTCTGGCTTTCCGCCTAGAAATTTGGTCGAGATAAGAGCCCAACCCTTCAAGGCCATGGCTGTTCCCACGAAGACGCGGAGCGAATGACGCACGGCGCGAGCATTGTAATCGTCGACAGCCCTCCCGGCACCAGCCCCAGCACCAGTACCAGCGGGAGCAGCGGCAACGGCATTGCCTTGCCTTGCGGCGGCAGCCTTCTCACCATCGACGATGCGCTCGACAGCAGTGACGCTCGGCGCAGCTCTCTTTAGCAGCCGCGAGCGCGACAGGACGTACTTGTGTAGGGTCGCATACTCCTTGGCGGAGATTGTGTATCGCAGGGTGTTTCGGAGGATGGGATCGGTGATGCTATTGCGTGAGGGTGGTGGGCGAGACGAGGGACCGCCTGCCGAGGGTCGGGGGCTCGAGGTTTGCGCGGGACGGGAGGCTGCGGCCGGGCCTGGCCGCGACGACGAGGTCGCGGCAGAGGCCATCATCGCGAGATGGGATGGTGGTGATGAATGAGGGCGATGAGATGTCGGGGAGAGATGGGCGGCGCCAAAAGAAGATTGACTCGGGTACTGGGTTCGAAGTCGTCAACGGGAGGTAGTTTGTTGTAATATCGTAGTCGTAGTGGTGTATGCTTGTGTGTGGTGTGTGTCCCTCGGTGGTTGGTGGTTGGAAATGTGCTTGGTCCGAACTGGAGTAGCTCTTGGTTAGCACCTGCCAATGCCGAAACCTTGGATTAGACTGCCAATCGCCCGAGTGCGTGTGCACGGCGATGGCTTCAATGACGAACCTACTGTGGTCGAGATACCAGAGATAAAGGGGATGGGTTGCGCGTGTGAGTCGTGGAAGACGCAATTAAGTTGGAACAGCGACTGCTGAAGGTGAGGCGAGAAAGAAGCAAGAGGAAGTTAAAATGGTGTAGAGCGTAGAAAGACAAAAAGCAAAGAAAAAAGCAAGACCCAAGTGGTTGCTGCCGGGCGTGGTGGTTGTGATGGGAGGAAGGAATGCAGAACTGAGAAACAGTACCGAACGGACTGGACGGAGCAACCTGGAACCCCTCGAGCCAAGGTCCCACGGTCCAAGGTCCCAAGGTTCCGTCCGGGGGGGGGGGGGGGCCGTCCAGAAAGTGTCACGGGAAACATTTCCTTGGGCGGCCGAAAGCACAAAAAGCACATGCCTCGGCTCTCAGGCCCAACCTGTAATTATTGACCACCCAATCCCACTCATCCCTCCAGTTACCTTTCCGGGGTCCAGCACCTACATACTCCGTACTCACTACCCCCCCTAGACTCCGTTCGGGGGCCCTAGGGCAGAAACAAATGGAAACGGGAGCCTCCCATAGGCCCATGCAACGCAACTAATTCCCAATGGCGTCTTAATCGTTCCCCCCCCCGCAGCAGGGGACTCCCCCACACTCGTCACTTGCAGACAACCCAAGTTTAATGACTACTTCATGCATCATCCACACTCACAAACTTACCTACCTTCACACCGTACACAAACAAAGTCGCGTCTTGATTTCTCGTCTTGTTGACTTTGGATGTTGACTATGACTGTTGGCGTTACAATCGGCAAGGAAGGCGCTTTTTTGGTGTCGCGTTTTCTGCCAAAACTCATCTCAAACTCATCGTCTTCCTTACATGGGCCGAGGCACGTAGGGATCACCTTCTTCCTCACTTACATGATCATCTCACTGAGAATTTCACACTGACTCTCATGATGAGTCTCATTATGAGTGTCTCATCTTCCAGTCACACTTCATCTCTGTCAATGTTCAATGTGTCCCATTTTCGCAATGCACGCATTTACGGCCATTCCGTTGCTAAAAACCCACTTCCCATGCCCTTGTCAGTCTCCGCGTCTTTGCCTTTGCTTCCTCGGCAAAACAGAGCAGCTTCTGCTCTCTCAACTCATCCTGGGTATCCTTCATCCCCACAACCGGCAGCCATGTATGTCCTGGCCTATTTTTTGTCCCCCCGTCGCCGCAAATTTTTGGTTCCCCTCATATCGTCATATGCCATCGTCATTCGTGGCCACCGAGGTAGAGTGAGGATATGTTCCTCTCTGAGTCAAGATAACCCGAGAATCGTTGTAGACTCCCTGGCCTCTCATCACCCAAACGCCCTTCCATTCCTGCCAAGCGTCCCGAAAAGGGTCGGTCGGCATCGAAAAGGGACGAACATCCACCAGGACAGTCCTCGTCAGATTGTTTGCACGCGCATACAAAGGAAACTGGCGCAGTAAACGCCCATTACCAGCAGAAAAGGCGCTGAGCGAGTCTGCCCGCGCGCTTCCCAAAGCTTTTATGTTCTGGCTCCATTGCCAAAAAAGAGAAAACTGCCAACACCATATGCAATGCCGAACCTTCGCCATGAACCTGAGAAAAGGAATTGCTGCCGCTTTTTGTACTCCATCATGCAAATGCGATTGCAGTCCATTGCGGGCCGTCCACTATTTGTTGTTGTTGTTGTTGTTGTTGTTTTTTAGTTCCCGTGTCGTAACATCGTAATCCTTGCTGCACCATTGCACTCTCTCAAGGATAGGCCGCTCGGCTGGTAGCCTCCACATGGTCGGTGCCGTTCTGCTGCGGCGGCGCCATCAACGGAACCCACTGCCGGCCGAGAGACGGCGCGTCGCCGTCAACGTACGAGACCACGTCCTCGCGCCAGCCAAGGGCATGCCATTCTTCATTCTGATGGGGATCGGCACTCTGCAGGCTATACAAGATGGACTCGGCATGAGGCACCGCACCAGATCTGACAGCCTCAACAACTCTGGACCGTCTATTCTCCCGCTCCGAGACAACGGCCCGCATAATGTGGTGCCGAGCCTCGACGTTCGCCCATCCATTGACGTTACCATAGCCACTGGACTCGAGGGCCGGCTTCAAGTACGCAAACGGGAGGTTGATGAGAATGGTAGAGAGAGTCGATCGGATGTGGTGTTGCTGAGAGGGTTGTGAGGTCGAATCCGAGCCGTTCGGTGTGTTATCAGGGCCCAAAGCAAGGTCACCAAACTGAATGTGCATGGGGCGGGCTCGACGATCTTGGCCAGCCGTTCCGCGAGCAATAGTGGGCGTTCCTTCGCGGGGCGGGAGTGATGTCGAAGCAATAGGGAGACGGGCAAAACGCTCAGGATCAGCGACAGACGTGTCCAGAGTAAAGTCGGGCGGGAAGTTGTTGATGATGAACGAGATTATACCATTCATCAAAACGTGAACAGGCTCGCCATAGACGAACTGGCTGTGTCTGTCAGCTGAAGCGCGACTGGGCAGATCGCCGAGGGCAAAGCCAAGAGCACGCTCAAGAGTCGACCAGCTCAGGGAATGAGATGCTATCTCCATGCCACGGAAGACGATAGGCTGCCATGCCAGGATATGGCCGGCGGCAGCATAGCCGAGAGCAAAGTCGAAGCGGTCATCGGCGTTGCCGGCCATGGTGAAGTTGCCATTGGAAGCTGGCTCAGGCATGTCCAAGAGCGGGAAGGCGTACAAGTGCTGAACGGCCATCCAGAAGGCATCAGATCGGAGGTACCTATCATCGGACTGCAGGAGGATGGTGCGGTTAGCGCCGGGCGAGCTGGATTCGACGTTGTCGGCCTCTAGAACGTTGCGGACGGCTTGGCTTCTGGCAAGAACAAGACGGTGGCCTGGAAGGCGAACGGGAGGAGCGCGGTCGTCGAGGTATCGGAGCTCCAGAGTGCAGTCAGCAAAGGCAGGGTCCCTGAACTGCGATCGCAAGTATGCGGCCATGTCGTCGAGTCCCTGGTGCTCATGACCGGGGTGCATCATGTGCGGGGGCGGGATAGGCCCAGGCATCATTCGCTGGGGCGGTCCGCCGAAAGCTCCGGCCGGAGGAGGGCGAGGACGAGCGTCATCGACATGGGCTGTACCGTTGGGGACACCAGGCGCGGGGTAGTGGTTGTAGGCACTAGTGTCATCCGCATGGGCCGAAGAGTGCGACCCCTGGAAACTATGAGGAGTCGAAGGTCCGTAGCCACCATTGAGATGAGGGTACTGCTCCATGCCTCCGTAACCTGGAACAGGTCGGCCGAATCCATCTACACCTGTGCCAGGCACAAACTCGGTACCGTAGGGCATCTGGCGGTGGAAACCGTTGGCGGCACCGCTGAAAGAACGCCCGTCGGGAAGAGGCATGCCGGGAGGGGGCATGAAGCCTCCCGAGTGAGGAGGCGCCGGAGAAGACGAGTTGGAAGCAAAACCGCCGAACTGAAGGCTTCCGTTGCTGGGACGCGGGCCATGCATGTGTGGAGGACCGTTGTGGACTGATCGAGGGCCCCGGTGAGAGGTGCCGTTGATGACGACGGGAGAAGGGCGCGAGCCATTGTGGCCATTGTGGCCATTGGGTGGCATGTTGTAACGCGTCGGAGGGATGACGGGAGGGGGTCGGAAGGTCGACGGATGCTGGTGAGCGTTGTCTGTGGCATGGTGATTAGGACTTTGCGGCATGATGATATCGCAAGATTCAAGGTTCCTACCCTTCTTCGCAACTCGGATCGCGGGCGGAGAGGTGACGTGACTATTGCCTGCGGTATGTGAGAATTGGTGACCGGAGTTGCGAGTGCCAAGGGCGGGCATACCTCGAACAGGGTCTTCAGCAGAGCGGGGGAGGTCTTGGTCGGCGGTCTTGTCGGTCGATTCGGACTCTTCGGTCGTGGACGGGGTGGGGATGGCGGCAGAAGACTCCTGAGAATCGGTAGCTGGTAGAGAAGAGTGAGTGTGATGTTCTCCGAGTGCGTTGAAGCCAGGCAAAAATTGCTGCGTACCTTCGCGATCCTTTGTGTCATCGCCTTCCGCGTCGGCAGGTGAAGCCGTCTCCTCAGCACCATTGTTGGCAACAACGGGCTTTCCCTTGTCGTTTTCGTCTGTGGCAATCTCGAGCTCGATGGTCTTGGGGGTGTTGGGGGCGGAGTCGACGTCGTGCTGGATTTTCAAAGAAGAGCCGTTCGTGATGGCGGGTCGAGGAAGGGTCGCAATAGTGGCGGCTTGGGCAGCAGCGGCGGCCTGCTTCGCAGCAGCATTGGCCTTGACGCGACGGTCCATGGGGAGGGGAATGACGGGGACGACACGCCTGGCAGCGTTGAGTCTTCCATGGGCGACACCAGCACCGTTCCTCGCCTTCGGATTGCCATTGGGAGCCATGGTGGACGGGGCTAGGCGGGAGGGTTGTGTGGTGGTGATGTTGGGAGGCTGCTGTTGAGCCCGCAGCGCAAGGAGAAGCGGTCTTTGACTTGGCGGGACGGGCCCCAAGAGTGAAAGTGGATGGTTGCTGTGTGTGTGTGTGTGCCGGGGCCACACAAGGAGTAGGAGCCGGGGGTGGTTCGCGGTAGGCGGTAGCAGCTGTGATCGGTTCGGCGATAGCGGCAGTACGGACACCTCAGACTCAGGTTCTCAAAGTGGACTGCACTACTCCGAAGAGAAAGTGGATATGTCCAAGGAAAAAAGGACAAGGCGGTCGAGCTGGATGGAAGAATCGTAAATTGTAAGTCGTGGCCTCGGATGGGGGGCAACTGTCCAACAGAGCTAGTGACTCTTTTCGTGCAGGGTGGGAGGAGCCTCTCTTGGGTAGGGGCTGCGCATGATAGAGGGGATATGCGGGTGCTGATGCGTGCCACCAGTGTCTCCAGATGGCGAATGCAAGAGGAAGCAGGAAGCAAAATAGTGAGAGAGAGAGAAGGGAAGTGGGAGGCAGTTATGCCAAAAGCGAGGCAGAAGAGCGAGCAGCTTCAGGCGGGTGCTGCGTGATGAGGTAAGGCAAGGTCTCCGTTCCGTACGGACGGATGAAGAGAGGGGAGAAGTGAGGGAGTGGAGTGGAGGGTCCCCCAAGCGCGGTGAAAGAGGCGTGACGATGGGATGTCAAGCAGAAGAAAGTGGATGAAGGGGAGGAGAAGAGGATCAAGAAGGTAGAAAGAAGAAGAAGAAGACAAGAAAACGGGCCGTTTGAGTCTTGACGTCCTTCGCCTTGGATGACGGGGTGTTGACTGTTGGGTCACAGGTCTCTGGGTGTTGGTGTAGGTGGAAAAATAAAGTCCAAGAGCCAGCGATTAATAAGACGGGAAGGTAGGCAGGTGCGAGCAAGCTTCCGTTCCTGCCATGCTTGACTGTCTCTGTCTTGGGATGTTGGTCACTGAACGGAAAAGTCACTGAAGTATCAGGTATCCATAAGCAGATAGGCATCCATCTCAGCTACCTTAGGCCACCTCAGGAAAGAACTGCAGTTGGGTTGGTGCCTCCTGCTCCTACCCGGCAGCAAGGTCTTGGTGTTGCCTCTGAGCTGGGATAATGAGGACTCACTCAGGACCGGGACTCACTCAGGACCGGGACTCAGATCGTGGGCCGGTGCCTGGGCCAAGGAAAAAAAGAACAGAGGCCGAAAAAAAAATTCGAAAAAAAAAATTCCGATGATGACAAAAACCGGGGCTGCGTCACAAAATTTTACCCCCGCAAGAAGGGAAGAAAAGAAATAAAAATAAAAAAACGATTCGATCCTCCCGGTACGTACTCCGAGCTTGGAGCTTCCCTCCCTCGACCTCATTGGCTGAAGATTGGCTGGGCCCGGAGAGCTACAGCCACGGTCCACTTTAAAAGGCACGTACCGATCCAAGGTGAAGGGCAACGGGAAGCTCAATTCATCACCTTGAACTTTGGAGGGGACCCTGAATCGAGTTGATAGACGAGCTTGAATCCATCCTCTTTGACCTGATAATACATAGACAATAAGCCTGGGAATAGGCTTAATCAGACTCAGGAAAGAAACCAAGGGATGCAGGAAGACGCCCCTTGAAGGAGTCATTGACATGGCAAGATCCGTTTGTTGTTTTGTTTGCATCCTCATCTGTCCCGCCCATGCCCTGCCTGACAAACAAATCATCATCATCACTCCTCCTTAGCTCCGGGTCTTTGACAGTTGGTGCGCTGCAACTCACACCACAATCTGACAAAAGACTCGACGCCATCCCTAGCGCCTGCACCTCTGACCGGCCGACCGACCGAGCTTCTTTTGCGGTCCGAGGTCGTCACAAAAATAGTTACCTTTAGCTGTGTTCCCAAGCCACACGGCGGCCGGTACACCACCGTTGGAGCTACCTCACGTTCGGGCGCACCTCCCAGCAACAGTCCCGTTGTAGGTTGTCAAGGTACGATTATGGATTATGTCAGCATTGTTTTCCCGACGACGTCAGACGACATCATAGTACTGCTTTGTCCAAGACACAGGGCCACTTAAATCCAGACCCCTCCATCCCCTACTGGGATCTCACTCAGCTGACAAAAATCACCCAGATCCGGGACGCGAACTACCGGCCCGGTCCACCTGCATCCGGCGCCGATGTGGGGCCGCGATTTCATGAAGCTCGGGCTTGCATCCTTCCACCTTGAGGTAAATGTCCATCCACAACCACACCTTCTGCCTGATCTGAGATACCTTGAGGAAGGTCCTTCATACGCCAGCTTCATAAATTGCATGAACTGGCACTTACTGTGAATGACCTCACATTTCTACACTGCCCTGTTCCTACCTAAGGTAGGTAGCAGCAAACGGCCTCGGCCCTCTTTTCATGGCTCTTCACAACGTTGCTTTCCACAAATTAAATGGAAAGTGAGGCGCTTTGTGTCGAAGATAATATGGAAGATTTTGTATGTCATTATATCGCAGTCCGAGTCTTCCACTCTAGGCCTTTGGGTCTTTACTGGAATTGCTCTTCAGATAAGTATTCAAGGAAGGTTGCTCTGCTAGTTTACCGTAGTGGGCCAAGACATATGAGGAAGGGGTGCGCTTGCCATCAAATTGACATCAACACCATCTTCCATGATGTACCTAGGTACACGAAGTGGTATGTGTGGGAGGGGCTACTACCCGATTCAAAGATAGATATTCAATCACCAGAAAGAACGAACTCACTCGCAACAACCATATAGAGGGTTGGCACTCCCAACAGAGAAGACAGCTTCACTTGATCACTTTTCCTCTCTTCTACATCACACACACGCCAGATTATCAACTCAAATCTTCCATTTACCAACGATCAATCACTTCTTTGGAGCTCCTGCGCCACACACACCCTACCCATATCTACATCACAACAATGCCACACCCATTCTTTCCCACGCCCCCATATGACTCACCCGAATGGAGGCACGTCTCCGTGGCGATAAACATGGGCTTTGCTTCTCCAGAAGACAGTAAAGAATGGACCGCTGGCCTTCTCGTACGCACACAATGCCTCCCTTTACTCATGGAACGCGGTTTCCACCTAGGGCCAGACAACTTCGTTCCCTTGAGCTCTTACGTCACCACCGGAATCGAAGATCCAGTCTATAACTCGAAAGAAAGTAAATTTACCCGCGTCTATCACCTTTTTGACAAACATCGTGGATATTGGGCGGCCAAACTCTACATCTTCGCCTTGGACATGCCTACCCTTTCCCGTTTTGAGCTGAAGGAGATCAAAGAAGAGTACATCGTTCGGACCCTTGCGTATAATCCTGCTGGGAAAACTGTCTATCAGTACGATAAAGCCGATCCGCTCTCCAACTTCAACACCATCTTCGGTGATATGCCGCTGTCTAGGTGGTGGCCTTGGCCGAAGAGGCCAGTTGCTGAAGCAAGGACAGTCGGAACAGTCGGAGCAGCAAGACCAGTTGCTGAAGCAAGGCCAGCCGGAGCAGCAAGACTAGTTGCTGAAGCAAGAGCTGTTGAAGCAAGGCCAGCTGCTGATGCAGGGTCATTTGTTGAAACAAGGCTTATTCCAGAAGCAAGACCAGTTCCAGAAGCAAGGCTACTCGCAGAAGCAAGGCCAGTGGCTGCAGCGCTGCCAGTTCCAGAAGCAAGGCCAGTCGGAGGAACAAAGTCGACTGCATCTACAATCGGATCCAGAACCACTGAAAACCAAAGGAAAATTGATGAACAAGCGCAGAACTTGATCGAGGGGTCATCCTGCGATGACCACGATGCACCAGGGTCGGATGAAGGTGAATGAGAAGGGCGTAGTTACATTCAGAAGTCATAAACATCAACTTTAATACCTCGATACACCAAACTCCGATGAGCGCAAGCGAGGAGAGCATGGTTTTACACAGAAGGTGTAGTCATAAAATTCAAAAGCTTTTCTACTCAAACTCGTGACGACCCTGCATCTCATGCCCCAACCGGGAACCACTGATTGAAAGCCCCCAAAGGATCCCATTTCTTCTTCAACTCCCCCAACCTCGCCAGACTAGACCCATACACCGCCTCAGGCGTCTCATCGCCATGCGCAAAATTGACATACGTCGGATTCGCCACCGCACTCGGCGAATAACTCCAAATATCCCTAACCTTGCCCGCAAACGCCTCAGCCTCGCTATCCAGAGCGGCATCAGTGTACCAAGGAATCACAATCGCCTGCGCAAAGGCATCCCTCCTCAAGGCCTCCTGCAGCGCCGCAGACCCCTTGGGTACAGACTGCGCCTTGGTCAGGTTATACCGCTCAATCAGCACGGCAGAGTTGGGCCCCTTTGCCTGGAACTTGGTGTACAAGTCCCAGATCGCCGGCCACGTCTCGGGCTTCATGTGGTTGATGGTCGTGCTGTATGCCGGCTTACGCTCCTCGCGCGCGCAAAAGTTGTCGTTTCCTGCGTTCCAGCCTTCGTACCCTGCTACACTGCTGCTATTCGAGATCGGCCCCAGCTTGTACAGCGGCGCGAAGGCTGCACGCCCAGTTACGTCGTTGCCTTGTCGCAGGAACCCAGTGACGAGGACGGCGGGGGCATTGGATGGCGGTCCCGAGTTGGTGAGGACGAGGTAGACGACCTGCTCCGGCTTCAGGGGGAGGTTTTGGATGGCTTGCGCGACTTGCGGGAGCTTGTCTGGCGAGAAGAAGAGGTTCATGAGCCATGCGTTACGGCCTTCGGCCGGCATGGGCCGTGCCTTTACTGTCGCCGATATGACGATGCCGAAGTTGGGTCCGGCGCCGCGGAGGGCCCAGAAGAGGTCTGGGTTGGATGTTGGCGAGGCCGTGAGGATCTCACCGCTGGCGACTGCGACGCGCATCGAGAGCACGTTGTCAACGCCGAAGCCGACTTCTCCCATTTGGTTTCCTGTCATGCTGTTAGTTTAGAGTCTTGTCTTGGATCGTCAGTGTCCTCCACGTACCGTAGCCGCCTCCCAGGATGGCACCCAGAGCGCCGACACAGTTGCAGTTGCCTGTCTGGACCAAGACACCAGCAGCATTAGCTGCTTTGATTGTATCGCCAATGATGGCCCCGCCTCCGATGGTGGCTTCCGTCTTCGCCTTGCTGAAAGTGACGGCATTCAGACCAGCCAAGTTGATGATGACGCCGTTGTTGCCGAGGTTGGACGTCTTGCCCCAGCCGTTACCGCCGTTCTGAGCCGTGAAGGGTATCTTGCGGCTCGCACAGTACTTGACCTGGTTCAAAAGTCAGAGAACATCGTTCAAGATACGGCTTTTGATGGAACAACTCACAACGGCGCCAACATCCTTCTCCGTCGTCACATTCACCACGATCGACGGAATAGGAGCATGGTATGTACTCCATCTCGCACGGAGGTCAACAGCTACTGATGACGATGCTGCTACAAGCGTCTTCAAGTCCTCTGCGACGGATGGGACCCTCACGGTAAGGGCAGAAACAGCCGTGGCGAGCAACGGCAGAGAAGGGAGCAGCCGCATTGTTGGTTGTAGAATTAAAGTCGCTGGAGGTGGCAGAAGTGTAGCACACTAGTCTTTCGACAGCAGACGGCACATGCTTACTTATTAAGTTAAGTATATCATCTCAGTGGTGCCATTGATGCTGTCTTACATGCAGCCTATATCCGGGGACCTGGCTCGCGAAGTAGTCAACGAGTCATGGAACTCGCCAAGCTTGGAATCGTCAACCTGTACCACGCATGCGATGCAGTTGTCAGCAGGGTATAATCAGCTTAAAGAACATCGTCCCCCTGGAAAGTGCAATTTGGAACCAACGGAGAAAACGTCCAGAATGCTGTGGTTTCCCTGCCCCCAGCCACCAAGAAGTTGAGAACCAGCCGCGCATTTATACGAGGGCCGCGGTGAGGGGGAACTGTACGTTACATCGTCTATAGACCTTGAGGTCGCTTCTGCGCTGGCTCAACTTCCTATCCTGGGGCTGATGTCCTACCCCTGCAGTCGACCATCCGGAGCCCGAAATCCAGCGAATGGGATATTCTGGAAGGATTCTCGTGCGGATTGACTATTGGAACCCTCCTGCCGGCGCTGCAACAATGCCACGATGGCTTCCAAGTTCCACGACATCCTTGTGAGACGGAAGAGTCCCGGCGATCGGAGGCCGACTGTTAAATACCAAAAATACGCTGAATAAGCTTACTGGGCGGGCCAGGGTAGTTGGTAAGGGTCCTCACATCGCGCCACGGACAAAAGTGGTGTGGAATGAATCGCCCGGGCCCGAAGAGTTTGGGAATTCTGTAGGCACATTTGGGTTGTAACTTCCAATTAGAGAGTATCTACAATGACATAGTTGTACAATATGGTCTAGTCAGGCTGTGCTGCTGTATGCCGGCACGCAAACTTTATCCATATGTCGGAAATGAGGCCTTTACAAGAAGTTGATACCGACTCCGACCTGCAGTCCCTTGGTACCCTGCTCGCCCCGTCTCAGCACTAATGGGAGACTGAAGTTGAGCTCAAAACGGGCAACAGGATGGGCGTAAACCAGACCGACACCAGCGGCTGTTGATGGCAGGCCAGTCGTCAGGTCATTCAACGCTCTCCACGCGCTGCCTGCGACACTTTTAGCGTCGAGACCCGCGCTAGCTGAGGCACCGGTCTTGCTCTTGTTCTTCATCGCGACGAGTCTGCCACCGTTGGCGAAGACCTGGAAGCGAAGGGCGGAGTCGGGGCCCTTGTAAGGCAGAGGGAACAGCATGTTCACGCTGCCAGCCGCGAAGACGTCGCCGCCGACCGAGTCCGATCCATCGTGAGGTCCGAGACCACCATAGTGGAATCCGCGGACGTCGGTGGGCCCACCGAGCTGGAATCTGTCGTTGATGCGACTCGGCTGGGCCTTGCCCTCGGAGGAAAAGCCAAGAGGAAGCGGGTACAGCATGCCGAACCTGAGTCCTCCTCCGATCGAGATACCAGACGATCCTTCTACACCGGGAACGGGGACGGGCAGCGCACCGCCCACCTCCCATTCACTTTTGGAGAAGGCAACGTCACCGCCGAGAGGCCCGAGACCAGCCAGCTCCCAAACCGACTTCAGCACGTAGCCACTTTGCGGAAGCTGCGGGTTATCTCTCTCGTCTCTCTGATATATGTGTTTGATGGAGCTCTTTACGGAGTCTCCGGCATCAGCGCGCACGGTGGGACTGGCACTGTCACGAAGGCCAGTAACTTGACGCCATATGCCCGAGTATTCGACCGTGTGCATATCCTTCAGGCCAGAGAGCCATGAAAAGCGCAGGTTTCCTCCCTTTAGAACCTCCTCGTGAGCTGCCCATGACTTATCGGTGGCAGATGCCAAGCCCTCGAGCGCGATTCTCGTATCGGGGTTACTTTGGACCGGTGCGCTCAAGGTCGCACTGTATGCGGAACGGGTTCTCGTGCCAGCACTGGCATTGACGGTGAGCTGCTCAGCACCGCCAAAGATGTTGCGCCAAAGCAAAGAGGTATAAGCGGAGCCTTCGCTGTTTCCGACATCGGTTCCGGCGTTGAACTTGTAGCGGGAGAGCTCCTTGACAACCACATCGACATCGACATCGGTGGGGGTGGACGAGGCATCGGTGTTGTTGGCGTTGCTAAGGTGGACCTTGACATCAGGGTGGAAGATGCCTAAGAGTGTTAGACCATGCCGTCACTTCAAGGGCCCAGGCTGCGCGTACCGAGTCTCTCCAGCTTTCCTCTTGCGTCGCCCAATCGTGCTGCTACTTCGCCAAGGGTAGAGGAGCTGTTGACATCCTCGGTCAGGAGTGGCGTGAAGATGGGGTCGAGAAATCCTCTTCGTGTGTTGGTAGCGCCGTGGACCTGCAGACGGTTGATGGTCATGGGCTGCGAGTTTTGGTCGGACAGCTATTGGGCGCATTAGCAAGGCTGAAGACCGTTGGCAGAAGACGGGCCGTAGCTTGCCAATTGTTGCAGTCTTCTGATCTTCGCCTCTTCCTGTGCCTTCTCGTACTCGGCCGAGGACTCTGCCTCCTTGCGCAATGCGTCGGGCCCGGCCTGGAGCTTGCCAATCGGGTTTGAAGCCTAAAAAAAAGCGTGAGTTTTATTAGCTTTCGTTCGATGGTCCAAGGACGATTGAGAGGGGAGACTTTACGGAGCTTCCGCTCGCACTGGTCTTGGAAGCCATTGGAGCCTTGGTGGGAGTTTCGACAGACGGGAGCTTGAAGTTGCAGCTTGCAAGTGGATAAAAATCACACGATCCGGGGAGCTTCGGTTGAATTTCGAGATGCAGCACGGGCGCAAGGGAACGGATCGGGACGAGGTCACTCTTGGTGGGGCCTCTGGGGGACTCGGGGAGAGGTGAGAGGAAGCTCTAGCCACATTCCGGAAGCTCTGTCCACTGGTTTCCAGCCGCACCTCAAGCCTGCGTCCGGAGCATGACGCCCGGGCCTTCCTTCCATCTTCTTGGAGATTCGGTGGCGCTAGGTGCCTCATGTGGCTTGAGAAGACCCACTATCCTGACCAGTGACATAATCCTGTGGCGCAACTTCGGCGTGGACTCACCGGGCACCGGAGATACGTATCTTTTCCCGCTCTCCCGTCTCTCTGAGTTTTGACGCACCCCGAGGCCCCCGTCAAGCGCCCCCCAAGCACCTTGGACAACGCATTGGCGGCACTTGTCACAGCCTCGCCGCATTCCATCTCCGTTACCCATTCACTTGTCCTATTTCAACAACAACCCCTACGCCGTTCCAACCAACAGTCGAAAAAGTGCTGTGCATCTGCAACCAACAGCGTTCATTCTGTCGTTTCGATTTCCGACTTTTGTACATTACTCATATTCTTCTCTTCGCTCTCTCGATAGCCCGGCTACCTGCCACCGCCCACTGATCGTATTCCCCATTACATCGTTCGCCGCCCACCGTCGATCCGGATACCACAGGGTTTCGTCGGCGATCCTCAACAACCATGGCCGCCAGTAGAGCAGCACAGAAGAGGGTAGGTGTCACTGATATTATTTCTACAAGACTCATTAAACTGACTCCTACACAGTTGACGCGCGAGTACAAGACCATCGCCGAGAACCCACCACCATACATTGAGGCGCACCCCTCCGAATCCAATATTCTCGAGTACGTCGACGTCCATCGCACTCAAGTTATATATTCATGCTAACAGGTTGGCAGGTGGCACTATATCATCACAGGTCCCGAAAACACGCCGTACCATGGCGGCCAGTACTGGGGAACTCTCGTCTTCCCCCCGAACTACCCCTTCGCGCCCCCGGCCATCCGAATGCACACTCCTTCCGGTCGCTTCCAGCCATCTACCCGCCTCTGCCTCTCCATATCCGATTTCCACCCCAAGTCCTTCAATCCTGCCTGGGAGGTATCCACCATTCTGATAGGCTTGCTCTCTTTCATGACCAGCGAGGAAATGACTACCGGTTCCGTATCCAGCACTGAGGTCGAGAGAAAGATGCTGGCAGCACGAACAAAGTGGTGGAACTCGACCGGCGGAGGATCAAACGCAAAGGCGAATGTGGCACAAAAGGGCAACGTCAAGGCCGGTGACGGTGGCGCCAAGTTCCGATCCGAATGGCCCGACCTTGACAAGGCCAACTGGGAGTGGATGAAGGAGACCAAAATCGACCTGGCGACAGGTAGCAGGACGGGAGCGGCAGCAGGGGCCTCTTGTGGGCCCCAACTTGGCATCGGGAATGGCAGCGGTCATCAGGCCCAGGCTGTTGTCGATGCCGTTGTGCAACAACGAGATGCCGGCCGCGGTTGGCTGAACCAGAACAAGCTGCTCGTCGCTGGTGGTGTCGTATTCTTCTACGTACTGCTTGCGAGAGTCTTGGGTGCGAGCGACAACTAAAGCGATTCCAAGGAAACGATTTCTGGCTGGATATTACCGTTGCGTCTCGAGAAGCGAGTCAGATCTTGTGCAAGGGACGACGGGGCTAAGCATGGCGTTATTTTTTTGGGCTTTCTGATGACGGACCAGAGTGATATACAACACGACAGTCTTACTAATAGAGGGGACTTGGACGGCCGATTATAGGTTGGCAAAACTTGAATGACGAATGTATTCTAGACTCAAGCAAAGGATTGGCTTTTGGAAGCAATATTCGAACAACCGTTCATTTCTGCTCTCTCGCTCTGGAACAGAAATGTAACAGGCTTCGGCCAAGCCAGAAGAGGCATTGGGGTGACACATGTTGAGGGCCTCCATCGAATACGCGTCCAATACTTGAAAATGTGACATGGGCTGGAGAAAACCCGAGGGAATGCCGCTTAATAAGAGGTCGGCCAAAGTTGACAATAGCGCAGCTGCAGTAGTGAAGCTTTTATGTCGTATTGAGTTGGTGGACTTTTCTTCATAACATCATCTCGAAACTCGAGGTTGCTGTCCAAGTGGCATGCTCGACGATCACTTCATTCCGTGCGTATGGATTCGTAAGCAACCCTTGGCTCGTCACAAGTGGACGCGGTGCCCAGCCAAAACCAGCAAGTCGGGTCGCTGCACCGGAAAGTGGACGGCGAGGAGTGAACATACACAACGAATAAGCCGACGGATAGGTATCATCTGAAGGAAACATCAGACTCGACACATGGAGCGCCGAGCGGCGACGATCACGATGGGGGGCACCCAGCTCTGAGCCTCAGATAAGAGGGCTTCGGCCGTTCTGTAGGCTTGGCAGAGAGAAACAGACGTGTACAGGAGAGACTAGAGTGTGCCAATACCTGCTTCATTGGTAAACCGAAACGAGTAACGTCGGCATGAAGTCATGGTGGAGGGCCAAGCCCAGAGACCAGACAAACCAGTCGATGTATTTCAGACGAAATATGTTGTAGGGGGAGTTGGATGTGGGCTGATGACAGTTTGTCAACCCGCCCATCGCTGTTGTAGTCGTCGTCAACTCTCCCGTCAAATCATCAGGATTGTAACCTTCTTGGCAGGTTGGAATATCGCCGTGGTGATATTGACCTGTCCGTAATGCAATTGTGCAGCTTTTGTGAATGACGACTCACTCTGTGGTTGGGACGTTGAGATGTATCAAACCCGGCATATCGTTGCATCGCCATCCGTGCGCCGGGTTAAAAAAAGAAAAGAGTCGAAGCTGTCGAAGATCCAAACGTCTTATTTTGTGTTGGAACGAGGCACTCGGACCGGGGTTCTGTAACAGGGTGGTGGTGCTGTGTTCATGCGTTGACTCAAGAACCTTTCTCCGCGACCTGTATCTGCATCTTAGTATAGTCGCTTTTTATTATGAATGCCATGCTGGAAAAGTTTGTTTTGTTGCTCTGTGTCTCTGCGGCTTTTCATCTCAACTCGTTCGGAAAGAAAGAAACGGTCTGAAGTGCAATGTGATGAATGGACCGGACGCTAGGAGCCCTATGCTATCTGCATTCCGCAACGTCTCCAAATGCAAGGGGCAACTTTGTATGTGTAAGGCATGATCGAAGGCGTGAAGAATTTCAGTACGTCGAAGAACGACTGGCAAGGGTTTATCTCGCGCGCGCGAGAACGTCGATCAAACCGTCGCATGCCGCATTCCAACCCCAGACCAAGTCACACCCCCTTATCCCACCTCACCCAAAGAGCCCCAATCCCTACGAGGCGCAAGACGCAGCTGTGTCATGCCAAATATCCTACACGAATCCCATCGTGGTAGGCGTGGGACTCTGCTTCGACGACGAATTAGTCTCGCCCCAGCTCACCGGCCCGCACCCACCCAACGCCCCATCAGGCGATCCAGAAATTCTTCAACTGCCGAAAGCAGACACATCACAGACCATGGGCTTTTCAAGGTTCGATATCCTAGCTCCCGGTCTCGCGGCGACGAACGTTTGTCAGGTGGAAACATGACACGCCCGTGCTTGAGGAGAAAGGGGAACATGGGCGAACATGGGAGAGGCCTCTTCCGCCCCCGCGGGCGGGAAGTGGAGGGAGACACACACACACCCACTCTGCCCAGAGACAGCATCGTACACTCGTGTCTGAGTATGTCTCTCTAGTGTTACTGGCGTAGTTGATCGTCGTCGCGGGTGTCGTGCGATTGACGGTTCGCCTGATGCGACGCATCCGTCCAGGCACGTCTCCGATTCGAGTACAGGTAACACAAGACCAAACGCGACTGGGGTTTCTACAGATCCAAACGCACAGCTTTTCTATCCCACTCTTCTTCCCTTCCTCTATCCGTTTGATATAGACTGGATCCAGCACTGCTAAATTAACCCCATCTCGGAATCTAGAGGGCGTTCCGAACCCGTAACTCATCATCCCCATCCCCTTGCTACCGATCACCCACCCGCAGGGGGGCATGTCAGGTCTAGTATAAGGCTGCGCTGGCGTCCGGCGGGAAGACGACTTCGACCCTCGGAATCTTGGAGCGGTAGGATTGCGCTACAGCTCAAACTCCATCACGGCATACACAACAACGACAAGATGGCGACGAACAACCGCTGGCCGCTCCAGGATGAGCAGGCTGGTCCTAAGCGTGCGCACGCCGTGGCGGTATCGGAGTTTGACGATGGGGTCAGTGTGAAGAACGAGACGCTGGTCGTCGGTACGACAAATCTCTACGTGGACGGGCAGCTGAGGCTGATTCCTGTAAGTCTGGCATATCTTCTTGATTCATGAGCCTTGCTGACAATGTGTAGATGCCCACGCCTGATCCCAAGGGTGAGTCCTGCCATCGCTCATGGAGTACCAACGAGCAATGAGTATTGATATGGAACGATGTAGATCCACTGAACCTCCCGGCATGGCGAAAATGGACAGCAATCGGCGCCCTTTGCTTCTGTAAGACTTCCCATCTACCACAGGGTGTGCCAATCGAGACTGACCAGTCCTCACAGTCGGTGCCCTCGCCCTGTCAGCAGAGGTCGTCATCGGTGGTCTTCTGCCCGTCTTCATCCTCGAGTACTCCGGGGTCGACCCGCGTATCCTCAACAACATCGACTTCAAGGCCCAGAGTGGCGGCAGCGGTCTCAACATCAACCCCATGTCCGTCGTGCCACCTGGCGTCAAGCCAGCTTCCCTCGACGAAGTCACCCTTCTAGCCACGATGCCCCTTTTGGCGAACGGTATCGCCAGCTACTTTCTGGTGCCCACATCCATCTGGATCGGCCGTCGACCGGTACTCTTGTTTGCTGCAACTAGTGCTTGGGCTGGTGGCTTGTTTGCTGCTTTCAGCACGAGCCTGCAACAGCACTTGCTTGCCAGAGCACTCATGGGTCTGGGCGCTGGTGCAGTAGAGGCACTGATTCCGCTGATTGTTCAGGATATGGTCTTCATCCACCAGAGAAACAAGGCCATGTCGGCCGTAGTGTCCAGTCAAGGTATCATCATCATTGGTCTTGGTATTGCAGCACCGTGGGTATCCGCCAACTACACCTGGAGGTGGTTGTACTACATCACTTCTGGCATGGGTATCTTGGCTTGGGCCATTCTCATTGCTTTCCTGCCCGAGACCCGTTGGACCCGTTCTCAGGAGGATCTCAGTATGTCTCACCTCACTCCAAGAGACTCGAGCACAGCTAATCCGTCACAGGTGGCCAGAATACCTACCCTCTTCTGCCAGGCCAGAACCGCCCGGAGCTTGATTACGTGAACTATACGCCACGCACCGTCTGGACCAACATCGGTGTCTTCCAAAACGGCTTCGAGTTCAAGCGCGCTGCCAAGTCCATGTTCGATGCCCTCAGATCCACTTACTTCCCCGCCATCATCTGGGGCGTGCTCGCCAACAGTTCCATGATCGTTATCAACCAGGCCGCTCAGCAGATCACGCCTTTTGCCCTCCTCGCTCAGGGCTGGCAGTTCCAGTGGACCGGTCTCACTGTGCTTCCCTTCTTCGCTGCCTCGGCTCTGGTCTACGTCTTTGGTGGCCCTGTGGCCGACAAGATTTCCAATGCTGTGACGAGGTGGCAGGGCGGCAGCAGAGAGCCGGAGCATCACCTCGCCAACTTGATCTTGCCGCTCGTTTCGGGAGTGGCAGGCTGCTTCGTCTTCGGTACCGCCGGTGAGCAGAACATGCACTGGGCAGTTCTACTGGTTGGCTCCTTCCTGATTGTCTTTGCCTTTTTGACGACGATGACCATTCTCAACGTCTTCATCGTCGAGAGCTACCCGCAATGGGCAGGGTATGCTCAAGCCCGACCACCCTCGTGGAAGTGCGTTACTAACATAATAACAGACCGGTTCTCGTCAACGTTTCATCTCTACGCATTGTCGTCGCGTTCTTCATCGCCTCCAAGGCGACTGTCTGGATCGCGGAGAAAGGGCCCCTCCAAACATTTGCCCTGTACGCAGAGGCAATCATCGTCTTGTCTCTTGGGTTGCCGCTTCTCTACTTCTGGGGCAAGAAGATGCGCCAGTGGACTGCGGGCAGTGTCAAGAGCAAGCAGAGTCAAAAGGAGAAGGCTTTCGACGATAGGGCTGCGGTGTAGATGTGGTTACGATAATAAGACTCTACCGAGAAGGACGCAACACGGATCATATACCCGGTTGGTCTCTGGTTAAACATACTTAATCACCTAATAGAGATCGATGAATATCAATCCAGTCGCTACCGACACGGTGATAATCGTGCAAAGATCCAGCCACAAGCTGACTCCAATCCATCATAAGGAAAAAACAAGAACAAAAACAGGCAACCTTCGTCATCCATGTGTAACGCCACACCTCCAAACATGCCATAGTCTTCCGTAAATAAGCTTCCATATTAACCCTGGAAACGTCATGTGCGCCTCCTAAACCTCTCGAACACAGGTTACAAACAGATGAAAAAAGAGAAAAGGGTTCGGCAACTCTCCTTCATCTCCAAGCAAGAGATGCTTCAAAAGATGGCAGGTCCTCCACCTCTGGCTCCATCACTTGGGGATAAAGTGACTGCGACGCAATCTGCAGCGGGACAGAGAGGTTGGTCTTGGAGCCGTTGAAGTTGACAGACATGCGCAATATGTAGCTCCGAGCAATGAAACAGTTGAAGAAGGTGGGCAGGAACATCTTGTGTGCCGTAGTGAGACGGATAGGAACCTTGGTCCTTGAACTCCACGAGAACACCTTGCGATCTTCTGTCCGATCATCCTTGTGCCACAGGATGACTCCCGTATCTGTTGTAGAGAGCTTGGTTTGGGTAGAGTATCGCAGCTCGTGGCGCAGCCCTGCTGCCTCACGGGGGTCTCCTAGGTCTGGCAACATCTTCATCGGGGTGCCTGTGAACCACGTCTGAGCCTCTAGCTTGACCTGGCCCAGTGTCACTTCCGGCGGAAACGAAAACGAGGAGGTAGATTCAAAGCTCAGGTCCAGTGTTACGGAGGCGTGAGAGTCGGGGAGCTGGTGTCCGCCGATGCTGATGTAGACTGCTTCAGGCTGAAGCGCATTGACGACAATGCGATCTTTTTGCGTGGAGAGAAGACTCCTGCGGACGGACTTGATCCTGGAGAGCGTGTACCTTGCATCTTGGTTGTTGATGCTCAAGGGCGGGTCTTCAGCAAATGCTGGGAGGACCATGATCCGTTGGCTGGCCTCGATGGTATCTTTTGGGCTGGAGGATCTTTTGCGCAGCAGTCGTGCGACTATCTTGTACTCGACTTGAGCCATTGTTGGCGACATGTCGTCCTTTTCCCAGCCGCCCATCGATGGAGGGAGCCGCATGTGTTGATCGTGGGAATGTTCGCCTTGGCCAGTCTCACAAGCATCTGTGTGAAGCTCTCGTGGTATGGTGAAGTTGAATGGGATAATGTGGGTTTCTCCTGCTGCAAAGACTTGTCCTTGCGGATAGGAAGTCTTCGTGATGGGCATGTCCAGGTTGAGGAAGACGTCGGTGGTGGTTTTGGGGACAGGTAACATATCGACCCGGGTATGAGAGATGCCCATGAGAGCTATTTGAATGCAATGGAATGGAGTACGGCTTTCTGGACAGATAGCTACCGTGCCTGTGATATGGGAGCCGCTAGTGTAGATCTTGGAACAATAGTGGTCGTCAATCTTGATGTCGAGAGGCATCTTGGGAGTGGGGGACCACATTGTGGTCTTGATTGCTGTTGTAGTAAAAGAATATGTGAGGTTGATATACTTTCGTGGCACAGATAATGTTGAGGTTGATATCAAGTGTTCGAAAGACAAAGATCAGATGGACAAAACAGGGAGAAACCCCAAATTCACCCAAGGGGGGGAGGCGCCTACTTATACACCAAACCGGCCAGCGTAGCAACGGTAATTGTCTTCTTGATTCAGCCCGGGCCCCGAGAATTAGCGGCAGCAAAGTTTTCTCGTCCGGCGCTGGTTTTTGACGCCGACCCGGCTCTTCCTAACGTACACGGTCACGATACCGAGTCGTGGCCTCCGGTGCCCCACTTCTCGGCACCGCTCAACTTACACGGTCGGGCCCCGCTTCGGTCTTGCTAGCTCCCGCTTCGTCTTAACGTTAGCGGTTAGCCGAGACAAGCCCCGAAAGAGGGTCCCCGGCAATTTTCTACCATAGCGGAAGGAAAACGTAACGAAAACTCTGATTGCACAAATCATTTCAAAATTCGTTATCAGAGGCTAGCGCTGGCGCTTTGGGCCAAGCTTTCCCCAGAAACCCGGAAAAGGCCTTGGAATGGTTCAAATGATTGCTGAGTTGCAACGAGTCGATTGGCTGTAAACAAGAATCTCACGAGTAGCAAGCTATTCCGATGAATTCCACGAGGATCGCGATCGACTTCGATATTTCAGATGTCAAGACTATGGAGAGAAAACGGTAGTGTCTTCTTTTGGTAAGGGGATACATTCATTCCCTCTGTCTGAAAACGAGCCTCGCACCCCCTTTTTGAACTGACATCATTGGGCCACAAGAGACCATTGTCATCGTTCATGTTTCACGGCTCATACTAACTTGGGTACTATGAGATATCGCTACCCTCAGTCTTCATGCCTTCTCTTCTATTATTTTCTTGGTCGAAGTTCTCCGCCAAGCTCGCTACCATTTCCCAAGTCTCCTCAACATAGGTACTCACCATCCCATTTAGACTGTCACTCGACCCTCAGATGGACTCAGCATGTGTAGAATACATGTACCTTAGCCGGAGCACCTTTCAAAACGAATAAAGATGAATGAATCACTGTCATGGAAAAGAGATGTATTGAACGATCGCCGATGGCAGCTTCGTTGCTCAGATGCCTCCAAGTCCTCCAGGAACTGATGCCAGCGGTCTTGTGTCATACCCCCCATCACTGCCTTTGCGATGAGGCCCTGTCATTTGGCTGTCGTTGGCCAAATACTCAACGATTACTTAGTTTCTCTTAATACACGACGTGTCATCTTGCCCGCTATTCTTCGTGTTCTACATTCGCAACCGAGAGCAAGATGCTTTACCGATGCAAGTAAATCTTTCCCTCGCCACGTGCTCCGTAAATCGGGTCTGGAGTACCCTATATCGGAAAGATTTCCCTACCGTATCGTAAAATCAAGCTCGCAGTTCACAGGCAAAAGGACCTAACCAGCGCCTAAAGGGTTCATTTCTGCTGCGGTGCTGCCGATGGGTCCTTGAACACTAAGGAGTTTCTCTCCACTTGGACCAAGAGAACAAATTGGATCCCAAGAGTCCCCTTATCATTTTCTAATGGAGGCGGATGGGTTGAGAAAATGAGGAAATGTTTACGTCCTAAGTCGATACTATGAGTGGGTCAGTGAGACTCTGAGACTTATCGAAGCATGAGTTGGTCAGTGCTGTGACCAAGTCACATGCAAACGGTGCCTTCGCTTCATGATTCATCGCGGAGATAGGAAAGTTCTGATTCTTCCTTGGCTCCTATTCCAGCACAACATGCCGACGAGAACTTGAATGAATCAATATCCCCACTTCTGGTTTATTGTTAGCAATCTTTCTAACACCGTGTCATCGTTGAGCACAGCCTTGGTGGTGTTTGAGTTTGCTTACAAACAACCAACCGACTCAATCGGCTGACGTGCCTAGTACGGCTGTGTTGCTTCGCCTAGCCTGAATCAAGATAGAACCCTTGATATATGCTTCACACTCATCGCGGCAAGTATCTAACAAGACCCGCCTCCCCCGCTTGACCCCGAGATCACGGAAGCAAACTATCATCACCCGGTCTCCAGTGTGGACGCGGGCCGCTGCGGATGCGGGGTAGTATCCGGGGTTATGACAGTTCTCCGCGGATGCATACCCTTAGGTTTATCTCCCCGAATGACTCGCCAGACCAATGATACGCTACGCGTTCGTAAGTTTGATCTTTTAATGAAAGCTGTCGTCTGTAAAGTGGAAGGCTGGAGTAGATAGGACAGGGCGGAGCCAGTGTTGAGCGGAAATTGCAAGAACCCGTGTAAGCATTTATCTAAATTATCGAACTAGACTTGGAAAAAGTCAACTCATATCGTACATCCAAAATCAACAAACATGTCAACATCGAATAATTCAGTGATGGAGTCAAGCGTCTTGGTAAGTGTTGCCGGTGTCCTTGGGCAGAAAGATTTCACCATATTATGGGCTTTGGTAACTAACTATCAACGATTCGATAGGGATGGCCGCTTTCGTGGAGGATCTGGATCCTTCTGAACGTCAGCTTCTACAACCTTTTGGGAAACGCCTTTGCGGCGGGTGCCCCTCCGCTATTTTCGCGCATCATCGAGGAGCTTCATTGCACTTCGGAAGAGGCTTCCCAGCTTTCTACTTGGGTGCTTTTGACTATGGGACTCTCGGTAAGCTTACTCAAAGAGGATCATCGAATGCTCTGCAAATGTAGTTGTAGAGAGACATGGACTAAATTGCCTTCATCTCTAGAACATCTTCGCCCTCCCCGCGGCATCCCTCATCGGCAAACGATACACGATTCTCATATCTCTTGTCATCTTTTTTGTCTTCTGCCTTTGGTCAGGGGAAGCATCTACATTCAATGACTTGAGAACATCAAGAATTCTTGGCGGGCTCGCTGGCGGGCTTGTCGAGGCGCTGGGACCCAGCTTCGTTGAAGAGACATTCCCAAACAATCAACTAGCAAGCGCAATGGTTGTCTACGTTGGACTCTTGGCTGCCGGCTCATCCATCGGACCAATCATTTCAGGAGTTGTCGCGGACGGGACTGGCGACTGGAGATGGTACTTCCGTATTCTATCGGCGCTTATCTTCGTTACATTTGTCGGATCATTGATCATGCTCCCGGAAACTCGTGCGGGCTCGCCAAAGACGACTGAGGAAGTCGAGCTCAGTCCCGTTACTGAAGACAATCCAAAAGGTCTGCCCATGAGCCCCACCTACGCCCAAGTTGAAAACGCCAACCAGCAAGGCTATTCAGGATCTAGAGAACTAGGAAAACAATGGAGACTGCGCTCCTTCTCGACGTCGTACATCGACATGGACTGGAAACTCGCCGCATCGAGCCTCTTTCAGCCTCTCCAACTTCTGGGCGCGCCACAGGTTATTGTCACAACTTTGGTATTCGGTCTCACCATTGGCTGGACTGTCCTGGTATCCATCTTACTCTCGGCGGTGTACAGCCCCCCGCCACTGCTCTGGGGAGCTCGAGATGTCGGACTGCTCAGCGTCGGGCCCTTGATCGGTCTTTTGCTTGGACTCCCAGTTGGCGGCGCGTTGGCTGATTACCTCTTCAACCGAGCCACACGTCGCAACGGCGGGAGACAAGATCCGGCTTCGAGATTGCCAGCTGTGATTATTGGAGGTCTAATCAGCCCAGCTGGATGTCTGGTCATTGGATATGGCCTTGCATCACCCGAAAAGTGGGCGCAAGTCAGCGTTGGCTATGGCATGTTGGCCACAGGTTTGACATGCTCGGCCAACGTGCTACTAACATATGCTGTGGACACCATGCCACCTCGAGCCAGCCATATCGGAGTTTTGGTGAACTTGATCAAGAATTCCGTCGGTTTCGGAGTCTCTTACGCGGCTACAAGCTGGATGGCACAGGCAGGACCCGTTGCTCAATTTGGTACCATGGCGGGAATCCTCTGGGCGGTGTACTTACTGGTGATCCCCCTTTACTTTTTCAGTGATACAGTCATTCGTAAGACTGCAGCTCTCGCTTAGGCTAGGAGAGTAGTCTTTCAGACGGGATAGGGATAAGGAACGAACGGGAAGTCGGCCGTTGTAGCTTTGTTGCAATTTACCTCGAATTTGAAACTTTGATATGAACAAGAAAGGAACCATACCTTGCTGTGACTCAGCATTGTTACGCAGAATCCCCTGTTTGATACAAGAAAACTTGTAGAATTGAAGCGACCGAGTGTCTTGATGCCTACGTTGTCTGCACGCGAATGGTGCTTTGGCGCGTGAAACTAAACGTCTGTAAACTCGTAGACTATATCTCAGACCCCAGTTCCTATCTACAGGTACAAATGTTATAATAGAATTCATCTTATTTCATTTAGTCTACAGGTGAGTAAATACAACCGCTTAGTTCGATACAAGACGTTCCACGTCCATATCAGCTGAGCGGTAAAACCCCAGACTTTTCAGCATGGGCATGTCATCAAAACGGTACAGATACACGTCTGTCTCCAGGCCCTCGTCCGCAAAATGCTGATAAGAGTACCACGAAGGAATGCAGAAAGTATCCCCCTTCTTCCAGATGAGATCTGTATCACCGATACGAGAGCGTCCTGATCCCTCCACGACATGGTAAACAGATGACGCGGTCTCCTGAATAAGAGGAGACTTGGCACCGGAGGCCAAGCGGGCTGCACGGCCACCTAAAACCTTGCTGACTGGAGCGTTGCACAAGTCAGTTCAATGGTCAAAACATTGGATGGGACGGAATATCAAGCAAGTACCTTCAGATCCATCTGCACGAAGATAGCTTTGTGTAGCATAGTGCCCTTCCTCGGCGTCAAGTGCTGCTTTCATCCTACTCCACGGGAAGACAATGGGCGACTGGGATGTATCAACATTATCTGCTGGGTATCGTGGCGATGAGAAATGCTCGACAAAATGAACAGGGAAGTGGGTAAAGTTGGGCAAATCTAAGCCATCAAGCCAGATCATCGGGCCAGACCCATCCTTTCCATGATCATGCCAGTTCCAAGTGGGGGTCAAGATTACATCTCCCCGGGTCATCTGGATGCGCTTTCCGTGAACGGCAGTGAAGCCGCCATTGCCCTCAATGATGAAGCGCATGGCGAAAGCCGTGTGTCGATGCGCCGGCGCTGTCTCATTGGGCATGACCAGCTGCAGCCCAGCGTAGAGAGTGTCAGTTGTGAAAGGGGCATCTAGGTTTTCAAGTCAGGAACGGATTCAGAATTCAGAAGTCAGAGGTCTAAAGCTCCATCGACATGGGCTGCATATCCGTACCTCTGGAGGGGTTGACGAGCATTAAGACCCTGCGCTCAGCTTGCTTTTCGGTAACAAGCTGACCCGCTTGCAAAAGGGTGGGTTGAATTTCCGAATACTTCCAAAGATGGGGTGTGCACCGTGGGTTGGGCAGAGGAGGGTTTAGTCTGGTCATTTGCAGCCACAGAGGCTTTGTGTGGTTAGCCTCAGCGTCGCGCAGCATCTTCGCGGTGCCATCTCCAGCCGGCTCGGGTTGTTGCGAAGTCTCTGTGACGGTTGTTGAAGACATGGCTAGCTTTCGTATTCCCAGTATGATACGACGTTGAGTTGCTTGAGTCAAGTGGTAAGGTGTGTTGATTGCTTTCACTCTTCTTGAATGGTTTTTCGGTTAGCGACGATTCAGTGTTGAAGAGATGTGTTTATGACTTGATCGAAAACACATGATTTACGAGTGTTTGCCGAACTCTCATCCCGTGTGAAGGCCAACCGCGTTTTGTCAGTACCGTCAACGTGATGGCGAGGGTACAAAGCGAGCGCAGATGTATCCGGGGAGTTAAGGTCTTAGCCGAAACGGCATGGTCGGAGGCTTTGGCAAAGACACCAACCCACTACGCTAACCGTACGCGATCCGGCGCAGCACAGCCTCTAAGCGTTAGGTGTACAGCGTTTAGAGTTCGGTCCTCTTCCCTAACTCCCCGCCCTCCCTTTTCAACTACACCGGGGACTTGATCATCTTTCTCTCTAAATCCCCGCCTCTATCAGTCTCTGCCCTATCGTGCCATACAACTTGTGAGCTGGATGAAGACTTTCCCCGAGAAATGGAGAACAGCACTCCAGGGCCAACAGGCGCGTCGACTCGGAAGCGGAAGCGTAATCCGATTGCCTGCAGCTCATGTCGAGCTCGGAAGTCAAGGGTGAGTGCGACGTTTTCGGACTACCACACGGTTGGCAGCCAATTTGGCAGATTTCGCCTGGACGGAATCGTCCCGCCCACCGGATGTTACTGGATGTCATTGAATACTAATCAGAAAACTTTGGATGATAGTGCGACGGTGTTAGGCCTCAGTGCTCCGCTTGCGTCGAACAAGGTATCGAATGTATCTACGCAGCCAACTCTGGCGGAAGCAACGCACTGGTACCGAAACAGTATGTTTGTTGGATCTGCCTGGAAAACCTTTGCAAAACTTGTCTCACTCTGTGGCTAGATATCTCGAGCAAGTCGAACACCGCTTAGCTGATGTCGAAGAAGAAATTAGTCGGCTAAAGAGACTTATACCCGCCTCGTTTCTACGGGGAAAACAACATGTTCTCTTCCCACGTAGTATTTCTGGTCGTACCGATGATCTCTCAGAAACCACATATCCCGAGGAGTCGCTGAATGTTGAGGATGGAAGCGTTACGCAGGGGATTACCCCCGACGCAACAGATGGTGTTGGTACTATTGAATTTACCACAGACGAGTCTTGGGCGTACTTCGGTATGACAGAATAAACTAACTTCACGGTCATGATCCTCAATTTCCTTGAGTACCTGCTGATTCTCAATTGTTATCAATCAGGGCCTTCATCCAACATTGCGTTCACAAGAATCATCCGCCGCACGCTCGACCATTTACTGAACAAAAGCCAGAGAGATGAGCGGGGAGAGACATCTTGTACACCTGCAAAGCAAGCACAACAACACATTCTGGCCGTTTCTAGATCTCAGTCCCCAGTCACAGATTCCTTCGACTCAAGGAAACTCGAAAAACCGTCCGAGGCATCTCGTCTGCCGCCTGAAGAAGAAGTCGTCAATCTTGTGCGCCAATTCTTCCGTGACACGGGTCTTCTATTCCCCTATATCCACGAAGAGAGCTTCTGGAAAACGTACGCTCAGTACAGAGCAACTGGTATGCAGAACGTGAAAACTGCATGGCTTGCACTGTTACACATGATTCTGGCCATGGCTACGAGCACCATGAACGCTACAGGGGTAGGTTTGGGCGACCGCCAGGCGATATCAGAGGTTCATTACCGGCGAGCCAAAGCCCTTTCAATGACGGAGATGATGATAGGAGCCAATGTCGAAGCAGGTACTGCTACTCCTTCCTTCTTCCAGCGACATTTTCTTTAGCTGACCCCAATTCTTTAAAAGTCCAGGCTATGCTCCTCATGTCACAGTACCTTCAAGGCAGCCAACGGTCTATACAGACATGGGCCATCCACGGACTCGCTGTGAAAGCCGCGCTCGAATTAGGTTTCCATTCAGAATTGGCTCTTCAAAGATTCGAACCACTTGAACGAGAAATCAGAATACGTACTTGGTATGGATGTGTGGTACTCGACAGGTAAGTAGAATATCCAGATGATCTAGCCGGCTAGCTGAGCAAAGGATTGCGTCTGACTACCTATGTTACCATGGGAATACAGAACGCTGAGCATGACCTTCGGCCGGCCGCCCATCATTCCGCAAAACTATATCCGAACACCTCTGCCAAAACACTTCATTTCTCATCAAAGAACATCCGATATCTCGAGATGGTCTAACGAGGAAGAGAGTACTGCGTTTTGGAATGCATCCATGTTTGTCCACCACACAGTCTTCCTCCGCCTGATGTTTACTGATAATTGGCTATCCAGAACGCTGTACGGGGTTACCGCCGCCGTAATCGACGAACTATACGAAAGCAATATTGGATCAATATCGGCCATCCCGTTAACAAACACCGTGGCTAGTGTGATACAGATCGGACAGAAACTCGCTGACTGGCAAGCATATTTACCCCTCTCGATGCAGCTTGTGGAGCCGAATGAAGTCGCCAGCCCTGAAGGGAAGATGATGTTACTGAAGTTCCGTGTGATACTAACGCTCCGGTATCACAACCTGCAACTACTGTCGCATCGCCCAATACTAGACCGCTGTCTACAATCTTTCGATGGAAGCCCTCAGTCACCCCAAGAAGCCGCCACGCTGCAACAGGCGTGGCATCTCAGTAGAACAGTATGTCTGCGGTCTGCTGAAGCTATCATCCGCTTAGTTGAAGCCTGTGAACTTGCGAATGATGTACAGCCTACGGTCTCCTTCCTTGGGGCGTGGTGGTTCAGTTTATACTTCAGTGAGTGTGACTCGCTTTCCGAAAGAATGCCAGCTAATTCCATTTCAGCCTTCAATGCCTCCTTAATTATTGTTGCGACTAAGCTGGTCGAGGACAGTTATGGGTCCATGCCCTTTGATCAAGGCTACACAAACACCGCTATACGGCTTGACGATATACTGAAGAGTGCAGTGAGTTGCATTGCGCGACTGGACATCCAGAACCCCATGGTGGAAAAGTGCGCGAAGTTTACTGCAACCTTGATCTTCATGGTTCAGAGCTTGCATATGAGTAGGCGATAGCGTCAGTGTGAAGTACGTGCAAAGACTGACTTCGACATAGCTCCGGGCCGTGACGATGCCGCCCGCGAGGTGGGAGGAATGGTGCCCAGCCAGACAATTCCTTTAGACGGAGGTGAGAATGCGCAGACCACGCAAATGGCGTCGAATGGAGGAATGGATGAAGCCTTCTCAAACTTGATGAACTACCTCCCACCTAACTTCAATGATTTCCCCAACACTGCCGCAAACTTCTCGATGTCCGAGTTGATGGACGATTTTGCTACAGGGGACTTGTTTTGGTAGGCTCTAGTCACTCGACTTTGGTCACTGCATGTACATATTCGAAACTTGTTGTCATATAATCAAAGCTCTCCAACTACTTTTCACAAGCGCTAGATAAGAGTCCTTGTTAATAATAGCAAGTCATCAAGGGCGGTGGGCGAAAGCTAACGAGTAGTCGCTTGAGAAGGTGTCCTGTATCCACATATGATTTCGTCACTGTGAGTATGGATTGTCTCCGTAAATCATTTCAATGAACGGCTTGTCGTCAGTCACCACGTCAGTTAGTCACCAACCCATGATGGACTACAAGAAAAGCTGGAAGACCATGTCTCTAGTCATGTTCTTTCAATTGGTTCTAGCATGAAAGCACTCCCTCACTCTAGCTAATCGCTCTGATTCTTCCCACAATTTATTGTACTGCGCAACCCTGTAAACCATGTCGGTACTAAGCTCTTCAGGCCTCACTTTCCCGCGTCCATTGCTCCAACATCTTATCCTCGGCGTCATAACCATAAGCCCAAGACTGAGTAAGGGGATCAGACCACTGGTTTGGGCTGCTCGAAAATTTGCGACCCTCGACTTCGGGGCGCATCGCCTCATCTCGAGCCTTCTGTTCGGGGCCATCCTTGAAGTGCCACAGCAGAGCATTCACCATGCTGGCTTCCTGCATCATCGAGGTTCGTGTCTTCCTTTCTTTTTGAAATACCTGAAGCGCATGGCCAAGCTGTTCACGACTTGCAATGTTGTTGAGTGCCACAGCCAAAGCGGCGCCGTCCTCGACTGCCATGGCCGCTCCCTGGGACATGTAGGGGAGCATTGCATGTGCCGCATCACCGAGGATGACAAGACGTTCAGAATCCGCAACCCATCGTTCCAACGGGACGCCAGCCATCAGAGGCCACTTGACGGTGGTGTCAATCAACTCGATTATTTTTGTGAGCCTGCAACATGTCAACAAGTCAAGCAAACACGTTTTGGAGAGATCGCGGAATCATACTGTGAGTCCCAACCCCTGAATTCCGCTCTCATCTCTTCCAGAATTTCGGCTTGCGTCTTTTGTTCCCAGGTGGAAGGATCCCTCACGTCCCTATGAGACAACACAATGTTGAAAGATTCGCCAGCAGCGATGGTGTAAGTCATGACGTGACGATCTTCGCCAATCCTGTGCTGCAAATTAGACCACCATCTCCGACGAATGTGATCGTCAATCAGCTTACCAAACATGCAGTCCGGGCTTCTCAAGAATCCAGGCAACTTCTGGGATCTTTCTCATCTTGCTGACATCCACCGTGGCTCGGTAGACTGCAAACCCCGTGTAATTCGTTGCCCCAACTTGGTTGGAGGGCAGCAAATTCCTGGCTACTGATTTGACGCCTTTGCCGCAAGAATACATTAGCCCAGATCAACACACGAACTCTAACATGAAGGGGTCACTCACCATCGGCAGCAACAATCAGATCTGCCGAGAAGGTCTCGCCGCTAGACAGGGTTGCACACGGGAGGTGATGGTTGTAGCTGGCGACCCTGCTATCCAACCGAACCGCAACTCCAAGATCCTTGGCTCGCTGGTAGAGCGCAGAGTGTAGGTGAGCACGATGTGCGACGTAGTATGGTGCTCCGCAGAGCTCAATAAAAGATTCAGAGAGATCAGTGAAGCCAATACGGTGGCCATTCTCCCAGCGACGGAACGAGATACCGTCGGGACGTACTGCCTGTTCTGACATAATGTCCATTACCCCCCATCGTTGAAGAAGTTTGCTCGAGTTTGGTGGGATCTGGATTCCAGCACCAACCTACAATCAGTGGTTAGATATTTCAAGAAGCTTAGATTGACATTTCAAGGGCTGCCTGCAGCAAAGCGTACCTCTGATAACTGAGCGGCTTGTTCTAAGACAGTAACCTTGTGGCCACTCCTTGCCAGAGCGACTGCTGTTGCAAGGCCCCCAAGACCAGCCCCAACGATGAGAATATCAAGAGATATCAATGCTGACGGGGCGTTTTCCGATGTCTTTCCGTCGTTTGTGGTGTTCAAGCCTCGAAGAAAGTTGAGGCTATTGGAGGGATAGGACGTGAACAACGGCTTGCGGTGGCCAGAGCTTCCATTGTACTGTTTGTTGCTCGTCTCCTCGCCGACATGACTCTGTGGCCGTTCAGTCCCGTTCTCTGACTTGTGAGACCGAACAAACGGGTCCTGCGAGACAGGCTGGAGTACTTCTGTAGCAGCGGGCATTTTGCAATAGGTTGAACTGAGGGAAATACTGTCGTTGAGGGTAGACGGGAAGATCTTTCTCAACTCGAAGCGTTGCCTTGTTACCTCATTGGGAATCCGTGACCAAGTCGTTGGTTCATATGAAAGAGGTCCCCCATTGTTTCAAGCCTACACGGCCAGCAGTCGGACGCATCCCGTGCCCACTGCCGTGGATCGAGGGTGGTGAACACCCTGGCAAACTAAACTAAGGCTTAACTCCCCGGATCCCCGCATTCAGCGATCCTCCCCCACAAACCTCCGCGCTGCAGCGACTCCCCGTCGAGAAGTTGTCGGAATCATCCCGTGAGACGGATGTGTTATCCTAGCGTCACTATGGAAAATAAGAGAAGTGCAATTCCAAGCGGGGAGATGTCACTATCCCCGATTCCATGCCATTATCGAGTGGCTTGCGTGACGGCAGTTCTCACTGACAACAAAGCTAGGACCTGACTGATAACGTGATATCGTGGTGACAAAACAAAGTCGTTTCCAGTTCAGATATCGGCATCATTTTGGAGGTACTCTACTCAAGCGTCTTTAGACATCATCTTTCCTGTTATTCACCGTCATAATGTCGGTAGCGTGGCAAAGACTTGTTCGATTTGTTGCAAGCGACGGAAGGATTCTCCGAGGAGAGCCCATTCTTCCTCATGAGGGATTCGATTTGGGAAACACCACCGAAGAGACAAGTTTAAAAGCAAAAGTCATTGACGGTTCCGACATCTATGACACCTCAGGGAAGACCAAGGTCACCGATGAGATCGTGGTGGTGAAGAAGCTTCTCGGCCCCTTGGCACAGGCAGATGTGCCCATTCTCCGATGTGTCGGGCTGAACTATGCTACCCATAGTAAGTTGGATGCACACCATGGAGACTTTGATACTTATCATCTACTCAGTCAGAGAGGCCGGTCGCAAGCCACCGCCGTTCCCCTCCATCTTTTTCAAACCAAACACAACTGTTTTGGACCATGACGCAGATGTGATCGTTCCCAAGATCTGCCAGGATGACCAGGCCGATTACGAAGGCGAATTATGTCTTGTCATCGGCAAAGATGCCAAGGATGTATCTGTGTCCGATGCGCTGGATTATGTTGCTGCGTACACTTGTGGCAACGACATCTCATCAAGAAAGCTCCAGCGCGATGCTGCATTTGCAGGAAATGTACCGCAGTGGGGTTTCTCCAAGGGATTCGACACATTTGCGCCTTTGGGACCTTGTCTCGTACGACCCGACCTTGTTGGGGATCCCAAATCGCTTCGCCTTGAGACAAAGGTTGACGGGGAAGTGAGGCAAACTGAAGGTGTCGATGATCTTCTCTTCGACTGTGCTTACATCATTTCCTACCTTTCCTCTGGGACGACGCTACAGAAGGGGTCAGTCATCATGACGGGTACCCCGGGAGGTGAGAACTCTACATGCGCCCGTTGATCGTTTATTGTAACTGACTTGAGGGCCTTGGAAGGTGTTGGGGCGGGCTTCAAACCCCCAAAATGGCTTACACCTGGGAACAAGATGGAAGTCACCATCACCAACATAGGGACGCTAAAGAACGGCGTCAAATTCGCATAGGTTTCGCGAGGTGTAGCCTGGGAGGCGTGAGGAACTGGGCTGAATGAGTGCTGCAAGAAAGCATTAGTAGTCTCGCTACTGCTTTCACGTGATTGATGGGCTTCCTAGCGACCAGATTGCTGTTGAACGCGGTAGGTATCAAGTCAAGGGACACGCGACGTCGACAGCACCACAGACGATAATAGTTCGAACGACTCATAGAGTGAATAGGAATAAGCAGTTTGAGTTCTCGTTCACAACGATCCAATTTCTGAGTGGCATTCATCCCGCGCTAGTCGGGCTATTTATTAGCGAGTGGCGGGTAATAAGACCTAGCCTGTCAGCTAACTACTTTAAAGATGGTTTCGCAGCATGAAGGATCAAGCCGTGCTTGGGTGATCTACGCCGACTTTGGGGTAGTGCTTATTACACAAATGCACACTTAGGCACCCCTTCGTGGCGGTGACAATACCATGGTTTTCATGAACTATCGGATCTTAAAAAGGGAAGACCCCCCGGCACATCGAATTCTGACGAGGGGCTGAAGAGATCGATCTTGGTACACCGATAAGCTTGCAGGACAGCACCAAGAATCCCACCATTCGCATGCGTGACAGCGGCAAAGCAGCAGGTAAACTTTTGTGATGGATTCGAGAGAGCAGGACGACGATGCGCGACAAGTGCGCCGAAAGCCGGTTCCCTCGTACGTTCCGCCGCTTGGGTACGACGAGGCCCTACTGCTCTCATCCGCCCATACCCACGTCTACGACTGGGATCACGAGCCCGAAGCCACGGCACGCCCTTTCGACGAACCGCGAAGTACAGAGATTGGGAGAGACTTGCCCTCAAAGTCGACCTTTGCGAGCGGTGAGACGGAATACGAGCTGGTGAGGACACCGAGTGCCGAGAAGACGGGGAACAACACACGACGGCCCTCGCGACGGAGATGGCAGATTCTGAAAGGGTGGTGGCCAGAGATCATTTGGTGCTTGATCAGTGTTGTCTGCATCATTGTTCTCGTCACGGTGCTGAGGTCGTACGACAACCAGCCACTGCCAAACTGGCCCCTTGGTCTGACGCTCAATACCGTCGTCGCCTTCATCTCAACATTTTGCCGCACATCCTTCGTTCTCCCGGTTGTCGAAAGTCTATCACAGTACAAATGGAACTGGTACAAGTCGCCTAGGCCATTGGGCGATTTTGCGGTCTTTGATGAAGCCAGCCGCGGCCCGTGGGGCAGCTTGAAGCTGCTGCTCAGGACGAAGGGCCGGTATGTAAACCACCTCAAGCCAAGCAAGTACAATTCAAAAGCAGAGTTGATAAATCGATGTGGTACAGGCTCGTTGGAATTCTCTCATCTGTTATCCTGGTTTCTGGGATCGCGACCTCAACGTTGACACAATCCGTTGTCACTTACCCTACTCGTCAAGTTGCTATTGCTGGGAACGAGACCGCACTCACGCAAAGGAATAACGAGTATTTCTGGGCAACTGCCAACGGACCTGCTACAAGTTGGTCATCTTTCCCAATTGATAGATCGACCCTCAAAGTTGACCTTCTCGCAGGAGATATCATGTTCCCGATCAACCAGATTATTCCCCGAAGTCTCTACACCCCACCCACCGAAGTGATGCCGTATTATCAAGCTAGCTGCCGATCCAACAACTGCACTTGGGATGACTTCACCTCGCTTGCCGTATGCGTTGATATGAAGAGTAGGATCCGTCACCACACCATTTTCTCCGTTGCTCGTCTAACTGATTTGCATTAGACGTTACAGACCTTCTCACGAGTGATGGCGACCCCATCGAAATGGGCACAAATTCCACGCTCCCCAACAGCCTGACTTTGCAAAGAACTTATGGGTACGACAATCTGAACATCTCCAGCGGCCCGAGTCTGTCATTCAATGGTACCGATGCAATGGGAGCCAAGATCTGGAACTTTTTCGTCATCTACGGCCCCCGGTTGCGTGCCACGGAAATCATGCTGCATTGGTGTGTGAATACATACAGGGTGACGGTCCAGGACAACATCCCCGTCACGCAAAAGGTCGCTTCCTACACAAATCCACAGGAAGGAGAAGTGTTTGTAGAAACCTACAACATGACCCGTAACGCCACATACTTGACATCGCCAGATAACCCGAACAAGAAATATGTGGCCGACGGAATGGGTCCTGGGGCGATTGCTGAAATCCTCGACTCGACTCTATCGGGGACTTACATCAATGCCGGCACATACAGATTCCAGAACGGAACACAAATCTATGGGACAGCTCTATCGCGGGCCGAAATTGGTATCAATGTTACCACAGAGTCTCAGAAGCTGGATGATGCCCTGTTCACGACGCTTCGCAATCTCACCGAAAACATTGCTAGCGGTCTCACGAACGCGTCAGTCGAGAAATTCCGTGTTTGGTTCTCCAGGAATCCCAACTAACACCATACAGGCTTCTGAATGACAACGTTAGCGGAACTGCGTGGCAAGTGGAGAGATTCGTCTCGATCCGGTGGCCATGGTTGACGCTACTGGCCGCTCAAGTTGGGCTCTCCATCCTGACTTTGGTCATCATCATGATTGAGACTGCCAGCCTAGATATTGAGATCGTCAAGGGCTCTCCCCTCCCTGCACTTCTGGCAGTGCATCCAGATGAGAAGAATGCTCTACTAGGGGACCATATCGAGGAAACGCACAACAAGGATAGTAGGCTTCCGCATTTGAGGGCTTCGGGCATTACTGGCGGTCTGAGGAGAAGTGGAGAGGACTGGGTTCTTCAGGGGATCAAAAGACGATGAATACCATTTGATAGTAACTGAAAACATGTTTACCTTCACCGTTCTGTTTCTGCAATCTCTCCACAAACCACAGACAACCCGGAGATATTATTCGCTCCTATTACTACCACACGTGGCTAAAATCAGGATGCTTACGCTTTGAAAAATCTCCGAGAGCCTTTGGGATTCATATTGACACCAGCGTCGTCGCAGTTGTCTCCGCCTCTGACAACGACATTCCAATCGTCCATGTGGAAAGTCTGCCCGCTAACAGTCATGCCTTGTCCTTGGTTGGCATCCAACTTGTCCTTACACTTTGACAAGACGCGCTGGGCGCCGTCGGCAATGTCGCCAAACGAATCGATCTGCTTGGAGCTTTTGGCCTGCGTGGAACCAATTGAAATGTCAGCCACTCCACCTTACCAAGACACTACATGTGTGGCCATCAAGAGGAGAAGAGCAAGATACTCACATCGTTGCACCACCAGATACCCGTACTATTCCGACAACTAACCCGTCCGCAATTTGCAGGTCCGGCCCCATTCTCAGGCTTCCCCTGAATCGTCCTCAGATAATCGATACTGAGATGCGCGGCCGTCCTATTGCCCTCCCTGAAATTGTTGCATAGCGTCTGGTCTTTATCCTCAAAGGTGGCCCTTTTCCCGATAGCTGGCATCGCAACCTTGCCAAACTGGTCGTCAATGTCAAAGGTCGGGTGCATGTCGAGGACCTGGGCGGCCACCTCTTCGACTGTGCCTCGGAGGGAGAGCATCTTGCCGCTGCCGTCGGTGGAAGGGATCTCCCAGCGGGGGATGAAGATGCCGTAGCCTGGGATGGGCGCGCCGGGGCTCGGGGCGTCTTGTCCAAATGCCCATACCTGTTGATGGAGCGTTAGCCATTGTCTTCTAGACGTGTATGCATAATGGGACTTGCCACGGTGACTAAGATGGCCCACGGGAACGAGATGGAGAGCGAGATTAACATGATGTCTGTGATGAAGTCGGTCTACAGTGGGAAGGCATGCCAGCCTGGCCATACCTGACGCGGGGCTCATATTTTCAAGTCGTTATCAACATTATTGTTTCGGAGAGGGGTAGCGTCAAGCTCACGTCGTCTTTGATGTTTGGGCAACATCATCGGCCGAAGTTTAACTCGACAACCTTCAATGCTCTGCCGAACCACCACATTCTGGCCCAAGAAGATTCCACAGATTTACTCCATGGACGACTTGGCGTCTCTTAAAGTGCGCAATTGCCTTGTTCTCTGACATCCAAGCCAGAGTGTCGCCTCCTGGGTTCGGCACCTACCTCAACTGACCGAGACGGTGATCTCTCAGGACTTGGAAGCCAAATGCTAACAAACCACAACTCGCTCTGCATGTTGCAATCAACCTGTACGACAAGCAGAATACTAAGCAATCTTTGTCTACGGCTCCATGGACGGCGAAGCTACAATTCAAGGGACCCGAACCATCACGAGAGGATGCAATAACACATACATACGTTTGGACGGCAGAATACAACCCGACGAAACGAGAAATACAACCAATGTGGGCAATTCGTGGTCTATGAAGCGCCGGCAGCGAAACCGAACCCTGCCGTCCGGTTAGACTCAAAGTTGCCGTTTCATCCTCCCAGAGAGCAGCGATGCCCTTGTCCAAAGGTCTCAAAGCCTCAACCACTACAAAAGCCAAATCGGCGAGGGAGTGTCGTCCAATACTAACGCGCCACATAGACGTGAGCTTACTGCACTCTTTGGTATTGGTGCACATGCGGTGCAATCGCTGGTATCGAGTAAGGTAGGGCGCTGACTATTGTTTCGCTGTCGGGATGTGTTGTGGCATGAGGCGTAGTCGAGTAACGGCAGAGTAGCTATCATAGGTACGGGCAGGATAATCTGTCCAACATCAATTGATCTCGAGCAGAGGTAACCAGCAAAGTCGCCAGTAAGATAGGTATAAGTAATCTCATATCTCATCAGGTTGACAAAGAGAAGGCTAGCTATATATAACATGTAAAAAGGGTATTCTAGTACAGTAGGTAGAATCATAGTATCTAGCCTGAAATTTGCGCCGCGTAAAGACTCCAAAGAGTCGCAGCCGGGTGAAAAAGGAACCGGGTTAAAAGGGGGTATCGGAATGTCGCGGAACTCATTGTAGTGTAGGCGCGCGCTCAATCATGCATATGCTCGTCGTGAATGCATCAGTAAAATCATCATCAGTAATAGTGAAAAAAGGGGAGAAGACCATCCGCGCGCCTCTCATAGGTCGCTCACAATTCCCTCATACGTCTCGTCGACGGTCGCCAATCCGCCCGTGGTAGTGCCGTAGCCCCTCTCCTTCTTCTTCCCCTTCTTTTGTAGTAGCGGCTGCTGGTTCGTCGTAGATGTTGTTGTTGTTGTTGTTGTATGCCGGCCTTCGCTGTACCACTGGAACACGGCACATAGGAAGCCAATGAAGAAGAGGAACCTAGAGAAAAGGCGCATCGTTAGTCAATCATCCCAATTCCGGTTGAGCCAAGCCGAAAAAACTACATGCATCCCTTCCCCCCCCCCCCAACGGACGGGACCGGACCAGAGATATCGTCGTAAAGAGACACGTGATGGAGTAAGAAAATGACAGAAAAGAACAAAAAGGAACAAATTACTCACCACATCTTGACAGCCAACCCGACAACGACCCGCACCCCCTTCTTCTCCAACCTGTCGCCGTCCTGCCCCTCCCCCTCCTCAACACCACTCACACCAGCGCACACGACGACGGCGCAAAACGTGGCCAGCACCAGACCGGTCGCCTGGAACCCCAAATCCCCAAGCCTGTTCAGACAGCCGACCCCGCGCAAGAGGGCCGCGGAGAGGGAGACGCTGAGGAGGATCATCAGGGCCGGCGACGCGAACTCGGATAGCCTGCGGGTGCCGTCATCGTTAGCTATGCCTGTTTGGTTTGTATGACACGAGATCAATCTCGATGAGCGATACTCGATACCTCATGGGGGAAAGAATGGAGGGGGGGAAAAGAGGGAGAAGAGACTCACCAGTTCCAAATCTCAAAATCACCACCATTGTACACCATGTAAATAATCCAGCCCTCAACACCGCCAGCGACACAACACTCCAACCCCATCAGAATCCACCACGCAACAGCCTCCAATCCGCCTCCGGCAGCCATCGCTCCCCCATCGCTCCCCTCACTCGACCGCGAGCTCGAACTCCCCGCGCTGCCCCGACGTCCCCATCCCGAGGAACGGTGGATCTGGTGGTTCGGGTTCCCCAACATTCTCTTCCCCTCCCCTGCTGCTGCTGCTGCTGCTGCTGCTGCTGCTGCTACTTCCCTTCCCCCTAGACCCGCTTCGAGATCACACTCGACGACCGTGACGAGAGGATGATGATGCTGTTTCCACGCCGCCTTTTCGTCTCGTTGTTGATACTGTTTCGGCGTTCGCTGCTGGTGGAGATGTTGCCGTAGTTGCTGCTGCGGACTCCCGGCCCGGGTAACAATGGCCATCAAGGCGAGGCGAGATGCGGCCTCCATCGGGATCGATATCGATATCGATATCGCGAACGTGGATATGGATGTGAATGTGAATGTGGGCTGACGAGCTCAATCCGGTTCGATTGTGCCGAGGTTAACAACGTACGGATACGCAGCGTAGACATGCGAATTGCCCGCCGTCTGGATTTGGAGTTTTGGAGTACCTAGTCGGTATGGTACAGTATACTCGATAATACCACTCAGTATCAAGTTTGCGTCAAGTCGATGGTAAGTGAATGACTGCAACAACAAGAAGAAGCATGGGCAGAGTCAGACGAGAAAAAAATGTGTATGAAACTCATTTCAAGAAGTTAGGTAAAGGTGAAAGAAGAGAAACTTGAAATCGTGTGGACAAACCAAAGGAACAACACGTTGACAAATTCCACCAGACCCCAAAACTTTAGGCATCATGGAAAATTATGTGACTGAACCCCTTGAATTAGATAACTTGGTATCATTGGGCTGTGTATCCCCTTTTTTCAGCTGGCTCCTGTCTCTCTCCCACAAGTCTCTCACAGTTTCTCCCTTCCCAGAGGCTTGTGTCAGTGTGTCCCTTTCCGCGCCTCCCTTTCTTCCGACATGCGACGGACCACCTGACCCCGTCACCATTCCCGTCCGCCGTCGCACCTGAGCCATCCATCTCACATCATCCACACCCCCCCCCCCCCCTTCCGTGCCCCCTCAGCCCTTTTCCCTTCATTCATTACAATACTCTTACCTATTTATTTTTGCCCTGCCCTCTGCCAACAGTAAGGCACAAAGCAAGTTGCCCTTCTCGGACCCCCCGCAGCAAAGGCCCGTTACCCCGGACCCGCAAGACCCCGTGTCTCGATGCCCAGCTCGCCTGCGCACCACTCACAGTCGTCCGCCCTCTTTGATGAACTCTCTTCGGTTCCCGACCAGCCCAGCCCAGCCCAGCCGACACACGTACATCCATCCAGTGACCACTACATTTTCAAGGCAGAGGTGATGGGGATAAACACACTTCATCACGCATATTTGTGGTCACACCCGTACGCAAGGTACCTTGCCCCACAGGACCCCCAGGAAGCACCATCCGCCCTTCCCACCAAACCACATGTCAAGGCCCAGAAAGAAGAAGTGACTTGCTGCATGCAGCCTGCGGCCTGCCGCGTCTGGTAGACTTACACACACAACACGTGCGTGTTTTCTGTCTCATTGCCCCAAAATCATACACTACTTACTACCTTGCCTTGCCTTGCCTTGCTTCGCCGAATCATGAATACTCTACAGCCGACAAACGCCGTCCATGCCCAAACCCCCCGTGCAGTGTGCCGTACCGTACCGTACCGTACCGTACCGTACCGTACCGTACCTTACCGTCCCAATCAGGATTCAATAGTAGGTAAGAGTCATTCGTAATCTTGAGCCAACCCCGGGACTTTGGCGCCCATTACTCCAAACTCATTCTGGCCTCATCGCCGATTCCCCATTGTCCGCCCTCCTTGCCCTGTAAAGCGAGGTTCAACTTCAATCCCAGCGCCGCAGCTTCCTCTTCGCTCTTGGCCTCACTTGCTCTACGACTGCGATCCTGCTCCTTGTCGGCTTTGCTGGCGACGCTCTTATCCGTCACTTTCCGTCGTAATGACGGCGCTTTGAAGAATGATCGTCCGCCGGAGCTCGTCGAGAGAGTTGATGCAGTGTCGTCCTTTTCTCTTTCCAGGTCCTTATCTGATAGGGTCAGGTCTTGCGCGGGGTATGTAGGGGAAACCATCTTTTCTTCGAGCGTGCTGTACCTCTGCGTCGTCAAGGCGGGACCCGGGGGTCCTGTTGTGGGCGAGCCGGGCCGGGCTGAGCTCGGTGCTTGTGAGGCGTCAAGTTCGTGTGCCATTTCATCCTCCGAAACCTCCACCAGCTCGGCGTCACGATACCACTTTCTCCGTCGTGTCCACCGTCCCCATCCGTCGGAGCCGCGGCGTCCGTTTTGCCACTGGTCCACATGTGTTAGTCACGTAGGTGTTGCACTCGGCTACAATAGTCGGAGCTCACCTTATTGTCGTAGTAGATCCATCCATTCTTCCCAGGTTCACCGTCATAGTCGATAGGTTCAGTCCCGTCATCCGGAACCCCGTCTACCCTCCATTCGCTTGCTTCAACCCACCGCCAGCGCATGTTGCTACCATCTTCAACTTCGGGCAGCTCAAATGTATCTCGTGAAGGCACAGGATTATTATGTTCATCAGTCCATGCCGACCGTTCGTAGGCAAACATGCTCTGTGTCCAGCCGAGGCCGACCCACCGTCGCTGGTTCTCGTATATAATAAAGGTGAACTTGACACCCGCGTCCTTGCTCGTGGCATTGTTGCCATGCCTGTGGGACTGCTTGCGCAACGCCTTGGTGAGCTCCGATGTTGCCGGCTTAGCCTGCACTTTGCCATTTTCTGCCGCGGTGATCTGGACCGGTACAGCCTTGACGGGCTTCTCAAATGTCAAGCCCGTGACCAAGGCTGCTGTCCTCCGGATCGTGGCGCTCCGCCATAAGAGCGTCCGGGCGACTCGCAAGAATCTAGCATGCCATGTCAGCACCAGAGTGCCGAAAAGCAGAGCCACACGTCGAGTCGTGATGATTCGTAGTGGTGGAAGCGTCAGGGCCATCCAGACAGGCGTGCAAAACAAAATCCGCACGAACAGCGTCGTCAAGGCTGGTCGTGTCGTCGCAGACGTAGGGGTTCGTTGCGTACTCAGGAAGTCGGTCAATTCAAGGAGTGGCTCGAGCAAGAGGTTACATCGCCCAGTGAACTCCTTCAAGGTCTCAACAATCTCGTCCAGTGTCTTCTGATGCCTTGTATTCGTCGCCTCTGACTCGCCCCGTTGATGACCCTTGGTCGTGTTCGTGGTTGTATTGCCCTTGGGCGTCGACTTCTGTGCCTTGCCCCCGGCCGTGCTTCCGGTATTCTGCGCGCCGCCGGGATCCTTGGAAGCTGGCTCTGTCCACCCACTACTGCTCAGCGGACTGAAGCGCCTGCCATACATTCCCAGTATCAAAGTCAGGACAACGACAATCGGTCCCGCCATGCGCACGACGATGTCGCCATAGAGGACGATGGCCCAGAAGGACGCCAGCAGGAGGAAGCTCTCCCACGGATCGTCGGTCGTCCATGTCAACAACCCGGCAAGCTTATTGAGGGGTAGGAGAAACGGATGCGAGTATGCTAATGCGCGGGTGATTTGCGGCGGCGTCGCTAGGAGGAGGGGCGACTTCTGATGAACGATGATGGTGGACTGGCGGGAGGAGCGGCTCGGGGTGGTTGCGGCGAGGGTGACGGGGGAGAAGGTCGCGTAGGTGGGAGGCGCGCCGGAGGGTGTGCCGTCGAAGCCGGAGCCCTGGGAAGGATCGTTTACGGAGTCGGCATCGGCGCCGCGGTGGGCCTTTGGGGTCGACATGTGGACTAGCCAGGGCGTATCCTGCAGCGGGTGACGGAATGGTTAGCCTGGCTTGTGGGTTGGAAGAAGGATGGATGCGTAGGTAGATGGATGGATGCAGCCGTGGCAAGCCGCCCGTCAGTGAAGCCGGAGGGGGGATGAGGTGTGTAGAATGGATGCCATTTGGGGTGGAATGCGATGTGCGATGAGTGTGGATGGGAAAGAAATGTGAGGCAAAGGACAGAGGGCAGACGAGCGGAAAGGTTATGACGTGGCTGATGCGTTGAAGGATGCCAAAGCGCAGTGGCAGCTGAGCAGCAAAGACAGAGAGACAGAACAGAGACAAGAGGCAACCGGGGTAGCTCCGTGACAGCGTGACCGTGTCTTTCAGTCTTGTCTGTGTGCCCATCTGCTGCCAGCAGCTGTCCCAAGCTCGGCTCCAACAACCTGAACAAGGCCAGATAGACAGACCGGGAAGCAGACATTCAAACATGCCGCCTCCGTCTCTATTCCTGTGTCTCTCGGCCACGGCGGAACAGGGCGGAGCCGGTGCGCTTCAAGGTCTGGGTATCCGCAGGCTGCTCCGTAATGACGAACAGACTACAGGGCAAGGATGATGGGCGAGGGTCGGGGGTGGGGGTGATTCGGGGAAGGGTCTCTCTCTCTCTCTCTCACAAAGGCAGCCATCAATGTCCGAGGTCCTCCACTGCTTCCGCAGACTTTCGGGGCCGCTGCGGCTTCTGCGCGTTGTCGTTGTCGTTGTCGTTGTCGTTGTCGTTGTCGTTGTCGTCGTGCTCGATGCTTCGAGAATGCGAGGGTTGACTCGGATCAAGTATTGGTGTTTGGTAGGTGGGATTTGCCAGAGAGAGGGCACAGCGGTGGTTGTCCCAGGATGATGGAAGAGAAGGGATAAAGGATCGGAGGAAACGAGGCTCTCTGCGATGGCATGCGCATAGCCTCCAAAGGCCGAATTCGATCGCAATTGTCCGACTCTGTGGATCGCAACGTCATCGGTTTCGGTCGCAGGTTGTAGGCAGGTTGTAGGCAGGCAGTCGTAGTTAGTCGTGGATCCGGTCGTCGCAATTGCTCGCTGGTCGCACTTTAAAGTGTCCGTCGCGGCATCGGACTGGCTGGATCTTTGTCCGGTTTCTTTCTCTCTTTGCACTCGAGGCAGAGGATTCGGCTTCTGAACAGCAGTTTGGTTTCTCTTGACTTGGAGCCGGAAGATGAAGCAGAGAGGAAGATATGAGCAAGGTAAAGGTAAGTAAAGAGGAGAGAGCACAAAGAGAATGGCAAATGGCAAAAGATTCGGGAAATGGGAACAAGTTCGGGACGTTGGGCGCTGAAGAAATGCGACGAGAACTGCGCTGCTGCACCCAGCTGGAGCTTCCGAGGCCCCTAAGCCGGTAAGGTAAGGTACCTAATACCACAGGGCAGCTTTCCCCGTTGGTCATCCCCCACGTGCCTGCCTGTGCTGGCAAAAGGTATTTGGGGTAAGCTCTGGCCGCTGCTCTCACGGGCTCCAACCTCTCATCTTCACCCAGCCTCTCACCTCTCACATCTCACCCGAGCTCTCACTTCAACCCCGGCAATCACATGCAAATTCACACCACCAAGACGCCCAAAGCTCCCATCCATCCATCCCCAGGTTACCCAAGGGAAAGCTGTCGATCCACTATTCATCCCAGCTGCAACTCATCCCGCATAAGGTACGGAGTATGGGTACGGATAGAGTTGGTCACGAGCATGGATCCGATCCCCAGTCCAAGACTGAAGTAAGTCCGGATAACAAGTGCCCGATGCTAGACGTGCCTGGACTTTGGATCAAGACTCTCATCTCACTGCCACCATCTTCACTCACAACCATTCGACGATTCTCATAAGACTCTTGATCAATATAGTTTCAATTTGTGCTACAACGCTCATTCAGGCATGCAACTGATAGCGCTCAACTAATACCATATCTCAATGTCGATAGCAAGGGAAAACTCTCGTAACATCCACCATGTTTTCCTTGTCCCTAAAACGCCTAAATCAGTCCACCGCGCGTATGAGCAGCATCGCTACTCCGCCCCGGAGTCTCCCATGTCTCTTGCGAAAGCCAGTCTACCCAGTAATATACGCATAACCGAGCCCAAATTGGGATTCACGGTCTCAGGATAAAAAGGAAACCCCCTTGACGCCGTTTAGTCATTCATACACAACACTGCTCCTGGATCCTCCATCCTCCATCGCCCTCGCCCTCACAGTGACATCTCATATCAAAACAGGTGCTGCATATCCGGGTTCTTGGCCGAAAGCCATCGATAGAACTTGGTCGCTTGCAGCTTTGCTCCCCGTTGGCTGCCCGTCACCGAGTTGGCCTCAAACACCAGTCTCTGCTCCAACCTCTCGCCCTTCTCCGTCTTGAGCTCCAGCTGTACTGTCGTTCCCGCCATCTTTGCTGCCTTGACTATGCTGGCATCCACAACCGCCTCCATGCCGTCCTCCTCCTTGCTTCGCATGATGCTGCTCGATTCGTCCTCCGCGTTGAATCGCAGGAATTTTCCCGGCTGCACCCAGTGCTGACTGCCCTGGTGAAACTCTGACACGTCGATAAAGTTCCCAACATCCCTCTTGCCTCCCAGAGCAGGAGACGCCGCCGCACTTCGGTCGATGAGAGGCGATTGAAGCGCCGCAGGCGTGACCCGCGGTGACTCCGATGCCCGGACTGCACGCCACTGCTCATTGTTGACCAAGCTGGCGTGTGTCAACACCTTGGGAGTACTACGACCCGAGGCAGTGCCGTTGCTCGTGCTGATCACCACCGTCTGTTTGATCGTCCCTCGCTCCTGGTCATCGTGAGCACTGTTACTGCTCATGCTAGCAATACTCATGCGAGGATCGGGTCGGCGAGCAGCGCTCTCGGCGCTGGCAGCGCTGGCACTTCGCGGGGGCTGAGGAAACGGGCTGTTCAACGCTGGCGACGCTGCCTCCTTGATACTCTTAGTGGACAGAGCGGGCGACGGCTGTTGGCTAGCCCTTGTCATTTGATCGAGATGAATTCCTTGGCTGGGCTTTTGAGGCAATGGGTGTCGGAGTGGCGCCGATTCAACAAGGTCTAGAGACGGCTTGGATGACAGAGGTCGACGGACTGCCTTTTCAGAGCTGGCTGCGTCGTTGACCAAGTCTGCAATCTGCAGCTTGGGGCTTATACGAGGGACTTCCTTGTGTAGACTCGGCGATTTGGAAGCAGCCTTCATCGCGCTCTGAGCCAAGCTTGCCATCGATGCTTGGTCCATCTGAGACTGGTTCTCGCTGTCTCGCGGGGCTCGTGTGGTTTCCGCCGCCGAATGCGCACTATCTTGAGCATTCTGTCTCTGAGAAGCGTTACTCCCGGCAATCTCAGTGAGCGCAGACCGCTCGGTTGCTGCTACGACTGTTGGCTGACTCGAGTCCGGTGATACGGTACTCATAGGCGCGCTGCCCTCAGTCCTAGGAGTGGAATTGGGAATCGAAAATGGCCCGTTCACAGCGATCTCTGCAGATGCTTTCTGAGGAGTCGCGGGGGTTCCAAGTGCGACTGTGACGGGTCCTCCACTGGTATTCGCGGGGATGGGAGTCGCGCTCTCCCTGCTAACAGCTCGATCCTTGGACGGCGAAACTTGGGCACCATCGTCCATTGTCACATCCTCCTTATCAACTGCTGCCTTGTCTTTCTTGGCTGACAGACGCGTGCCAGCAGCAGCTCCAGATCTCCCCGTCATCCAACTACTCTCGCTCAGCCGCGACGTAGGGCGCACCTCTTGAGTGCTGCGCCTGAGAGGCTGCTGAGGTGTTGTTGGGCCTTCCTCGATATCCGCCATGTCGTCATCTGAACCTTGGCCATTCCTACGCTTCGGCTCCACGTAGTCTTCGTCGTCCGAGTCGTCAGCTGGAGGAGGATTGTCGCCAAAGTCGTACATATCAACATCTGGTACAGGATCCGAGTCCGATGCCGAAGTAAACGACGGCAGCTTCGCGGGAATCGTCGCAGTCGTCGCCGTCTCTGTCGTCGACCCCACTTCTGCTCCTCCTGGTGATTTCCTTGCCTGCACATGGGCCAGCATGGCCTCAAACGAGTCGTACCCACGAATCTCAGCATACTTCTTTCTCGCGTTGTTGGCCGGGTCCAAAGGATCAGCAGATCGGTCTGGGTCGTCAAGTAGCAAAGGCTTCAGAATGAACTTCACGCCTAGCCAGCCAAGCCGAGTGTTTCCATTCTTCTCAAACCACAAAACGGGAACGTCCCTGTCCAACTCACGCGGCTCGCCGTCTCCGTAACCAGGCGCCCAACCACCAATGCCTTCGTCATTATATGTGTAGCATGTAGGTCGGATCTTCTTGTCGCAAAGCTGCGTGTCACTGAGCCAGCCATCCCATCCGCACATCTTCAAAGAGGTCCAGCCCAGAATCATAACGATGTAGAGCTTGTTGCTCCTCGGCCATTTTGCGTGGTAAATGTCACCTGGGATTGGGTTCATGATATGATCCGCACCACGTTGCTGTTTCTCCTCCTGTGGCCTGGCATCCAACTTCGTTTGGTAAGATCCGGCGCTGTTAGGGGGTGCCTGGAACGATGAATCGGAGACTGACGGGTCTCTGACGGGAGCCATCGTGTGAGCGGCCGACTGTCGTTTGCCGCCGGATTTCGGGCCGTGCAGCTGGTTCAGGGGCTTGTAACCGTTTTCGAAAGCAAGGCGGACGCATTCGTTGTTTACTGCAGCAAGCTCCTCTGTGCAGTCCACGACGTGAAATCCAATGGTTTCAACCGCCAACTTGTGCTCCTTCTTCTGATGACCATGCGAAGCTCCGTGGAGATGCTTGGCTGCGGCTGCCAGTGCGTTTTGCTTGAAATGCACACCGTGCTCATCGCATCGTAAAATGTAGAAAACATCCTCGAATTTGACGATATTGTGCTTGTACTCCGCTTTGCCGTTCTGATAGACTTCGGCGAATGTGATCGTCCTAGGGGCTATCGACTGTGGCGTATCAGTTCTCGCGCGCTTCGGATCTGCATCCCTAGATGACATGTCGCTAGCATCAGACTTCCTCTTTGCCATCTTGTTGTGGCGGTCAGGGTGGGAGTCTGCAGGCTGTTTCAACCCATCTTCCGCATGTAGTCGGCCCATACGGGAGCCCATCGGTCCAGCATTCATGGGCGGCAGAGGTACCCGGTTGCTACGATCGGCTAGATTAGGCTGAGAGCCATTGACAGGCTGTCCAGATCCGACTCTTGGAGGGCCGTAATGATTGCTTCCCAACGTAGGAACATGAGGTTGCGAAGGAAGCACTCTCGGGGCCTCATTTGCCGCGGGGTTGTTCACCGGTCGATTCGAGTGATACAAGGCTGAGGTGCGAGGCGAACTCTGCTGCGGGCCAGCCTGATTATGGTGAATCCAGGCCTGTCCTTGATTTGGGTGGCCCTGGTTAACCTGCTGTGACTGGCGAATTTGATGGTCGAGTTGAGACGGCATCTGAGCTGAGCTACCTTGCCCAGGCATCCCATTTGCTGGTCGCTGCTGAACGGGCTGATTTGGCATCATTGGACCTTGTGGCAAAGACTGACGTGCCTGTTGGGGAGGTGTGCTCATCGGCATGGTTGAGGGCGAGCCGCGCCCAACTGGACCAACGCGTGCGCCACCAATCTGAGCCGACGGGTTTGTTGTTGGCGTACGTCCCAGCATGCCAGCGTTCGGGGCGTAACCGGCGTTGCGCACAGGATAGTTGCCGGGAACAGGGAACCCTATGTGATGTTCGCGAAGAGCGTCCGTTTCCCGTCTCGCGCGGTCTTTTTCCTCGGCATCACGCCTTTGTTGGCAGGCGGCATATCGATGGGACCGTATTTCGTGCTGGTACTTTTGGAGAAGCTCGCGAGCTTTCTGGGGCAGATTTAACGTATCGGCGAAGCGGGCCTCGTCGTCGAGATCGTGGCATGCGTCACGCTGCTGTTGGGTGAATTTGGCGTTTACGTTCTCCTTTTCAGCCTCGAAGCGGGCTTTGAGCGCTTCGAACTCTGCAAACCAGCGTTTGCGATCCTGGTCTAGATCTGGTTGACCATTTTGCGACATGGTCGCAGTAGAAGATGAGATGCTCGTCATGGCGGCGAGACCGAGTCTGCTGTACGAGGAAGAGAGTCTGTCTTGTTCGCCCGGCAGAAGTTGTGATCAAAGACTCTGCTGATAGTAAGTCGACTGACTGACTCAGTTTGGACGACCCATGCCCAAGACTCAGCCACTGAAAGAACCTATTTCAGACATGGCATTAGATACTGCAGTCCAGGATATCTCAACCTTGCGGCTCAAAATAGCAACCAAAGTGAGAGATCTATCGATAATGACTGTACCTCAAGGGGATCAGGGCAGAATGAAGTATTATTCACTCAATGACCAGAATCAAGTAGTCTGCTCGATACTCGGGGGTTTACTGCGAGATTCGTAGTCCGCAAAGAGAGGGACGGACGATATCGACGATTGGTCAATTAGTCGAGATGTAACTCTCGACTAGAGCTCGCAATCAGATGCGATGTCCTTGGCAACGGCAGAACGAACGCGATGCGTAAGGCGGTACGCAAGGGGTCCTGGCGATAAGACTCGATGTCTCCTAGACAAAGGGAGTTGCGAGATGAAAAGTCGATGAGAAGTATAGGAAAAAAAAAAGTGATGAGGCCTCGATGTGTAGTCGTCAGGAACAAAGTACCTAAGGACGGCCCAGACGAAAGGTACTTTCGGTTTGGTAGGCGGCGTAGGCAGGCGCGGCGGTGGTAGTGAGACGTGTGGTCGTGGGTGGAGTTGTGTAGGTGGCAACTCAACGACGTCTGCCTATTGGGATTGCTTGTAGTTCGTACGGATTACCTGCTCGGTCCCGGTTAGGATAAGGTGCCAGGCACAAATAGAGTGAAAATGAATTAGATCCAGATCCCAGATGCAAAGATGCGGGACCCCTCGTCTATCCGTATGGTGGTGGTCGAAAATAGAACTGGAAGCTGTCAAGGGCGCCAGTACTTGCCACTTGGAGGGTGAAGTTGTTTGGACCGGGGGGTGTGGGAAGGTGAAGAAGAGGTGGGTGTGAAAGGCGGAAAAAAAAATAAAAAATTTGAAAGAAATGGGGGCGCGTGGTCGGTAAGAAGGCGGTAGAAGAATGGCAAACAACAAAGAGTAAGAAGGAAGATGCAAACAGTGAGTGAATGGGAAGATGAAGATGGCCAAGGATGACCGGTGATGAATGATGAATGAGGGACGAATATGTTGGGTAAATGGGTTAAGGTAAGGTAAAGAAAGGTATGGGAAGGTATGGAAGGGCGAGGAGTGGAAAGAAAGGAAGGAGGGAAATTAGTCCATTGTTTCGGGAAAGAGCAAATGCTATTGGGTCTGCCAATGAATGGCATTACTACTACATAATAACCGCCAGCTAAGGTAGAAGAATGGCAGGTGCGCCTCTGCCGCCCGTTCCTTCCTCTTACCATGCCATCATAGACAAGGTGAGGAAGGACCAACCAGACCGGGAAGTAAGGTGAAGTATCCGTAGGTAAGGTGAGGTAAAGAAAGAGCCTACTTTACTAGGTAGATACCTGGTAAGGCAAGGTAAAGCAATTGGAATGGAACCGCTCATCGCCAAGTACGTACCTGATATGCTTGCTATTCTACTGATCCCTTGAGATATTTGGCAAACAGTCAGAGCCCACGCCAACTGAAAAATGATCCTAGTACAAGAAGCGAGATGTCCAATTATTCCTACGATTGGATACTCGGAGGGGGGAGGGAGATGGGTGTACGGTGTCTAAGTAGAAGTGTGTAGCAAGACAAATGGAATGAGGATGGGCCGAGAAGAATGATGAATACTTTTAAGAAGAAAAAAAGGTAAGACCAGGGCCTACGGTGCTGAGTGCGGACGTATCCGTAGGCAGAATGCTCATTTGGTGGCTACTTGTACCGGACCAAGCTAGACTAGAGACAGCTAGCTGGAGTACGTCTGACTGGGCTGGAGTGTGTGCATGAGTGGTGAGATAATCAGAGAGTGTGTGTTAGGTTGTGTGTGTGTCAAGCACATGCAAGCTGTTCCTGGGGGGGATTTGGTTTATCAGCGCCAACGCCCGTACGGGTATTCGTACCTCTTACGGATACAGCAAATTGATTAATTGTCTGGGGGGGGGGGGGGGGGTTTTGGTTTTTTTTCCTGCTCCTCCGCAGCTCGCTCGCCTTTACGGAAAGAGAGACATTGCTCTCTCTCGGACCCGGCTGGGATTGGACAGCCATACGGCCAAGCGTCTTGGAACATTAGATACGTAACGACTACTTTAGTAGGTAACCCTTTCCGTTTTTGAGTTGCTGACACGGCAAGGTACCGGGGTACGTAGACTTCTCTAGGGACGGACCCATGGATACCTACACACTGGCTAACCGCGTATCTTAAGTCCGCGCATCTCTCACTCTCTCACTCTCATTCTCACTCTCACTCCATGTTCTGTCTTTCTCTCAAACACTCTCTCTTGGTCTCGCACTCTGATTATTATCCCACGCAATGGAGCCATCCGCCACTGCCCACCACTCATCGGAAACCCTACTCAGAAATGGACGTAGCGTTCCGAAGTGTGGGTACCCCCGTCACAGAAGCTCCAGAGGTACGGAGTACATACTTCACAGGCTCCCGCTCACTCAGTAATAAGGTACGTAGTACGGACGGTAAGGCGTGCCAATCCCTTCGACCGCGTATCCGTTATTATACCATACGAAGTATTCGTACGCCCACAGCCTTAGCTACAGTGTTCCTATTACACTCGTGGCACGGTAGGCTGAATCCGTACCTAAGCTCTCCTTCAGCTCGGCGCCACGCCCACTCAGTTCAAGCCCGCATCTCCAAAGAAATCCACACAGTCATTGCATTCATTGAACTCCCATTGAGCACCATCTTTTCCATCCCATCTCAAAAAGTATTGGACCGTGAGCTTCGACTCGTAGTGTGCAATATTGGACGTATCCGATTAGCCGAACATGTCCTCACCATTGGGTATCTCGTCGCATTAGTGAACTCCTCCGCGAGGGCAGCCAAAACACGCCAATTCGCCGCTCTCAAACGCCGTCGGGCTCACACTTCCATGTTCCACCCCAGACTCCCGAGTCCTCAATGATTATCTCCGGCCCCGTTCATCTTCTCGCTCTCGTGAGGGCGAGGCAGAAAAACTTTCAAAGACACCAAGATTGCCCATCGATCCATCATCCCCGTAGCCCTAGCCTCTCGCTCTCCCCTCTCATACACCCGGGGACCCACCACCACCACCACACCATTGATCCCTTAAAGAGGGGGGAAAGCGAACCTGCTGCTTGCCTCTCACTAATCACTAGGTACGGGACTCCATGGGTTCCATGGGTTCCATGGGCTCCAGGGAGACGGGAGCATTCCGCACGGCATCTGATTTGCGCCAAACCACGTATCACCCTGGGCCCCGCGCCCCTGGCCGCCATGCTCCCATGATTATGAAGTGTATCCGTCCTCCGTACTCCGTACTTTACCAGCTTACCATTGACCACCACTGGCACCATCAACTAGGTATTCGTACCCTTGCCTTGCCATGCTACAATATGCCATGCCGCTATGAGTGACCACCCTAGTCGCTCACTCACACTGCTCACCTCATCACACAAAGTGTGACAACGTCAATCACCGCCGCGGCGCCGCGCTTGACGCTACCGGTCTTACGAAGAAGCCCAAGCCTCGGATCGGTACGCAGGTACCTTACTTATCTTCTTCCGACTCTTCTCAAACACATTGGACAAAAAGATTGCATGGCAAAGTCTGGGCATGACTCTCCCACCGGTCTGACAGGACGTGAATCAGACTCAACCAGACCCTCACTCGTCAGTTTCTCCGCGTACTCTACAGCCTAACTGGACCCGTGACTTGGCACCACTCGCGAGGCAGGGCACGGGTATATTGCGCCGTCATACAGTTCATAGTAGCGTATTTCATTGGTTCACCTTTGAGCATTTTTGGTAATTTTCGCCCGGCGTCCCACGCGACTCATCACGGACCCCCTGCCAAACTATTACTTTCCCTGGCGCATTTGCACTTTCACCAGGACATTGGATCAGCCTGTACAGTCCGGGAGACGTTAGGTCGATCGGCATCGTGATCAGGGCCGACGAACATTGGCTTGCTTCCACCTTGTTTCCCGCCCGCTTACAGCTTACCTTATTCCTCTTAGTAGTTCCCGAGATCCGCGTACACCATTACGGCGGGAGTGTTCCGTATACGTTTTCACTCTCCGCCTGTCTTCACCTCGCCTTTAGGTACTAATGTTACCATGCTACGAGTTATTCGTACAGCGCACGCACGGGGCGGTGGCACACATCCGACATCCGTCATCCATGTCGCAGTTAAGTTGAGAGTTGCGGATTCGAAATTCTTAGATGATGCCGCTATTCCAAGACGAACCATGATTCCGCGTAGCCCAACTCAAAACATGCCTTTTTTATGATTTATTCCACTCGAAACCGCTCGCTCGCCGTGTCCGCGGCCAGCGTGGGATCTTGTCCGTGGATCCCTTTACAACTTGAACCCCAACCCCCCCCCCCCCCCTTTTCCGGAAATGCAGGCACGCACCATGACCAAACCATGCGCTGCCGGCTGCCGTACCGTAGAGATCTATACAACGGAATCGTCGCCGTGCTTTTCCTTTCTACTGCTATCTTATCACAGTAGAGCGTAATTTGACTTTTGGGCCTTTCTCTATCCGTACCGTCTGATTTTAATGGCATCCTGGTCTCCCCCCCGTTCGCCGTGGATTCTGAGCCAAACACACACAACATGGGCAAAATCAACTGATACTTGCTGCCCCCTTCTTGGCGTCGCACTGAACACGCACTCTCAGGAGGACCGGCGGCGCAAACGCCCAACCAACTCGCAGGAAACTAACACACAATGCTTGCAATGCTTGCAATGCTTGTTGACATTCTTACCGAATGAAGAAACTATTCGCACTATCCACCACCACGCAAAACCAATATTCTGTGCACGCAAGCATCTTTTCAAACCTCTCCAACATGCTCCCGTACTCTGTACTCATAGTCCAGTTTGCTTGTCTTGTTGGCCCCTCTCAAACATTAATTTGCTTCCGCTGTCCCAATGTCCGTCCCAATGATTACTTATTAGTCCTCAAACTCCATACTCCGTTCCGCACAGTCATGAACTCTCTCTTGACAGGTCACCACATTAGCCTTTCCGAACCTTCTCGGCGCTGCCTCACGATACCCACACCTACTGTACCTGGCTCGGTGTTCGCATTCAAAACTCTGTGCAGCCCAGTGCAACTTCGTCCAGCTGAACCATATTGGTCCCCCGTTATCCGTACTCCTGTCTATTTCTGTGACTCAATCCCAATCTGGTGCAACTCTAATACCTACTGCGGACGGTCAGTCCGATATACCCATACGCACCCGCCATTACTCATGCAACTAAGTGATAGAGCGTGCGCGCTGCGCAGTGCCTCTATTCAATGCAGCCAACGAGCGTTCGGTATTCGGGACCCGTGTGCCCGTGGACGTCCTGTCAGACAACAAACTACAACATCTGTGGCTGTGGCTTCAATTTGCGTTCCTGAGACCTGAGTGAGCCGTGCATACCGAGATAAGTGTAGGGCGTATCCGTACGGATACATTCACCCAAATATTATTACAGCTGGCATGCAGAGCTTGACTCAAATGACGCCATGCATACCATGGATTACACATCCATGGTCAATCATGAAAGGAAACACGGAGGCAGAAAGCAACCAAAGGTGGAGGAATGAAAGTCCGGATTGCCCGGCCTCCTGAAGTTCCTCGGCCGCAAGGAGGGACCCCCATAGTAGCCGAGACTTCGTAATGTCGTACAAATCCATCCCCTTCAATATCGGCATCCCACAATATGGGGCCCAATCAGGGATGCTTTTTTGCGAAAGCGAACAACTCTGTAACTTTGATGGGACCCGTGCCTCTACTGTACAAGCTTGGGGCGAACCAGTCCCCTCTAGGCTCTAGTATTTCTCTAACACCTTGTCAACGCAAGGTCACACACACACGCTCACGCACAGCCGTCTCCGCAACCCATATTGTTTTATGCCACACTGTAACAGTAACAACCTTCTTCTGGAAAGGGCGCGGCAGGCACAGAATGACTAATGAGACCCTTACGCCCTACGCTGCCGTGGTAGACTGACTGACTACCTGCGTATTCTCCTTATGGTTCCTCAATGGCCGTTATCACCGCCGGGCCAATCAATCCTTCGACTCCTTCCTTTTCTCGGCATCTTTGACTATCCGTACGAAACCATGAACGTCAGTGTATCAACTGCAGGGCCAAGTCTTACGAGCACTATTCCCTTTTCCGCCCAATCCCCGTCCGCCACGCATGTAATCGGTAAATGGAGAGGATGCCCGCCACACTTCTGCATTCATAGCAGCTCATGTGCCTGTTTCTTACCGCCAGGCGGCAGAGCAATAGGCTATACGGGGATACAAGCTATTGCTAGCTTGGGATAGAAGGAAGCTCTGATTTGCCGTCTGCTTCCCAGTCTGCATTGCGCCATCGACACCTACAGCCGCACTATCGGCCTGTCAAGTTGCGCATCATGCGAGTCTGAGTCAGTGAGAGTGTATGGTTGGCGAGCTCTACGCCTCTTGTGCAACATGAATGAAAGTTGAGGGCCATTTAGATGCTTAAGCCTGCTTGTCTGGGTGCCAGATTGAGACTGTCGTATCAATTTTCGTACCTGATTTGATATCTGAATCGTAGAGTTGTGTTGAAACACCCGCCATACACTATAGCTGCTCAAACATGTTGATTACTCTTCTCATCAGCAAATTGATGAAACGGCAGTTGTGATTTGGAACCTCACAAATCCCATCATCGACTTCACCCGTCGTCCATATCATCACCGAACGCTTCTTGCCGTCGGCCATGGCATGGCGGAGCACTCCGACCATAGACGAGGTTCCAAAGTCCCAAACCTGAATCCCTGTCTCACTAGGCGCAGATCACTAATCTCCATCAAAAATCCGCCCTGTCCAACCGAGGGGCGGGCGATGTAAAGGATCACCTTCCTCAGTAATCACTAATAGCTGACATGACACAGACGCTGATCACTAAAGAGGCGAACTCTACGCATAGCAAGTGCATTTACAGAAATTCGTATAGTATGGTAGGGTTTACGAAAACTCGGACCGATACCGAGAATTCGCTGGGATAGGACGTGTGTCCAAAGCTTCACTACGTTTTGCTTTCCTGCGAGGTTGTATGTTTTCTTGTTGTTTCTGCCTTAAGTCCCCGGAAAGAGGGGGCTCAAACGCAAACTAGTGAGTGGTGTCTGGATGCCGAGCAGTGCGGGTGCCCCTTAGTAAGAAATCCCACAGCAGCCGTGTCCGTGTCAGTGTCCCTGGCCGAGCCACGAGGTTCTCGCCAGTCATCCCATGTTGCGTACAGTGTCTACGAGTACCGAGTGTTCATAGGAGAGGGGAGTAGCCTGTTGTGTATGAGTAAAGTTTAAAGTTATTCTGGACATTGCGCCGACGCTTTAGGGATACTCCGCAACAAGATGCACATAGGAAAAGAGTCGAGAAGCTCTTGACTTGGGCTAACAGGAAGCTCGGGTCTTATTTACCAAGATTGCCCGCGGGGGGCGTGGATCGCGACTGGGTGGCACGTAAATATTTCCCGGCCCCGAAGGCCCAGCTAATCCTTGCGCCAATATGTGCACACTTTCGGAATACCGGATTATCTATCATGACCCAAGGTGTAAGGAATGGTGCCCAACGGAGAAACCGAGGCTTAATTGCAGCATGGATTATCGCGAGAAAACTACCGCACTTTTGACCATTGTAAGCAAATTCTCCGTGGCTATGTTTCAGAATCTAGTTCTAGAGCATGATGAGATGCCAGACTGTATGCATCTGTCAGAGAACAACGCCCACATCACGAAGACATAGTCCACATGGTTGTGTCCTAGCCGTAACAGTTCCCTCTTTCTGTGTGGGATCGTGATCAACCAGCTTTCACAAGGTAGAAAAGAGAAACAAGCAACTGAAGCTTTTACTTTCTCTGACATGTAATTCGTGTGCCTCCAACCTGACCTCCAGAGAAGACTTCATCGACAGCATCATAGAATGCCGTGAGATCAGCATCTATCGACGGATCTTTCTTGTAGGCTTCTGCACGCTCATGCACAAAGTCGGACCAGACGGTCGACATATCAACCCAGCCAGTCACCTCGAATCCAGCCTTCTCGAGCTCTGCGATATAATGCTCTTTGTCAGGCAAGTCCGGACAGGAAACCGAGCTTCTCAAGACTTCGAGGGTCTTGGCATCCAGAGTTGTGCGAGCGAAGAAGTCTTCAATGTACATCTTGCCTTCTGGCTTGAGGACACTGTGTGCTCTCTTGAACAGGGCTTCCCGCTCCGGGATGTGCAGGATGCACAGGAATGAGACGATGTGGTCAAACGGCGCGCCCATTTTAGCTGGGTCAAGTTCGAGGAAGTTGTCGTTAGTGGATGTCGCATTTGCCCCAGCACCCGATTTTTCGTTTATGGTTTGAGCAATGTCGTGAATCTCCTTTTGCAGCTCAATGCCAGCTGTCGTAGCATCGAAGTGTCGGTAGAGGTATCTGCCCGTGCCGCCGAACCCGGATCCGATATCGAGCACCCGCTCCCCAGCTTGTAGGCCCAATTCCTTGGCAGCATTTTTAATCGCATCGTCGCCCAGGTAGTGCATGCAGTCAAACGACTTTGTGTCCTCTGCCTCCCATTCCTGCTTCTCCTTTAATTTGTCAAGCGTGCGGTGAACCCGGTTGAGCTTGTAGAGATTCATGTCCGGAACATCGGAGGCGGTATTGCGAGTTGAAGGCATGGTGAATGGGGTCCCGGTAGTTGGTTTCGGGGTTCTCGGTCTCGGTTCTAGTCGGCTGATTGTAGACAAGAGACCGATTCAGAAAGTCTCTTTAGGTCCCCGGCAGTACGAGATCTGAGCCAATGCTAAACAGAATGGTACAACTCACTGGCCTTTTGTACTGGTCCATACGAGTAGGTAGCTCCCTTGGATGGCGCCGTTGGGATACTTCTTGTTTTGTTGGTGGTAGCGCCAATTTACCCCTCGCTTTCACCGTCGACGTCACACATTCGTCTTGCGGAACATTAGAGGTCGCACGTTCCGCCAGGGATTAAAGTTCCGTTCCGCGATAAAAATTGATAATGCGGCTGTGCTGAGAGATTGCTATCCTATATTTAGATGGTGAGACAGACCAGACACCTTGTAAGAAATAGCTGACGTACCTTGTGAGACAGTGTCTATCACGCAGTGTGATGCTGTAATTGGTTACATTTCCATGTAGCTGCATAAGTGGGCGTTATCTCACTGTCTGCCTTGATAGAGTCGAGGTTCCGGAGATAAAGATTAATACATGACAGAATGAGGGGTGATGCATCGGACTCGCAAGATTATTGGAACTTTTCCAACTTCAAGAGTGGGGGGAACCAACGTGAAGGCCGCAGATTGACCAAGCCTATTCATGTACATTTGTTCTGCAATTGACGCTCAATAAGATTGAGTCTCGACTTTTGTGAATATAAGGCCGTGGAATTTCGGTTGTTCAAGTACAGTGTTTAGTTCTGCTTCGTATGAAAACGCCTCAGCAGTTACTCATTGAGCTGCGAACATAGTCTTAGAGCAAATAATGAGACGTGCCGAAATATTGCAAACGATAGAGCTCTACAATGGTACACGCCAATTAGGAGTCAGTCCCATCTGCCTAAAAGCAACTGTCCTGGGGATTGCTGCCAGGATCGCAATCAATACCATTGGATCCAGCATTGTGCTTCTCTCAATCCTCGAGAAAGGAACTGTCGGCTAAAACGTCACTTGGTAATTGTATTGTTGCCCGAGTAGGCAGGCGTGCTCTCGATTCAACACTTCCAGGACATTGATCCCAAATTTGATCCCTCTGTTCTCTTTCAGGCAGTCTCGTTTGTTCGTAGCTCCCGACCTTCAAATATCACAATGCTTTGGATTGTTCCACACCAAGTCGCATCAATTATTATTGCCCCTTCCACGGCTTCTCCGGATGGTATCTGCGTTACTCTGATGCACTTCCTCGTACTGCGCAAAGTATATCAAGTCCCCGCTCTTGACATCTGCATCGACAACCTGGGACAGAGGTTGATTCCAAGCTGCTGGCTCCGGCACATCTTCTGTCATGGCAGCAATGTACCGAAGCGTTGCGTTGATGAAAGTTGAATTGTAGCCACCTGCGGCAATTCTGTTTGGTTCTCCATGCGCAGGCAGGATCTTTGAGATGGGGAAAGTCGCCATTCGTTGAAGCTCTGTCTGGTGAGTTGGCAAGCTCTTGGCATCAGCGATGAAGGTTGCCGTATCCTCTACAGTATCACCAGCGAAGATCAGTTGCTTCGAAGGAATGTAAAGAATCGTTCCATCAGGTGTGTGAACCTGAAAATTGTGCAGTTCAACAGACAGGTTGCCAACCTTCATCTCTTTCTTCCCAGTGTAAAGCTCGGTAGGGGGCACAGCAACGATGGCTGGGCTGTCAGCAGCAAGATCCTGAGTCCTTCTCTTCACTGTTCGAGCCGTAATTTCGTGTCCGACAATCGTAGCTCCCCCCTTGGAGAAAATTTCAGTGCCAGCGATGTGATCATTGTGAAAGTGGCTGATCACTACTGACATCTTGGTGACACCTTGACTCTGGACATGTCGCATCACAGCACCTGCATGGTCAGGAGTGATGTGAGAGTCGTATATGATAGCTTCGTTGCCATCGATGATGGAGTATGTTGATACTCCCAGCGTGAATGCACCGTCATCAAGCCAATTGGGTTGATCGGAGGCGAACCTTTCTCCGGTACGCCCATCATAATAGGCAAAGATGCCTGGATAGGGATTAAGAATTCGGAGACTCTGCAATGGGTCGCCTCCTCTGGCCCTGCCTACGATTCTGGATATGGGTCAGATAGATCACCTCCGTAAGACTTGCTCCAACATACCCTGGATGCGAGAAGGAACCGATGGAATCACGCCGGGAAAGCCCGCAGGCACTGGCAAGGCCAGCGAAGCTCAGAAGTAAACCCTTCATCGTATCAGCAACAATCTCCAACCATTTGACTGAGATGCGGGGAATTTGCGAAATCTTACGGGCAGCATAACAACTCGTTGATGGGGCTGGCAAAACGTTGGGGGGTATTTTGAATGAAGGTACGAGGGTCTTGGATAGTAGCCTCACGGGATGCAGTGGCTATTGAATGCTGCCGCGAACCTACGCCAAGTTTTGAGTGCCATGATGTCTTCAAGTGATTACGACGTCTTTAATTCCGGGCTGTATATGCTATGAAACGGCATGAAACGCTGATGAACGTTCCCGAACCATGTTTCGTCTGAATTTGTAGATTATATCAGAAACCGACAGCCGGAGGCTTGAGCTTAATCATGCATCTTTTCTGTAAAGCTTGGAATCTGATAGGTCAGAGACTCTCGGCCGAAAAGACGAACACTGTTGTTTCGTGTTGTGATTGCGCCTAACTCGTGCGTCGTTAACGACAGAGGTCCTGATCTAGATCATTGATATTCGACATCAGAACGTAATACATGCACGAGGCTAATGCCCAGACAAGAAAGTTCTGCTTATACAGCGTGGCTCGATTCGCGCGGATTCGAAGATGTTCAAGAGATCCTATAAAAAGCAAGAGTAGCTAAAGACTCAATGGTAGGGTACCTCTAAGAACTACTAAAATGTCTTCCCCCGCGACTCCATTCTCATAATAAGGCTGCGAGGCTTGTGAATGATATTAAAGCCTACCAGTTGAGTATATTCACAGAAAGCTGTAGTTTTTGTACAACGTATCGACCGAGAGATGGCTCCCAGATTCTCAGACTTCTGATCGTTTCTCATGCAAATCTCTCATCAGTCGAGGTTCTTTCATCCATGCCATGTGCACCATTAAATGGCGAAGGCGAAATATCACACACACATGGCTGAGGGGTACTGCATGGCGAAAATTTTCCAACGTGAAGCATGCCCTCATGTCTAAAGGCAATGAATAAGCTCATCATGATGAAGAAGCCTATCAAGAAGCCAATGAGAGTGATCCATAAGACGCACCACAGCCAAGCTGGAATGAATATTCCCTTGTGCCGCGAAGCGGTGGAAGCGTGCTCGGAATCATTGTGAGAAATAGTCGTCTCGATAGCACTATTAGAGTCTTCCCTTGGAGCAGACTGTTGAGGGGGAGTAAGGCCGGCCAAGCTCAAACGGAATTCTGGTGCATCGAGTGAATTAAAGTGTTCGTGGAATCTAGTGCGACGACCAACCTCTGGTTCTTCGACTGTCTTGTTAGTCCCACCGTTTGTTTGACTTTCTTGGTCATGTTCTATAACAGATGTAGCATTGCACAGATCGGATTGCAGATCGTCCGAGAGTTCTACTGCCCCGACTGCATCTTCAAATGTTTGGCTCAAGTTTTGGTTTTCGACTGCGATATCTTCCCTGTGGAGGCCATTTTCCACGAATAGGAAATCGGAAAGGTCCTTGTCTATGGCCTCTGAGGCTTCATCATTCGTACCTCCAGCATATAGTTGAGAGCTCACCGGACCTGGTGTCAAGGCTTCTAAGTCTTTGTACGTCTCCTGGAGTCTGATTCGTCTCTGGGCGAGTTCGCCTTCCGTCATCGGCTCAGATTCATCCGAGTCAATTTCGTAACTGCCGCCCACACAACTGCAACTATCCCAAGAGTTGCGTGGTTGCTTGCCATTGTGTTCTAATGCCCAATGAAGATAGTCGTGAGTCCCTGCATCACCAGAGCGGTGAAGTCTGTCTCTTGAATTCTCACGCTGTTCCACGATGTCAGGCAGATATTCTGGAAGGGGATGATTGGATACTTCTTTTTTTGCCGATGCCAGAGACATGACAGGACTTTGATATTCTCTGATCAGAATCGGCCTACTCGCGTCTTCCGACCTCAGAGCGGAAGCAATATCAAGCTTCAGGATCGGCCTTGAACGAGTAGGCCCCTGGATGGATTTTTTGGCGCTTGTAGAAGACATTGCTGCTTCGGATTTCTATGAGTAAAGGATTTGATGGTTGCCTCGTAGGAAGAAATCAGGTAGAGATATCGCAGTGGGAATTTTGAGTCGTAGGTAGTCGCTGCTACCCTGTCTTTTGTATGTGAGTCTAACTGCTGTAGGAGGACGGAAGTGGTCCAGAATCACAAGCGCCTTAAGTAGTATGCAACCCAGGCATAGATCAAAATGCTTCTCAAGTCTTTGTCTAGGAAATATCGGAAATTGCTTTGTGTACACATTGGTTTCAAGCCAACACCTAACATCCGCCGTATTGCCGCTGCCTTTCTTTGGTCTGTTCAATCTTGTTAGAAACCGTAACGTTTGCAGATTTAACATGTCCTCCGAACAGCATGCTACAAAGTTACAAAGCGGATCGCATTTGTCGCAAACCTGCTCTCATAGGGGGATTAGTAAATTTGGCATCTCTCTTTAGTCTACCTAGGTCAACTAAGCCACCTTTTATTGCTCCGCCTCAAATATGTTAGGTAATTCATGTTGCTACACTTCCGGCTCAATATATCGAGCATCTAATTGCTATGGATAGGACTTATACCGATACCACTCATGTCGCATCTGCATTTGTTTCTTCGAAGGACACCTACTTACCAAGATGATCCTTACAACTAGAAGAAGCCTTACTGATTACATAAGATGGTGCTTCCTGGCGTCACGAGCACCCTCGCTGAGCCCGCGGACTTGTCCCAACCGTCGGGGCCAGAAATAGCTCCGGGCTCCCGCCAGTGACAATTAGTGTTAGTAATAGCTTGCTCACAGTGGACTGTGGCCATGAGATCGACCTGCGTTCTGGAATCCTGATCCCCAATGCACGACGCAGCACCGAGCTGCCACTGGGGTTTATCGTGCCTTTTTCTCACTCAAGCGTACATCTTCTGTAACAGTCAAGAAATACACAATGAAGGAAATGCCCCCAGGCATGCTAACCTACCCTCTTCGGCGACCAGAGGGTCATCGGCCGCCGGTTCAGCGATGGCAACTTACCCTCGGCAAAGACGTACAGAAAGTATTCACAGCATATGTCGGCGTACAACCTCATCGCAGCGCCATTGATAATTCAACAGCAGTAAAACAGGCAACCGATGCTGTCGAAGCATGGCTCAGCACAGATACGGAGGATAGGCCCCTTTCAACCGAGAGTTTCAATCATTTAGAGGGGGATGATGCTCCGAATGCACATATCTGGGTCTTATATTGGAATGATCCTGTCAAAGGAGAAACAAACTTGCAGAAACTTGACTTTACGTCTATTTACGCCAACCTCGCACCAGAAAATCGAATGCTGGTTGGCTTATGGAGGGAGAGTTTCAAGACACCTATCTCACGGCTTAAAACAAATTACTCTGGACTTGACTACCTCCCTGGCCTAGCTAGGCTCCCAGAGACTGGTACCAGAGAGCATCAACTGTCAGCATACTGGAGTGCGGCAAGGGATCGGATTCCAGCATCAGCTCATGATCTTTTCGAAAAAGACGAAGACGCTGACATAACAAGACCAGGGGATATTCCTGATGGACTAGGGAAGCACTTGACTGGAACAAATTACCACAACATGGTTCATATCCGGTCGGGTCAATTTTGGGAAATTGTTGTCCCGAAGAGGCAGAGTCGTACGAAACAGAGCTGGAACCAACCTTGAAGGCGGGCTTGGGTTACCTGTGGGAGAATCGTGAAAAGGGTGGTGCCATGGGATTGCGATTCTTGGGTAACAGAGACACCAATGGTCACACCAAGAAGGAGACTTGCGGTGCTGGGTTATTCACGGACCTGAGTTCTTTGGAAGAGTGGTCCAAAAAGCATCGCTCTCATCTAGCCATTTACATCGGCGCCATCAAACACGCGAAGACTTGGGGAGAATCAAGGAAGTTTCGGACCTGGCACGAGGTCTCGGTGCTCAAGAGGGGAGAAGCAACATTCGAGTACCTGAACTGCTTGCCTGTGACTGGGGTTATGAGATTCGTCTCTTTGGATACTGTTGGATTCACAGGTGGAAAAGGAAAATACTCGAGTATCGTGGGTAGCAACGATCACCGACTGTAGTGGTGATATTGCTTGTTCTTGTTGTTCTTTTGTGGAAGTCTAACCAGGTGCCAGCGGCGGCAGGAAGTCTGGGGTATCCCATCGAGTGCTGCAAGGCGACAGTACATTGAGATGCGGGGGAGCAGCCAATCTGGCCACTTCGGGCCCCTTTTTCCAACCAACCAACGTAATTGATAATAGATACTTCCAATTACTAGAGATTCTGCGTATGAAATCGGTACCAGCAATCTTCTGAGTTACAGAGAGCTACATCGCACTCGAGGCAGCCCATCCTCGTGTACTTCCCAGGGATACCGGGCTCAACCTCCGGAGGCTCGCGGGGCCGAACAGTGGCATTATCACATTGCTCCGGCGTACAGTCGGCAGTGCAGGCGGCGGCGAGGTCCTCGGGCAGCAGGGCAAAGATACACGACTTCGCCGAGCCCGTGGAACGGCCAGATCCGTCAGAATCGTCAGAATCCATTAATTGAGTATTGGTAATGATGGATTTGGTAGATGTACCGGAGTGGAAATCATAGGGGCAACTCAAGCAGTGGATGTACCAGATGCGGTGCGGGGTAAAAGGGGGCCCGTTATGTGGAGCCAATGTACTGTCGCCTTGCAGCACTCGATGGGATACCACCCTCGTGTGGCTGAGCCACACGGACCACCGTGGCTGGAACGGACCGCGGCAGCAACCTCCTGCTGCCTAATGTAGGCCTATTCCAACAGATACTGTTCCGGAGATCAAGTAGGACTACTATTTCTTTATATGACCATTTATAGTCGAGAGTCGAAACGCTTGAGCGAGCATTTTCAGGTCGAGGCTTCGCTCACATAGAGATCAACGCGAAAAAAGTGGTGATTAAAAATGAGAGAATGGCTTGTTGAACTCTTGTTGTCAATATTGTGGTAGACTTTCCCGAGTGTCCATGCCGTACTTACCACTCTCGCTTAGTCGTTGCTGTAGAAAATTGATGGTTGACCTTCATATTTGAGTGAGTAGCGAGTCCATGTCGGATCGATTCGCCGGAGTCTGGTGTCAGTCTCGGAAACCGAAGTCACGAGATGTTTAATGCAAGTTTCGGCCTAACCGCAGTCTCCCAAATAGCCGTAACTTGTCAGACTTGAAAGTGCAAGGACAAGTATTCGCCAAGGGGCCAAGAACACGAAAGGCTTTTGTTAACCGAAAGACCCGTCAATTGACAATCGGGTATCCCACATGTGTGGAAATAAAGGTTTTAGCATCTTGGCATGCCTCCCACTTGACGAGAAAGTCTACGGCTACTTATTTAATAGTGTTGGCTCAATGCGCCCACCGGACCACGGTGGGCCTGACGCGCAGTCCGACCGGCATTCCCTACCTAGTAAGCAGGGGTAATTTTCGTATGGGAGGATTGCCAAACCATCAAACACTAATGTTTCCTTGTCAACTTCTTTCTTAGCACTGGATGAAATGCAAAAGGAAGGCAAAGTCGAGATGGCTAGAGTCTGGGTGTTATAGTTGTGTTTAGGTGGTGGAGTGCCTGACTAGGGGCATTCCCTAAGGCACGTTGAGGAAAACTTGCTCAGTGACGGAAACTATATGTACCCACAACTACCTAAATGCAGTAGAGGGATCTCTCTTTTGTATATGGCGCAACGGTACAATTCCGAATTCTGTCACTCAGTCTCCGGACAGCCACAATCAATTGAATGAATGCATATGACGTGCAGCAACGAGAATCCATAAGCGACCCGGGCCAACAGTATTCATCTCAAGCAGTAGGATACACGTTGAAAAATAGCTAGCAGACGTGCATGTCAGGTTTGGGTCTGGACCCTACTCGCTAAGGTAGGTCCATGTTTCGACTGGCCCTTGAACCATTTTCGACCCAGCCACTGGACTCCTGGAGTGCCTACTCAGCCCGATGATGCGCCTCTTCATATCGACAAGGACGCGTCGTCTAAATGTAACGTGGTCGACGTAGTCCAAGTGCACTCGCAGACTGCGAGTGATCGCTATCTGATCCGGAGAGATGGGACGATCCGGTTGCGTTCAGCAAACCAACCTGCCAAGACCTGGCGATGCTACTACGAAGCTTGTCTGTCGTCGCATCCCCCTTCATTGAAAATCAGATGACTACGGAGTACTCCGTAGTTGGTCCAGAAATTGTCTTTAACCTGCTTATCCTTGGTCCAATCTTCTTCGCTGTTTGGGTCCAGCTGCATGTCAAAAGTGATCACCACCTTTGTAAGACGAAGCAATGCCAGCTGTTATGTTTTTCGCACAAGGTAATTGTGGAGGCAACCGACTGTATGTCACCACAAATGTTGATCGGATAACTCACCCATGCTTGTTTACTGCGCCGGACTGACGCGGCGAGTGGATAGCTACGTTCTCTCAACTGCCGTGCATGAGAGACAGGGTATCTACTGGATACATCTCCCCCCGAGCTGAGTATGTGTCTTAGAGGGAGCTCGTGGGAGCAATCCCACGATGTGACTGCCGCCGCGCCGCTCAAACCGAGACAACGTAATCGCCTTCGCCAGAGTTCACAGCACGGTGCCACGGTCAAGGATTGCGCACCGCACATTCAAAAGTAAGGGAGACCGTTACGAATATCTGTGGGGAGCTCAGTTCTATTCTGTGGTGGTCACTCCGCAAAATAGGAGAAACAGGACGGGAAGTGGGTAAAATGTACGGTTCGTCCGAACGAAGCAAGGGTGACGCGGTCTGCCAAGTGAGGCGCATTGGCCGATTGCGCAGTGCACACCAACATCCCCATGTCCAACATCGCGGCTCTGCTTGAGAAGATGGAGAACAGAGTTGGTGATGTTCGTGAGTGAAGAAACGTTATAAATCGAGGTGGCTGCCGCGATGATGAAACTTTCTTCTGCTCACCACTCAGCATCTCAGCCAGAATCAGAGGATCGCAATCCAGTCTTTACATTCCGATTTACTTCATTCTTTCAACATCAGCCACAATGACTGTCACTCTTCGTTCATTAGTCTCGCTCCTCGCGACCACGGGTTTGGCAGCCGCCGCATCCTGGAACACCACTTGCACAAGCAAGTCTCAGAGAAAAGCATGGTAAGAATTCCGTGACCCTCAAAGTCGGCCAAGAGATGTAGAGCTAAAGCAAAGAAACAGGAACAACATGACCGATACTGAGAAGCAGGCTTACATCGATGCCGAGCTCTGCCTCCAGTCTACTGCAGCCAAGACCTCCATCGAAGGCGCCATTAACCGCTGGGATGAGCTTGACTGGGCACACATTACTCAGTCCAACATCATTCATAACACTGTATGCACAATGAAGTTCAATGCAACAGAAAAAAGCTTGGCTAATACTTAATCTCTAGGGATCTTTCCTTCCTTGGCACCGCTACTTCATGCGTGTCCACGAGTACCTCCTCCAATCCGAGTGCGGCTACGAAGGCGGCCAGCCGTACTGGAACGAGGTCTTGGACATGACCTCGCTCAACAGCTCCGTTGTCTTTGACCCCGACACCGGCTTCGGCGGTGATAGCGACGGTGGATGTGTCACCGATGGCCCCTTCGTCAACTTGACTCTCCACATCAACTCCACCTCCAACTACGCCAGCGATTGCCTGACCCGCTCATTCAACTCCAACGGCTTCCAGACCGGACAGCAGCAGTACATTGACGAGTGCTTCGCTTCCGAGAACTACACGGCGGCTTTCGAATGCTACCAGGTCAACCCTCACACCGCGGGCCACTCTGCAGTTGGTGGAACCGTTAGTTGCCCCCTTTCCGACCGATGTTAAGATCATCAAAGCTGACTTAAATTCTTCAGATGCTCGATGTCGTTGGCAGCCCTGGCGAGCCGCTTTTCTTCCTGCACCACACCAACCTGGACCGGCTCTGGTGGGAGTGGCAGCAGGTCAACAGCTCCCGCTTGACTGACATGGGAGGTCGTAACATTCCTCTCACCAGCTACCTTACCCAGAACGGCATGGAGTACCCCAGCGCTGCTTTGACCGACTACTTCGGCGATGGTGGCAACGAAACCACCCTGAACCACAACCTGTGGATGGTCGATATCATGCCCAACGCAACTGTTGGAGAGGTTATGGACCTTGGAGGTGACCTCATCTGCGCTGAGTACGTCTAAGCTTGTAAAGGTTTTGCCAGCCTACGCTTGGGATGGACAGACATGAGAAGGAATGCATAGATTTTTCACTTGTACAAAGTAGAGCATTAGTAGTAACAAAAGCGATTTTTTATTTCATCCGAGACCTTTCAGAACGGATCTCATATCTTCTCCAACCATTATCATTATCATTAAAGTCGTAAAGAGCGTATAAGTGAATGCCCCAACCTTGGCGATCAAATGGTTCCGAAGTACCAAAACACTTCACATACCAAACACGCGTGACCATCCAAAAGCGGACTCAGATATCATCGTACTTGTATAGCCTCAGAAGCCCAGCGTCACCGTCATCAAGGTGTACCTTTACAGACTTAGCCTCTTTCTGCTGCTCTCTTAAGCCTCCAAGGTCCTCCAGTCTTTCCCTGGCATTGCCGTCTAGACCGTGAACCAGGGTGGCCAGTACACTGCTCTTCCATAGACTAGCTTTATGACGGTACGTCTGGTAGATTGCGGCGCTCAGAAACAGGGTAGTCAACAAGACAGTAAGGAGCGGAACGGCCAGGAAACTCCACTCAACGTGGACGTAGCTTTCAATAGTGTGCGCTATGCCTGTGACTTTGGTGCCATTGAAACTCCTGAAACTGACGGTGACACTGGTCGCAAGATCGTTCATAAGCATATCAATTCCAGTTGGGTATTCGTAGTAGTTCCAGTAAAAAGCCTGGACAATGTCGGTGTCAAAGAACGTCTCACCGCTTGAGATACCGACGGTGAGATTGACAATGACATTGTCTGGAGTCGTGATGTTCTTGTTGATGACCTCTTCATTTCGTGACGCCGACCCACTGCGAAACAGATCCGAGAACCATGAACGTATGCCCATCATGACTTTCATATCGATCGGATAGGACTCCTTGTCACTCTGGCCCGAAATATAGATGGGTTCAAGGGTATCTTGAGTTGCCGTAGCGATTGAATCGTTGGTGCTGGTATGGACAATGGTCTCTTTGAGCTCTCCGTTGATGATCTCGGAGTCCAGAGTCTGAACACAGGCTTGGAGGGTACACTGCCGAGCCCAGGGTGCGAGGGCGCCAGCGACGCCTCCTTGTTTCTCAGTGCCCATGAAAACAAGCTTCATGATGGTTGAGTAAGACATGTCCCCGAGTCCTTGAGGAAAGATGGGTGTCATGCTGAACACATCGGCGTGCGTTTTGAGTCGGGCACCGACTGGGACTGACCAGCCGCACTCCGTCATGTCGCCTTCAGGGGTCGATCCATCCTCACATGATCGGGTCATGAACTCGGACATGTCAACGCATGTGTTGCAGACACCGAGGGTCTCGAAAGGCTCCCAAGTGCAGTTACCCGTCTGACAGTTGACAGGGAGACTCAGCCAAGGCTTGCCGTTCTCGGCGAAGAGACCATTGTACACAGCAGCCTTGAAAGGAAGGATAGGGATGAATCCTTCAGATGCAGTTTGGCTACTGAGAGCAATCAAGTATTCCTCGGCCCGGAGGTTGATGGCTCCTTCTGAGGAGTTGGTTGTACGCGCGTGGAACGTGGCGATTTGTTGGGCAAAGGGGCTGAACGCAAGGGTCAAGATAGCAATGAATGCGCCAAAAGATCCAAGAAGACTATGGGGGACTCGGGGTCAGCTGAAGGTGTTCAAAAAGCTCAAAGTCGTTGACGGTCGTGTCTTACCCTCCTCGAAACTTAATAAGCATCATGAGAGCTCCCCAAGTTCCTCGACTGGCATCATCAAAAACCTCCATGTCCGACAACGGCTCACGGCGTCTCTTGAAATGGATCCATTTCAACTGAGAGATACCGCTAGAGAGAACAACTCCCATAGTTGCAGTTGCAACGGTGGCCAACAAGGCGATAACGGCGTTGATGGTGATTTGGAAGTGCCATGATGCCAGTGGCTTCCCGTCGTATGCTGCAAGAACACCAATGATGGCGGCTGCGGCAAGGATAGTTACACAAACACTGACAATCTCAAAAGTCCAAGAACCAGATGGCGAGAACGTTTCGGACTTGATGTGTGATTTCTCGGAGATCCTGCTCCAGCGCGAAGGAACAGAGCGTCTGGAGTCTCCGTTGCTGCTCAAAGCAGGCTCGCTAGGAGGGACGTCATCGACAGAAACAAACGTTGACTGGTACGCTTTGTACGATCCCAGGCTTTGTCTCTTGTCGGATCCAGGGATGAAAGGGCTTGTTGGCTGCTCGACGTAAATCGTGTCAGCCGAGCTTGTGCTCACATTGTGCGAGTGTTGTCTGTGCGACATGTTTGCCGTTTGCCGGGTCCCGATCGAGGTCGCAGCTGTCAGAAAGGCTCAGTGCATGAAGACAAAGGAATATGGAAACAAAAGCAAACACACGGAAAGTTGCATGGTGGCTTGGGACCGGGGAGCCTCAAGTACTGGCAACGACGCCGAGAAAGCTTGACAGATCATTGAAACCTGGGCGTTGCAGCGTGCCTTCCTACATGAGTCGGAAGCCTGCAGTGCTTACATGTACATGTGCGGTCCAACTGCGATGCCGCATATCACATACAATACATGGGAACTTTGGGAAGAGTGGGACGAATGCCGTTATATTTTTCAAGGTTTTTGAATGCTAACGTCAGCCGGCATGCTTCATCATTGGCCGGCATCGATGGCTGAGGATGCGAGATACCCAACGCGGAAGCGATCTGGGCCTTTGGGGGCTGAACCAACCCGTCCAACCCTTGCACGAAGATGTTGGTGGTTGGGTGAATGTCTCTCTTGAGGAGCTCCAGTCCCTCGCCCGCATCAAGCCTGACCACCCGAAGCCTCTTCCGAAGGGCTAGATCCGTCCCGAACTGCGCCCATTGCAGATCTATGGCTTATTTTTGGTTGCTGTGCTGTACCGCGAGGGGTAGCAACGTGGATGGGAACTAGGACCTTGCCATCTGCACGATGGGACCAGTCCAAGGCAGCCGTGAGCGGCACAGCAAGCTTTGATAAGGCACTGTTGGTGCAGCCTGCATGCGCGACCACTGCTCCGCCCCCCATCCTCGCAGAGGGAAGAATTCAAGTGTTCCTAGGGCTGCTAATCGGGCAGGTCGTAATGCCCGTCGCATTCAGCTGCCGCTCTTCGTAACATCATTGGCGCATCTCTGTGAATTGCATTTGCGACGGAGGTCGTCTACCGCGCTTACGCCAAAATCACAACTGCTGCGACTACGCCGGCAATAAGGGCGAAATGAGACGAGGGCAAGTTCGAGTTGAGGGATGCGGCTCCGGAAGATCCAGTTGCGCGAGCATATCCCAGCTCGCTGTACACGCTGGTAGCCTGGTCGTTGCTGACGGTGGCCGAGCAGGGTTGGGTATCGTGGGTGACGGAAGCGGTGACGGCACAGACACTGGTTGCCTCGGAGTTGTATGTCGTCGTGGAAGCGTAGCTCATGCTACCAATGGCGCTCGGGCAAGTGGTGAAAGACGGCTCCTTGCCGCTAGTCTCAACGGTGAAGTCAAAGCTACCGTTAGCGATGCGAGGGTTCAGGTTGAACTCGCTGTAGTCGGGTTGCTCGGTGAACTCGCATTGGGCTCCCATGCCAAAGACCCAGGCGAAAGTGTAGTCACCGGCGGCGAGGTGGCCGGTCTTGCCAACCTCGAGTTGCGGGCCGTTGCCAAAGGTGCTCTCATTTCCGATGGAAGCGCCCATGATGCCGTGTGCGGCGGTGCGCATGTACGAGTTCTTGTTTCTCGAGTAGATGTCCCAGACAAAGTTGTAGCCGTACTTGTACGCAACATCGGGGTTCTGGACATTGAGGAGGACGGGGTAGCCGTTGGTGGTCTCGGCATACTTGCCATCGCCGCGAGGGAAGACAAGATCAAGCTCGATGGCGTCGGCGGGCAACTCGGCGCTCGCAAGCTGAGAGCACGAGGCCAAAAGAGTGGCACCAAGCCACAAGAGGCGCTGAGACAACATGGTTATTGGTAAAAGAGTGTGGTTGTAAATGAGTGTAACGTTGAAGTGTTCACGATCGACGGATCAACAACTGTCAACTGAGGCTGTGCCAGACGTTTTTGCCCCCCAATAAAATGCTGACCTGGAGAACATCGTGGAGAGCGGAGATTTTAAAAGAAAAATGTGGACGCGCCCTAGGAGACTGAAAACGATGTCAACATTGTCCAAGGACTCAAGCAAAGAACTCTGACAAGCAGGAGTCCCAGTCAGGATCACTCTAATCTCCGATTATGATCCCGGCCCACTGCGTTATTTTGCTTTATCCTAAACGTCGCTAATCATCGTCTCTGCATTAGTCCCATGTCATTTCGGCCGGGTTTCGACAGCGAGCCAACCGAAATGCGCAAAGGCGAGTCTAAGGAGACCAGCCCACCCAATGGTTGCACGGAGCATCGTGTGCTCATTAACGGTTTGTGTGCCTCATTTAAGCTTCTTAACGATAGCCCTATGGCTTCCAGGTTTTCTGCGAACGCTTCACACCCTTTACAGAGTAAGGATAACGTGGTCTGTCTTTCATTGCTGTAGCCTATGGTATCCGTAGAGATTGCATCCTTGGTATCCACCACTTGCCCCTTCATGCTTCGTCCTGCAGTTTCTTCTCCTCCTGGCCCCCGGCGCTGACCTCACAAACATAAGACTTGAACTTGCGGGCCGGCACGCGATTGCTAAACATTTCTTGAATCTCGGCGTAGTTGCGACCCTTCATCTCGGGGAAGTAGAGATAAAGCCATGTGCACATGGGCAATGACAGGCCGAAGAAAATGAAGCAAATCTTGCCGCCCAAGTTGGCCTGGTCTGTGTTCAGCAGGTAGGGCATCACCTGCAATATTAAGCAGGATGCCGCGGTCGAGCACATAATGTTGATGCTGTAAGTTTTTTGCCGCAATTGCACACTGTTCGTCATTTCGTCAGCAAGGCATGCCCCTGTTCTTCTTACCTGCGAGTCAGGGTTGAAGGCCCACAAGCCGGTGTTCCTGAGCAACACCACGTGCTAACGGTGCTACTACCAAGACGACTTGGGTTCGAGTCTAGCCCGAAGACTCAAGACGTAACTTCAAGATGTGAATAACTTACCTGGCAGTTTCTCCTCCGACAGAATACGCGACAGCACCCAAAGTCGCTTGGTACAAGTACCCCCAGATGACCATGAAGGCGACTGTCGCTGTCAGTGAAGCTTGGTTGCCGATGGTGCTGACGCCGCCGATGAGAAGCAAAAGTGCTGTCATGGTGAATACGCCGCCAACGATCAACGGGCGTCTTCCATATCGATCCACAAGTGGCCAGGAATTCATGTTGCCGACGAACTGAATTGCGTAGGCTGCCTGGCCGATTGCAAGCGGGTTGTTGATTCCAGCCAACCGGAAATAGTATCTGTGAGTTGTCAGTTGTAGTCGATATGGAATTGTGAAGAGACTGCTTTACGTGAGATAGCCTGAAACGAAGTTCACACCAATGGCTTGCTGGGAAAGGTAGACCATCACGATGATTGCTGTGCGCCTGCCGTTGACTCCCTTAAAACAGTCAACCCAGCGAGCTGACTCCTGTTCCTTTTTGGCCTCCTGCTCTTTGGCAATGGCAACAGTGGCGACTGCCAATGCAGCATCAACGTCAAAATTGGGCCCGTTGAATCTTCTGTATGATTTGGCAGCTTCCTCGCGACGACTCTTGATGAGAAGCCAACTAGGAGACTCGGGCAAGAACGCCAAACCGCAAAGGAGCAGTCCAGGAGGGATGAGTTGCGTAATCAACGGGATTCGCCAAGAAAGGTCGTTGTGATAATGGTCGCTCGCCAGTACCGTCGCCGAGTTGAGCCATTGGCCAACAGTAATCATTGTGTTGACCAGGACAAGGCATACACCGCGCATCTTGACTGGTGCGAGCTCGGCAACAAAGACAGGTCCCAGTGAATGGCCCAGACCGAATCCAAAAGTGGCAACGACCTTACCGCCGAAAAGCATCATGATGCTTGAAGCAAAGTATTGTAGAATCGTGCCACCGCAGCAAAACAAGCAAGCGACGCCGATAGTCTTTTTGCGGCCAAAGATGTCGCTAATGAAGCCTGTTGCGAATGCCGAGACAAAGATTCCGATCGTGCCCGCGGCATTGAGAATCTGTTGGTCTCGAGCGGCAACCTGCCATTTTCCGTTGATTTCGTGGCCGAAACGCTGAGCAAAAGGGGTTACGGCGAGGAGTTTCCCGATGGTCGAAACTTCGTAGCCAAAATTAATGGGCAAAAGGTAGATCATCAAGCCTGTCAACACCGCATTAGCGAAAAGAACTTTGCAGGGATCAGCGGGTCGAGATGAACTGACAGAAGCCTTAAACACGCTTGTTCTCCCACAAATCGCGGAAACTGAGCTTCTCGTTTGCCTGCGTTGTCGGCAGCGCAGCTGTTGCGGCCACGTTTGCATCTTCAAGCTGTTCGGCCCTCAACTTGTCGTCATGCTGGGCCGTCGGCTCGTTCTTGTTGTCCATTGTGGATGGCGACTGTTCCAACAGGGCACTCGGCTAGCTGTTGTGCAGGCTTGAGTCGGCTTCGGAACGCGTAATGATGTCCCCCTGTGAGGTTGACACTGCTCGGATCATGCTATCTCGGAAGGTGGTGGGAGCTTCACGCGTCTTATACTCCAAGCATGTTCGACTGAGAAAAGCACAAAAGGGCTGCGATGCAAGCTTCCCCATGGGCACTCGACGAGGGCACTTGGGGACTCCCCAGTTCTCCGCACTTTCCACGTGGACCTGACATCTCTCGATAGCCTGAAGATGCTAAAGACTGCCTCCTTGGGCAAGACTGGGACGTGGAGGGCATGACTCGGAAGACGTGTTGACCGGGGGCGGGGCTGTACTTCCGGGGTAGCGCTAGAAACTGGAGACTGGAGTGCAGTGATTTTGCGGAGGTCACACCAGACACCAAGACTGAGAGTCTAAGAGATCGAGTGACCGCAGGGATTTCGGGAGACGCAGATTGGCTACTAAACCTGATCGGTGGGCCGCTGAGCATTCCAGGACACGGAGCACGTCGCCGGTCGAGGTCGCCTTCGCTATCAACCAACAACGGCTATCAACCTGAGTTCATGTCACTTTCTGACTACACTTGGCCCGTCACTTGTTCTAAATGGAAGAATTAACATGCAAGACGCCAGAATAAGTAATGTTTACCCTCCTGGTCTTGTCCGTTCAGAATAAGGTAGCCCTTTCCGGCAATGGCTGCCCTCCCGAGTTCCGGCTTCCGTCTCCGAGCTCCACTTCTACCCCGGACTCCTCCGCATGTCTCGGACTTGGCTGAATTCCAAGTATACGGAACAGTCGAGCTGGGAACCAGCAGTCAAGCTTCGCAATGCCTCCATGGATGCGACTACTTTCTTCGGATGATGCCGAGAAATCATGTGCATTCAGGCCGTTAATCCAGTCCATGTACGGAGTAGCATTTCTCCTCTTTTAGCTTTACCCTTTTCGCTTAACCCACCCTGAATAGTACGCGACCACTAAGTTTGCGCTCATACGCTGCTCTCATCGGCTTCGTACGGCCAGACTGCTTTTAATTACAAGAGCAAAGTTTGTTGAATTGTGAGGTATGCCTGGAATCTTCGACCAAAGGAGCTTGGATGAATGTACGGCAATGTAGTAATTGTGGGCATTGCTCATTGCTATGTGAAGATCTGCGGGTGTGATGAAACCTCCTTGAATTTGGGTTTGGGTTGGTCGGAAGAGTGCCCCTATTTGCATACGATGATAACAGAGCCAAGTCCTCCACTCGCTCTGGTCGATGTGACTGAATGACTAAAAGCTCAGAAGAGAACACCCTTCGTCTGTGACTTCTCGCTTAATCTGTGGTTTTTCATCAAGGAAACCCAAAGGATAGGGCCCGCCAATGCTACCAACGACGCAATAATCATGATCTTCTGCGTTTCGCCATAGGCAAGCACGATTGCATCTCTCTCAGGAGTCCCCCATTCGTATGATAGCTGTCTCGTCAGATCCCCATAAATGAGGAGAGCTTCGCCCTTCAGCTCGTTCGGAAGATACTTCTCCAACTTGGAGGGCATCAAGTTAGTCCAGATAGCTCCGCTAATGGACGACCCAATGGCGCCACCGACGCTGGTAACCATGGAAAGAAGTGCAAGGCCGATGGCAACGTCACGATGGGGAACAGAGGACATGACAGCGATCTGCTCGACCATGACAATGGTGCCTCCTGCCAAAGCACCAAGGACTTCGCACATTATGACAAGGCCGACGCTAGTATCGGGCATGCGGAATTTTATCATGAGGCCAGTCGAAAGCAGTTGAAGGGGGACTGCGGCCAAACCGAGCCACTTGTAACGATTGGTGAAACGCATGAGGCTACGATGTTGTAAGTCGTTTGTCGTTGCATGTTCGTATACGGAGTGTGAGATACTTACAGTCCAACAGGAATGGCCCATGCACAGGAAACGATGTTGTAGATGTTGCCGATGAAGCCAGCTCGAGAGACGCTGAGGTTGTAGACGACTTGTAGATACGACAAGAACTGAACCTTGTAACAGCTAAACATACCCCAGGTCAGCTTACACAGTGTTTGTGAACCAACGGGTCTATGACTTTTGAACTTACTAAAAGCTGATCCACATGTTTCCTCCTAGCAGACAGGCGACTAGAACAGTTTTGTTCTTGAAGAGCTCAAAGGGTACAAAGGACTTCAGCGCAATGTGCTTCTCGTAAAAGGGGAAAGCGACTAAGAAGATGCCGCCCAGAACGATCATGGCGATGATTCTCGGCTCGCGCCACTGGTGAGCTTGATATCCTGCCATACTAAAAGGAAGCAACAGCAGTGAAAATCCAGCGACGACGAGCAACATGCCTGCAACATCAAGCTCAATAATCCAGTACTTGACAGAGTCCAAAAAGGTTCGATTCTCCCTTTTCTTGACATAAAGTCCTTGCTTGACGGCTCGTCTCATTTGCACAGTGAAAATGATGATCAAGGGTGCGACAACGGCCGGGATGATTATCGTGAACGCGCCGTATCCCCATCTCCAAGTGCTTGTATCGAGAAATGACTGGGCAGCGGCAGGCCCGGCGAAGGTGTTTGAGATGTAAGGCGTTGAGGTAAAACCAAACAGAATCATACGATTCTTGAGAGTGGATGTGTCGGCCATGAAAACATTGAGAACATAGCCAATGCCATTCATACCAGTCCAAAAAAAGGTTTGTGCAGCAGCGTAGGTTTCAACGTTCTGGCAGACAGCCATCAGGATTAACGCTGTATGAATTTGTTAGTTCGACATAAAGCTCGCTGAAGTATCCTGTTCCGCGATGGCTTCGTAGAATCAATACTCACAAACAACGACGAAGGATAGCATGATGCAGAGGCCCGCAGTGCGGCCGATAACATCGAGGATGCGAGCAAGAGGTAACTTGCTAACGCCACCGACGATATTCGAGATGATACCCGTCGCCGCCATTAGCCCGTGCAGGCCAAAATCACTAACCACATAAGCTAGGAGCGAGCTCGAAATCTGCTGCTGGAGGGAGTCGATGAAGAACACAACCCAAATCCTTCACCGTCAGCTTTGAATCAACAATCTATAGTAGAACGTACATACAAGATATAAGCAGCAATAAGCCATGTCTTGGTCCAGGTCTGAGCTAGTGCCTCGATCTTCTCGACACCAGCCAAGCCGCCAGTATTGGGATCGATTTCCTCGCGAAACGGCTTCTCGTCGACGATGTCGGCCTCTTTATCGTTGTGTTCTCGATTGACCTGGGCCTCCGGGACGATTTCCGGAGACACCGTGTCTTCGTTATTGGACTTCATGTTGTCGTCGGATCCAATCGTTAGTCCGGCCTCGGGGTTCATCGAAGGGAATTGAATCCAAGGCTTCGCTCCAAGACAGTGTCTCAACCAAACATGAGGCAACGGGGACCAGGAACCATTCATGCGGCATAGACAACGGAGAGCTAAAGGGTTCTTAAAAGAGCCCCGAGTGTCAGAGTCGCCAAGAGATAGCCTGCTGCCTGCATTAGAGGTGGGATCCACATGGTAGTGCGCCATTTCCTACACGCCGATTCCCTGATGCTGTAGCTTTGAGTAAGTCAACATACCCACTTCCTGGCCCCCCCTGTTTCTGGCACCCACAAAAACGCGAAAATCCACTACAACACCATGCCTGTAACGGTGTGGGCCCCACAAGGGCAAATGTGGCAGCAGACACAACAAACCATTGCGCTAAATGCGCACCCGGGCTTATTCAGCCAAAAGGCACGTAATGAACAGATCCCTCTCTGTTCATTCTGCTGCACTTAAGTACGTGTGCACGGCTCGTAAGGCTTACGGCGTAGCCTAAGCCCACACAGGGCTCCAGCCCGTGACAATAATATTATTCTACTTATAATAATCGTCAAATTCGGCTAATAAATGGCTCTTATAGCCGTCGATAATAAGCATCCAGTCAACGCCCTTAGTTCAGTTCTTAATATATTTATTAATGTATTTAAAATAATTAAGACCCGTATAATTATCCGTCTATCTATTAGTAGTAGGCTTAATAACCTAGTTGCCTAGAAAACATAATTTCGTAGTCTAACTAGTAAAGTAATATACGCCCTTAACAATCACGAATAGAGGGATACACCACCCGCCTAAATTAATATATTTAATAACTATAACTAGCTCATTTATAGTTACCTAACTAGACAGACTTTACTTTACTATATCGATCGGCGCATATTACTATTATTAACGCGGTAATCATGCCCATTATAAAGCTAGTTGTTACGGCCTAAACGATTGGTCCCGTCATGGCGTAGCTATATATGCAGAACAAGGGACAATGATGCGGAGTCATCATTATCGAAGCTTTTGCTTTGTGCCACAGTTGGTTGCCTTGACCTGCTCGTAACAATATTAGAGAAGTATTTTTTCTTCGATCGGATCGAGTTTATATCGTTAGGGTTAAGTTTATTTACATTATGGTCGGTTATTTATTCTACCGGCTAAGGTGCTCTTTAAGATACTATAGGTCTTTAGACCTATATAGCATATAAAATACTTAAATTACCACCTATAGCGCATATTGATTGGATCGCTTTAGTCGCAAGAATAACTTTATTTTCTTAAGTATAAATTGGCATTATAGTTATTGAGATTTTACGCATCAAAGGTTTAAGTGGTTTGGACATAAGTGTATTTAAGAAAAAACGTCCGGCTGACTAATGAACCACGTTATATATTTAACTTAATAATAATATTAATACTTAGCGGCTACTATTTAGGAAGGTAAAAAAAGGCTTTATAGAGCAAGCTTAGTAACTAGACCTTCTAAGGGCTTAAGTTATTAACGCTATAGTGAGGAAGTAAAAGGTTCTTAAAGTTGATCCTAATATAAAGTTCGCTAATATTAAGAATATATAGCGGGCTTAGATCGAAGTAGGTAAAAAAGAGGTTATTATAGTTAAACCCAGCGAGTCTGATTGCCCTAGTGAAGCTGGCAGCTGTATTGTAGTGGGTGAGGTTGAGGATCAATAGTTAATAGTAATGAGGAGGTTGGGCTGTGATCCCATCGTTTTTATAGTGCCAGAAACAGGAGGGGGAGGGGGGGGGGGGGGGGGGGGGGGGGGGCAGGAAGTGGGTATGTTGACTTATGGAAAGTAACGTCGTTCACATTGATCGAAGAACGGCGGGGCGGCTTCCGGGTGCGTTCGGCCAATATGATTCTGAGAGGTTGTCAAAGGGCCACACGCTAGCAACTCGAAGGATCGCGGTGTGGGGTTTAGATTGATAAGATCAAAATTTCCAACGGCTGATGGCCCCGGCTGGGGCCATTGGAGGAATGAGATCCATGGCGAGGGCGACGTTGCTTTGTCAAGGATTATTTGCTGTCAGACTTGTGGTCTCGCTTTCGGTCATGTCGTCTCACCGGCACATTCCCGTTGAAAACGGATGAACCCGACCTGTCAGATGAGGGATCGAAGAACAAGACGCTCTGTGGGACGAGAGCGTGGGCCTTGCAACGGGTGCACTGTATGCTCGTAGGGCCGCTGACGAATGTTTGGTTGAGGGTTTTGTGCGAGTGCGAGTCGCGTAAAATGGTTCGTTTCACAGGGTTCAGTGGACGAAACATATATGTTCATATAGTCATTTTGTAACCTGAAATTCCCTAGGAGGGCGGGCACCTTCAAGTGTAGGATACTTAGTACTCAATCGTGAAAATTGTGCTTCTCCCCAGATTATGTATGCAACTGTATCATCAGATGAAAACAGTGAACGTGCTCCCACAACGTCGCCCCAAAGATGGTTTTGCCAGCCCAAGACCAAAAACCGCAGGCCTCCCGCAGTGGTTATGGCACGTTGTACAGACGAGCACCTGGAGGGGCGGGCGTTGACGGACAACAATTCCGAAAGTACAACCGACTACATCACCGTCTTGGCGGTAACGCTTTTGCATCGAAACTAATCCTAGTTGACTATGTATCCATTCCGTCCCACTCAGCCCACTCCAGATATTACTTGGTATCCTTCTACATCCGATGGCAAGATGGGTTGACAAAGGTACGGAGTACAAGTCCCTGCAGGACGGCTCGAACCGGCAAAAAACACTGCTTCCTCGGACTTTGCGAGCTTTCATTGGGAGCTTAACCAGGCAGCCTGCATGAGCGCACATCTCTATGTACGAATATTTGGTGCCTTCAACTTGCAGAAGCGGGGAACCCGATAGACCGTGTCGCCCTCGGGCCCCAACACTCACACAGAGCATAGTGTAAACCGTTCGGCCTTTTGCGTCAATGAGTACAACGGCCGCTTAGTCCCGCACCACCAGAATTGCTAGACTTCATCTATGAAGATAATTACTCCAGATTCACAACAGGTAAGAGAGTAGTGCCAATGGTATACAGCAATGTTTATTGTAAGCTAAACGCAACGTTCAAAACTCAAAAGAAGCCTTCAGGATTACGCAGCAGCGAAACCAGGGTTGGAAACCTCTCAAATCTCATAGCATCCGCGGTCTGCTTGAAGCACATTCCCTGGGCTCGGAGACGACTCAAACGAGCTTAATGGCAACGGTTAACGCCGCTCCCCAAAAAGAAGTAAATCTAAAAAAAAACCCATAACTATTCATTCAATTAGGTTGTAGGTGAGATGGAAATCATTCGTACTGCTACATGCAATGCCTGGCTGACTTCCTTCCTCGTCAAAATGAACTTATTCTCAGCTCGGACAATCCAGGCACAAAGCAGCTGAAGCCATTGCGCTCAGCCAAGCTCCAAGCTTCAAACCGAGTCTCCTCTTGACACGAAATGTTGATGCCATCGCTCCACCGACTGCCTAACATTCCAAATATATCCCTGTATGTTTGCGAACGCCGTATAGTCGTCTGGGACACTTCCCCAGGCTGCTATGGACCCGGATGATTCGCAAAACGGCTCTGGAGACAATGGAAGCGTTCTGTCACATCCTTCATGAATCTCTCCCGCACAAATTGCCTCGATCTGAAGCGGAGTCTCGTCAGCTATTCTCCGAGCAATTTCTTCAGAAATCGGGTGAGCGAACCTGACAGTATGCACCGAAGGGATGTGCTCTAGAATGTCTCTCATGAACCTCAGAAGAGCAGACTGAAACTGGGCGGAAGTTGGATACTGGCTATGTCTGTTGGGACAGATCGTGATTCTCTCTACTTGATTGGCTGATGCAGCTAGTTCCGACGCCACTATTTGGCCTGGTCCGGTGCCTTTATAGAAGTTCAGATAGAGCTGCTTGATGCCGCTGAGGGAAGAGAGGTCCGACGGCTTGAATTGCGCTTCTGTAAATGTGGAGTTGAGAGAGCCATACATGGATTGGTTCCCAGCCCAACTGTGCTGTCCGAGCCAGAACCTGAAATGGTTTCGACTTTGAAACAGCTCTAGGACCTCGGCTTCTACTTGGGAACAGACTTCGAAAAGAGGTGATGGTGGGTATGCTGCAGCCCATGGTAGACTACCAACTGGCTCGCAAATATCTAGCTCACACCTCAAAGGCACGAGCTCGGATAACTCGTAGATGCGGTCGCGTATCTCTCGTGGTAATTGAAGAAAAGCACTTCGCTTGGAATGTTGCGTATATGCACCCATCTTTGTTGTCGGTGCTTTCGTTCTTTGGGCTTTACTATTGGTTTCAACCTTTTGAGAGTGATTGAAAAAAAAGTATTACTTTTCTTCTTCTTGTATCGATGAGTTGAGGAGCCGATGTAACTTGGGTCAAGTATTCGAATCAAAGCCTGTACTTGGGCCTTAGCTATATGCAATTATATGTCCTGGAGAAATATACTTTCTGATGACTGTCCATGGGAATGGTATCAATTCGACTTGTGGAAGAACAGCACATAGAACCATGCTCTTTCACGGAATAAGCAAGAACAAATGCGTTTGATCCAACTCAGCCACAATGAGCGGATTGGATGCTCCAACTACCTTGTTGATGTACTGATCAACGGAATTTCCAACATCACGTTATCATCGGCGCATGTGAGGTTGCTCCTGAAGAACAAATAAAGGCAGTACAAAACCCTCTTTGTCTATTTTCACGAGGCTCTATCCATTTCGAATGATGGGACAAGTGCCGGTAGGCAACATTTGGTCTCTGTCGTACAAAGGGCATGGTTATTACTCAAGGGCATTTCATGTGATGTATTACTATGTCTATTTGAACAATAGCCGGAGGACTGGTTCAAGATCTAGATCAGTACCTCATGATACATTCCGACTTGAATCGTTGCTCAGGATGGTCCGGCTTTTCCTTCAACTTTTGATTTCGTGAACTGCCTCCGATTGAGCGACTGTCTCTGTATCAGTTTTCTTCGCATCATTGCCGAAGTGTCTGACAACCAGCCAAGCCGGGTATATCGAGAGAAACCACAGTCCAAAGTTGATATAAGGCCCGCCGAATAAGGCGAAGATCGGGATTGCGTTGAGTCCATAACTAAGAGCTTGCCATGCTGACTCCGTTCCTCGTAGGAGTGCTGACAGACGAATGGTCTCATGGGGGCTTTCTGAAATTTGTCCAATGATGAAGAATGCAAAGTTGTAGTTCAGTTGGAAGCCAGCGACCAAGAAGATGAAGACGCCGAAGCCTCTGCCGAATCCCGGGTCACTCCAGTCGAGCGTGGGCTGAGTCCGACGGTACTCGGTGACGTTGATAGTCAGCCATAGCCACCAGGCACCCTGGAGAGTCATAATAACCGCAAAGGCCCAGCGAGCCCTCTTCTTCAGAGCGATCGGGTTCTGATCGAGCCATAACCCGAGGAGGTTACCAGCGATAACTGCAACGATGCCAGAGAGAAGTGATCCTAGGGCACGAGCTCGGACAGAGAACCAAAGAGCGATGTATGTGAAGAAGATGGATTCAGAATACACGCCCTGGCCAATCCACAAGACGAGAAGCAGGAACTTGGGAGTGAGTAACGTCTTCGTTGTAGCCTTGATTTCTTGCCATGGGTTGTCGGCAATGGTCAGCTGGACTGGCTTCCCGTCGGCTCGTTGGACCTTTTCTGGCTTGTTCAAAAGCATTGCAACAAAAGGCCCGCAAGCTTGCAGGGCAATGAAGATGAGGTAAACTTTGTACGATACCTTATCAGCTCCACTGCGATCAGCATTCAGACCAAGGTTGATAACGCCGCCGAGGATTTGCCCAACTCGAGTCCAAGTGAGCCAGTAAGCAATCATCCGCCCTCTGTTATGAGGCTCAGGATAGGCAATGGCAATAGCAGCTTCGGAGCCCCAGAAGATACCAGCAGAGACGCCGCAGAAGGCAGCACCGACGATAACGAGCCACTCGACACCGTAACGGTTATTCAGGTACAGCCCGGCGCTGTAGGGAGCAAAACCGATTGTGCCAATAACCAAGGCACCCTTGATGCCAACATATTTGACAACAGAGCTTGTAAGCCAGCATGAGATGATCATAAGGCAGAAAGTGAGCGCGTTTCCGGTATTAACAAGGTACGGCTCCTGAGCACCGCCTGCAGCATTGTCAGATACTTCATACTCTCTACACGAGGGCCATCCATCCCGAGATGTGACTTACCAGCACCCAAAGAGTTCATCGCACCCCAAAGGCCGGGAGCTGCAAAACTACACATGCCAAGAATCGTGGCATTGTAGAAGGGTGTGCGGTACCATTTTCCTGCTGGACGTCAGTGTATGAAGTTGATGAATTGTGCCGCACCACCTTACCCTCGACTCTTTCTGAATGCTCGAAGGGCTGCGCCGCATCAGATACACTGTCAGCTTTTCTCCGCCATCTTGAGCAGAGCCTGGCCTTTGCAGTGGTGACAATGCTCTGAATATGGCAACTTGGATTGCTGACTCGCTGACAGAAGTATGTTGTCAATAAGAATTGCCGAAACAAGAAGCTCCGTAGTGAAGAGTTTCGAAACTTGCAGAACATTGCCGGGAGGAATTTATGGGAAACATCACTCCCACGTGGCCGGGTGCTGCGCGACGTTGCAGGCAGAGCACGCAATTACGACCCTGATTGGAGGCATCGCTCTCCTCTCCGCGTTTGTCGCATCAAGAGGGTTCCAGACTTTTGGTAGATGGGGGTGACAGCTGAGGTAATTGCCGGTGACCTCCGCTGTCAACTCAAGATAATATGGTAGCAGCGTACGTATGCAGATAAGAAGCGACGAGGGTTGTGCAGATAGCTTCTATGATCTCAACTTGGCACCCATGGCGTGCTAGCAAATTTGGCTGACTCAGCACAATTCGGAACTCTGTTGGTCATAGTTTGGAAGAACAGCCGAGGTGCTTCACCTCACGACGGAGAATATTCCATTTTGAGTGTGGTCTTGAGAGAATTGGTCCTAGGCAAGCAGACATGCTCCCTCATTACGTATCATGTTCTGCCGATCGTGTGGAAAAAAGCAGACCGCATGTGTCCCTCGTCGATATAGTCTATGCCGTGACAAGACCCTGGTAAAGAGCAATGCATTGCACCTGGGAGAACATAGTCTACGTCTACCTGCAATATGAAATAAGAGCTAATGCTTGCCCGGCCACAAGTGATGATAAAAGTACCTTACCTGATAACCTCAACTGAGCAACCGAGCGTCGAGCCAGTAGGTCGGTAAAGTACTTATATCTTCTCTTTGCTTTCCAGCTTCAGGTCAATGCTACCTTTGTGATGTTTGGTGGATATTTGGCTAGTCAATTTCAAACTACTGACAGCGATAAGCTGCCAAGAAATGCTCCCTGGACCTTAGTTGCGTTGTGTAGGTGCATATCTTGCGAAGTTGTAGCAAAGAACTCCGATTTGGTATCATCCAAAATCTGCGCGAGATGTGTGACTGTTGGAATAGGCCTACATTAGGCAGCAGGAGGTTGCTGCCGCGGTCCGTTCCAGCCACGGTGGTCCGTGTGGCTCAGCCACACGAGGGTGGTATACCCCAGACTTCCTGCCGCCGCTGGCACCTGGTTAGACTTCCACAGAAGAACAACAAGAACAAGCAATATCACCACTACAGTCGGTGATCGTTGCTACCCACGATACTCGAGTATTTTCCTTTTCCACCTGTGAATCCAACAGTTTTGCTTGGCTCTGTGGCCGCGCGCTTAGTCGAATGATTTCGAACGCCGGCTCTGGAGCGACTGTTAACAACGACAGTGCAGTGATTCCTAAATGGTTTCCACAGTCGTTATTGGTCACTGAAGAGCGTTTAGCGAAAAGGAATGTGTCAGGCCCATCCCAGTACACTCGTTACAACGATTGTCACACCATGCCTATGAAACAATATGGTCTTACACAAGCATGACTAAGTTTGCCAAGGATATGCCAGTATAAAGGGTCTTCCACTCACTATATAGATAGTCGGGATATTCCCATAGCCACTCGTTCTTCATACTCATCAATACATCCCATTGACCCCCTACCTGATAATCGCTGCCCAACAGAATGTTACCAAGAGGCAGGTGCACCGATGGATGCACCCGCGTATGGCCAAGGTTTTGACTTGGGATTAGGTTACCTTTCACTTCAAATAGGGGTCCTCGGATACAAACCCTAGTGTATACCAATACTCTGTAAAGCCTCTATGAAGTGGATAATGATATTAGATACATTTTTGGGAGCTATAGCAGCCATTTATCTCTGGAACTCTGTCCATTTGACTTGACTATCCCCGGCCTAATCACATTGTCACTGTTGGATTCACAGGTGGAAAAGGAAAATACTCGAGTATCGTGGGTAGCAACGATCACCGACTGTAGTGGTGATATTGCTTGTTCTTGTTGTTCTTCTGTGGAAGTCTAACCAGGTGCCAGCGGCGGCAGGAAGTCTGGGGTATACCACCCTCGTGTGGCTGAGCCACACGGACCACCGTGGCTGGAACGGACCGCGGCAGCAACCTCCTGCTGCCTAATGTAGGCCTATTCCAACAAAAACACATCCCTTCCCCGTCAAACGACGCAGACACCCACTCGCCCCCAACTGAAGCGCTCTTCACGGATCGACCAGTGATAGACTGAGGGATACGACCTACAAATGGTCTAGAGTCGAATGATCCCCCTTCAATGCCGACCCACACGCGCTTCGTGCGACCATTCCAGACCCTTGTGTCCGAGGGCGGTGGAAAATCAGTTCTCTCAGAACCCCAAGTGTCGTACCCAAAGTGGTTTGGGAGAGCCCCGTTGAGATATGAGGCAGACAGGTGAAGGGGAGGACGGCTGTCGTCGTAAGTGTTGGCATTCGCGTCGTCTCCGTCAATATCGGCGCCAAACATGAGTTCTCCGTTCCGGGGCATCTGGACAATGTAATCCAAGCCATTCCGATACAGAGACCAGGCACGTCCTGTGGCTAAACTTACATTTCCAGTATACGATGGCCACTCTCCAGCTTTGGGCAAGCCACTGCCTCCAAGTTGGGCACTCACTCATGTGCAGCCGGCCTCCGCGAATGGCGCCTTGTAAGCCGGGAACAAGGTGTGGTGTCCAAGCGTTGGTCGCATAAACCACGTGCTTGGTCCGAATACTTCCTCTGGAAGTGTGCACCTCAAAGTTGAAGGGATCGGCTGCTTCGGCGGTGGTAGAAATGTTCAAGGCAGCTGTGTCAGTGTCCAGAGTAAAGCCGGGGTAGATACCCAGAAGTGATTTCAGCGCATGGGTGATGAAGCGATACGGCCAAATTGCACCAGCCATCTTCGGAGTTCCGGTAAGAATTCCGACAGTCTCAGGGAGAAGTGATATCTAATCATCTTGTAAGCAATTACCTCAAACTTGGGTGACCGTGTTAACTCACATTGCGAGCTTCTTCACTCTCAAAGATAGCCCATTCATCTCTAACGTCTGGAACCTCCTCTTTTAGGGCCTTGACCTGATCAACAGCTGTCTTCCATCTCTGCTCGTCGAAAAAGGCGTCGATACTATCCACAACACGAGCTTCTGCAGCTAATCTCCCCTCTTCTGGAAGAGAGTTGGCCGCAGAGATGAGGGCGTTCACGTGGGCAGAGCGAAGCCTAATGATCTTGGCTGCTTCCGACTGTGATACTGTCGACTTAGCGCCAGCATACTCGGCGTAAGAAGACGGTCTGATATGACCGCCGTTTCTTCCTGTGGCACCGGAGCAAGCCTGGCGAGCTTCGATCATGGCAACCCTCAGCGGCGTAGTACTGTTGTTCTCCTTCAGAAGATGCCAGGCAATGCTTGTACCTGACATGCCCGAGCCTATAATGACAACATCCACGTCCGTTGGTAGATGCTCGGACTGATGATCTGCAACTCCCTCCAACGGAGGAAGTTGCCAGTAGGATATGGTGGGATTGGCAACGGGCAAGCCAGGATCTTGTCCAAGGGATTTTGAAGCCAAAAATAGAGCAAAAGGTATGATGAGCCTCATCCTGAAATTCCGAGAGAGTCGCTATCAAGTTGAAAAATAATGTGCTAGTTTCCGAGCGAGTGTGACGTTTTGGAAAGGCGATGCCAATCGAGGAAGGAGAATCTTCATACTCTTATAGCAAAGACTCACCCATCTAATATTGCAGCTTCACAGGATGAGTCTTAAATATCTCCAAGGTTCAACCAGATAATGGTGATGTCCCATTGGCGTACTTGTCTTCGATGTTTCTCGTAACGAATACACTATACGAGGCCCTCTCGCTGTTGAGCACACGAATATGTTCGCGCTTACATGAAGTCAAGGAGCAATGCTACCATACGCTCGCTCATTTGGCCTGATCGAGTAACATTATAGGCACAATCTCTTGGCCGATCAGACTTTGGACTACTCCATCATCCATGTACCGCATCAAGTTGCCCGATTGAGCAGCCCCACACCCAATGGAGGTCTTCACGCAACCCGCGGGGAAGGCGGCGCGGTAGTTATAGAAGCACTTGTTGATGAAGAATTTATCGACCATGATGATAATACTGTAACGAAACTTGGTTGCTCTAGCGCCGCGGGTGGTTTCGGGAGCTAGCGTTGACCAGACCGCTAATCGAGTAACTCAAGCCAGCATAATTACCGCAGTCACAGGGACCCAAAGCCTGGTACTATGCATCTGACCTTTCCTTCTGAGAGCAAATCGATGAGATATCTATCTGGCTGAAGTCATGGATTGTTGCAGTAAATTCATGCATATCTTGGTATCTATGATGTTGAGTACTAAGTTACCACGCCTTTTCGCGGAGTCATGTTCCCTCGCGCAATCGCTCACTCAGTTGTCCAACTGGAGGGCAGAGTGCATTATCTTACTGAATAAATCCTGACGCAGATAGAATAAACCGAATGTTTGCGACGTTGGGTCCATGTTTGCGGTATCAAACATGCTAGTGTCAAAGGGACAAAAATTGAGATCGGTACGAAACGCAATGACAGTTTGACAGCATAGCCATTCGACCTCAAGCCGAAAACATTCAGTCTTGCGTCAGAAAACCCTACAAACGATCCCAAATCTTCAACACTTGGCCAAAACTCATCAATTTTGATGACGCTTGCGACAAGTATCAGTATTACCTTCTGTCGGAACGGCAAGGCTGATAAGGAGCAATGGGCAGGTATCGTGGGCTGGCTGGCGCCTGCCCTGGGCGAAGTGGGACAACTGGCTTAGTCACCACGGCCGGTTAAGGTGGGGCAACCACCCAGGCCGTCACCACCTACTTCGACCGACCCCTGCCCACAATGTAAATAGGAAGTAACAACAAGAACAACTACAGCAATTATCACGGACATCGACGTGATTGTTGCCGAAGATACACCATCATGAGGAAATGTATCACGCCTGTGATACCAACACCTTCTGTGGAGGCAATACTACTGTATTGGATCTGATGATGATGATAGGAAAAGCTGAGCGCTGGCTGGGCTGGATATCTGGGCAAGGTGTAGGTGGGGCAGCTCCGAGATGTGAAGGAGCTGCCTCACGTGACCCACCTGCACCTGCCACACCGCCCCTCAGGCCAGCCACAGTGAAAACTATCGTACATGTGAGAAGCAGGCTCAAATACCGACAATCCCAATTAGTCCTCCGCTGTATCCCATGCTCCGCCTATATCCTCCGTCCTGTGCCTGAGCCAAATAATCCTTTATCCCTTGTTTGTTCGGTCGGGTATAAGGATATCTATATGCTCATTTGCAAGCGATTTTCGTAAGGCCAAGCATTTTGACGAAGTTGGCGTGCTTCTCGTGATTTAACGGCTTCGTGAGTCCGTCAGCAGGCATGTCATGTGTTCGGATAAGTTTGAGGTTGAACAAGCCGTTTTTGACTTGATCGATGATCCACTTGTATCGTAGATCGATGTTCCTGGTTCGCGCCTGGTTTAGTGGATTCGTTACGTTGATCAGCGCGTTGCGGGAATCAGTAAATAGGACCGTAGGACGAGGTTGAGTGCAGCCGAGAAGTCTCAGCAGCTTATGAACCCATTGGACCGAAAGTCCCGTTGGAGTAAGGTTAATGAATTCAGCTTCCGTGGAGCTGGTTGTGACGTAAGTCTGTTTCTTCGACTTCCATATCACTGGGCCACCGGCAAGGATAACGACGTATCCTCCAGTGCTCACTCGGGTAAGGCGACAGTCGCCAAAGGCCGCGTCGCTGGCAGCATGGAGTCCGAGGTCATCAATAGGCATAGAAGCGTCAAAGGTGATGCCGAGGTCGACTGTGCCAGTGAGGTATCTCATGAGGTGCTTGATTGCTGCGAAGTGGTGCTCACCAGGGCGGCTGTTGGCTTCGCAGAGTTTGCTAGTTGCGTAAGTTATATCGGGGCGCGTACCGGTCGAGAGGAAATTAATAGAGCCTGTCATTTGCAAGTACAGCTTGCAACGGTCAGTTTCAACTGGTTCATACTCAACTGGCCACTTGGCGACGATATTGTGATCCATTGGTGTGCGGACTGGATGGAGGTCCACGTATCCGAACTTCTGAAGCATCCTGCGACAGAATTCGGCTTGTGATAGGTGGAGGGTCTTGGCTCTCTCATTGCGACAGACTTCGTAACCTAGGAATCTCTGAACGTCTCCCAGTTCTTTCATGCTGACAAATGACTTAAGGAGATCCTTGACTTTGCGAATAGTGTTCCGGTCTGGAGCAGCGATGACGTTGTCATCAACATACATCAAAACAATGCAGTTGTACTCGTCATGGATAAAAAGGCAGACTTCGCCTTCAATAGCTCGAAAACCGAGGTCAGTCATGTGACCTTTGATCTTGTTGAACCACCATACAGGTGCCATGGGGTGGCCGTAAAGGGCACGCTTGAGGAGGCAGACTTTGTCTCCTTGGCGATAGCCATGGGGCTGCTGGACGTACACCTTGGTATCGTCCGGGATAGAGGCGTGAAGAAAAGCTGTGTCGTAATCGAATAACTCTGCGATGTAGGTCTTGGTTGCAACAACAGCAAAGAAAACACGGATAGAGGTTGCATTAGCGACAGCTGCGTACAATTGTTCAGCGGACCAGTCAGATACCGCGTGGTTGCCACAGACAACCCATCGGGCACGATATCTGCCGTCAGACTTGATATCGCATATCCATTGGCCAGGAAGAATCTTTTCTCCGGTTGGAGGGTCAACGAGTTCCCAGGCTTCGGCTTGCTGTAGCGCCTTGATTTGCTTATCAAAAGCAGGTTGCCACTTGTCCCACTCAGGACCCTCTTTGGCCTGCTTGAAAGTGCGAGGTACGGTTGGACCAGCGAGTGCGGCAGCGGCGATGGCAGATAATACTGGAGGCTGGTTGTCTTCCCACACAACTGTGTCAAGGCTGACATAGGCTTGTTGATAACCATCAGACTTGGCATACGTGTTGCCTCGGAGAGAGCAACCGCTGAAACCGCCCCTCTTCTTGACCCAAGTGCCCTGTGAGTTTCTGACATGCTCACGTGTTGAGGCTCTGTTTGGTTGGCTTGGAGGAGGGCGAGATTGACGAGTTCGTCTAGTTGGTTGTGTTGTAGGTTGAAGATCGTGATCTTCTGTGGCAACTACTATAGTTGCTTCATCTATATCCTGTTGGATAGCTTCTTCGATAGCGTTATCGAAAGATGTATCAGTATCGTGCTGTTGAACAGTTATGTTAGCAGACATCTGCTGATCAATAGGGCTGTCTGGTTCAGGGGTTGGAAGAGGGTTTTGGGTAGTTGCCTCTTCGGCAGACTTGTTGTCAGTGGTTTCGTCCTGGCGGTCAGGAGTGCTGGACGACTTCTGTGCTCCTTCATACTCAACAGATGAGGTGCTGGTATCTGGATCAGCAAAAATGGCATCGTGATCAATGGTTGGGTCATTGTCTTCGTCCTGGTGCTTGCCCTGTTCATAGAAACGAACATCGCGGCAGCGGTATACCTTGTGGCTTTGAGGTACGTAGACGTAGAAGAGATGGCCGTGAAGTGAGTCGTATCCAACGAGATATCCCTTGATGGCTCTTGTCTCCATCTTGTTGGCGCGGGCTGGTTGCAATGACCCCTTGCGGTGGAGATAGGCAACGCAGCCGAAAGTGCGGATATGGTGGATATACGGTACGTGATGGGCTTCGTCAAGATTGAGATCTTTCGCGAGCATCTCGTGGGGGCTGAGATGGCCTGGATTGGTTGCTTTGGGCAACAGGTTGGCAATCGTGATGACTGTGGTGACGGCATAGTCCCAGAGATAATCAGGAAGGTTGGCGTCAATCAGCATGGTTCGGGCCGCCTCTGCAAAAGTCCGGCCAGCTCGCTCTGCCTTTCCATTCATGCTTGGGGTGTCAGCAACAGTCAATTTGACTTTAATGCCTCGTTTGGTGTACAGCTCCTGCGAAAGAGCATTGAAAAGCTCGGTGCCGTTGTCTATTTGAAACGCCTTAATCGAAAGGTTGGTCTGGTTTTCGAAGAAGTTGATGAATTCTTCGATACGATCAAGCACTTCGTCAGCACGCTTGCTCTTGAGCAAGTATCGCCACTGGAAGCCTGTACGCGCGTCGATCATGTGAATTAGATAACGTGACTTTGTATAGGACAAGGGTTCGAATTGTACCAAGTCCATGTGAATGAGATGACCGGGCTGGGCCTCTCGAATGGGGGTTTCTCTGCTGATGAGTTGTTGAGATTTGCCTAGGTGGCAAGCCTCGCAGTGAAAGGTGTCAATTTCTTGTTGAGGAAAAGTTATGCCCACACGACGGCAGGCTTCAACGACCCTGCTCTTGCCCGCGTGGCAAAGTCGCTTGTGCATAAGGTCAAATGTGACTTTGTTGTTATTCTTGCTTACCATAGCAAGGTTAAGGGCCGCGTTAATTTTCGGGCCTTCGTAGTTGTTGGTGACGATAACGGCAACATTGTTATGCCAATCGAGTTTGGCGATCGCGACGTTGTTTCCAATGTGGATAGTGTCGTCGCTGACCTTGTAGCCCTGCTGACGGAGTGTGCCTTGACTCAGCAGGTTGACTGGGCAGTCAGGGCAGTACTGTACATCCTCAATTGACCAGTCGACCACCTTGTTGCTGTCATCTGGATCAACGGCAGTGAAGTAAACCGTGCCGTAACCAGCTGGCGATGCGTACTGACCGTTGGCGACTTCCATGGGTGGCAGTATTGCCTCGGTGAAGGAGGTGAACCAACTGAGGTTGTTGAAAGTGGTTCGCGAGCACCCGGAATCCAGGATAATGTCGTCACGGTTAATTCTGCCCGTTGCCATCGAAGTTGAGCACGGCAAGACTGTATGTCCCATTGTGTTCTGGTGGAGAACGTTCGGCGTAGCCTTGACCGCGACTGCCTTACCCTCCCGGCATTCGGAGGTACAAGTATGAGCAGCAGCTTTCTTGAGCAGGTTCTCACGGTACTTATGGTTGGACGGGATGAGGTCGGGATGGGCGACCCAGCAAGAGGTAGTCGCATGTTTCTTGCCGCAGTGTTGGCAGTCAGGACCATTGTAGTTGTTGTTAGGTCGCTGATTGTTGTTTGAGGTGTTACCGGAGGCCTTGTTGTTGCCGTTGCTGTTGTTTCCAACGGCGACGTAGCCCTTCGCGGCATTGAGTGAAGCAGTCCTTTCGGCATTGGCCTTGAATGTGAGATCGCGTGTGAGATCTTCAAGGGTCTTGGTGTTGTCCTCGACGTACTTGTCGTAAAGTGCTGGATATTCTTGTTGGCATCCGTTGAGTAGGATGAACATGGCTTTCTTGTGCCAAGAGGGGACCAGCTCATCGATACGACGAATGAGATACTGGCCGCGCTGGAGATACTTATGGGTATCTGAGAAGTCCTTGCGCTTGAGGTTGCAGAGCTCTCGAACGAGCTCGGCGACGGCATCCTCTGAAATCTTGGGGATGATGGTCTTCAATTTGTTCATGAGAAGGAAGGGGTTGCGGTCAGCCGTCTTGATGTCGTATCCATCAGCGAGGAGACGATCGAGGACTTTGCTGATTGATGCGATGATGATGCCGTACGTTTCAATGCGCTGGCTCTTCCAAGTAGTGAAGGCCACAGCCTGCGCTGGAGTGATAGGATCATCGCGATGGGGTTGAGAGACGTCTTCATCGACGTACTTCTCGTAATCGAGAGTCTCAAGGGTGAGATGCAGTACTGCGTACCATTGGTCCCAATTTTCTTCTCCCTTGAGGTCGGGCACCTCCCAGCGGGCGCGGTTGCCAGCCATGATGACGATGGAGGTGAAAGATTCGTGATAGTGTGTGTATAGGTGTAGACGGCCTGTACGGTCGCGTCTGTTATTGTTTTTTTGAGGAATCTGTACCTCTGCCGTTGCCAGTCGCGACGCCGCGATCTCTGGTCGACAGATTAGTAACTGCTCAATTGAACGGGCTCTACGCAGAGCTGGGCGATCAATTCATATGGGGTAAAAAGAAAAAGAGTCAACGCTGGGCTCTCATAACCTGTGGAGGCAATACTACTGTATTGGATCTGATGATGATGATAGGAAAAGCTGAGCGCTGGCTGGGCTGGATATCTGGGCAAGGTGTAGGTGGGGCAGCTCCGAGATGTGAAGGAGCTGCCTCACGTGACCCACCTGCACCTGCCACACCTTCACATGAAGACTGCTGGTCTCCCTTGGGGGGCAGGTAGGGGTGCGTGAAAGCGGGCAAAGTGTCACTAGAGAACAGGCTCTCTTTCAGAGATGTAGTACTGTAAAGACAAAGTTTGTATCCAAACACCGTAACCAACAAACTCGTCCGATTCCGACATTGTACTTACGATATCCCTTGTATCTTGGTGCAACGGCCTGCCTGTGAAGTCCCCTGGCTTATGTGTCTGAAAAGCTGAAGGGAGCCCGAGTACCTCAATGAGACTTATAAAGAAGTCGATGGTGACTTCTCCCGGATAATCTTTTGGCATTCACTCTTTCAGTCCTAATTCCTCAGTATATACCTACGATCGAGTAAATCCTTCACAAAAACCGCCATCATGAAGTCAGCCATCATCGCCGCCCTCCTTTCCATCTGCCTCTTCGCAACCCACATTGTAGGCTCAGCCCTGGCACCCCGCGCCGCCTTGGACCGAAAATGCCCTCTCGAGTCCGATTGCATGGAAAAGCTCTGTGAAAATTTCAGCTTCATAGAAACCAAAGAAAAGGACCCGTTCTACCTCGTTGCCCAGTGCAAGAACAAGAAAGGCAGATACGTTTACACCAAGCTCGATCTCAAGAAGTGCATCGCCAATTGGGATGGCAACCTGGAATGGGCACCAAGGTATGAGTTTCTCTTGGATGATACCCCGCAACAGCTGTAGTCGGTCATCGTAAGAATAATCAAGACCTAAGCTAACGCGGGATCTTCTCATAGAGGTGGTTTCAGGTGTGGTGCATGCGACGTCTTTCAGGAATCTCCAGACTCATACGTCGGCCTGAGATGCGGGGAGTGCAAGCCACGTATCTTCTGGCTAGAGGGATACAAGTCGCCTTCCATCAATCTCTGCAAGTAAACAATTGCATGGTTTTTGATTATTGTCTTGCTGACTGGCGTTGTAGCTCAGGGGATTTGGGTCAGCCAGGAGGGCGCCCTCAGCTGCTACGACATGAATGGCGAGTGGTATGTGTAACTACAGACTTGACTGGCGAGTTTCTAGATGCGTCGAATCTGGTTGGAGCTCCTGAGACAAGAACAAGCGACACTTCGTAGAACGGAACTTTGCCTAAGGTTCCATGGATGATTAGGGCTTTACATTCTTTGTAATAATTGCGTACGACACCGTCGCAAATTCATATTTGTGTGTTGGCATCTCATCTAAAGAGGATGAGGCGTTGATCTATCATCAAAATCTAATATTAAGTAAGAACTTTCGAACCATGGCTGAGAGTGAATCAGGGGGGAAGCCAACCAGCCCCTTGCTGCTTGTGTATTCCATTTCTTTCAGGGGTCGACACGTGTTCCAATTACCTTCTGACATGCTTGCAAATACTTTCATTATTGCCGCGATTTCATTCAAGGTATATACTCTAAGCTCTTGATCATATGTACGCTATCCTCAACGCGACGCTCGATTCTCGAACCCAAAAATAAATGAACAACTATCTGGACAACCTAAGTAGACTCGTTACAACAAGCTAGAATCCAAGCTTCATCTTGAGATGAACTCTTTGGTAACTTTCCAGTTCGCCGCCCCAGCCTCTTCGGGGTCCATGAATATCGTCACCCAGCTGCCTCGTCTCTGCTCATTGTCGATCAACGCATTCTTGATCCTCGCATGCTCAGGGAGGCCAAAGGGCGGCTCGAGTTGATAGGCGCCAAAATTACCGATGCTACCGGAAGATGGCGTTGATCCCGCGGAAACGGACCCGGGCGTTAAATTGTTGTCCAGCATCAGATCGTTGACGAGAATCCTCGTCCTCTCATACTCCTCATTCTGTTGGGAATTTATGACTTTGGGAAGTCCAGGATATTGGAATCGAGGCACGGGATAGTCGCACTCCATCCCGGATTCCATCTCCGCCGGGAAGAGGCCGGTTGGCACCCCATCAGACTCCTCCCAAGACGCCGTGTCCCACCCAGCTGTGATATCAAACGCCTCCTCACGGTAACGAGCCGCCTCCTCTTCAATGTTTATGCAGCGCTTGCCGATTTCAGCCAACATCTGGGCATCCCACAGGTTCTCCCTCCGATTTGTCACGGTGTCTTGCTTGAGTAGATTTACGGCAGCTCGCCGCAGCATTGGGTGCCGACATTTGATGCTAACATAGTAGAGCGGCGGGATGACCTCAGTATCGAAAACGAATTTGGGCATTGACCTGGCGGCCTCGGAAGGGTCGCGGACCGCCTTGCGTGTGGCTTGAACAAACTCCGTAGAGTTGCTAACAATGGACGCAAAGGCCGTGGTGTGCATATCAAAAGCAATCTCCTTGGGGTCCATGGCCGTACTAATTGCAATCCTGGCTGCATGATAATACACCATGCACAACTTTCGTTTACTCAGGTTGTCGTCGGTACCGGTGGCCGAGACCACGACAAACGCAATGTGCCATCGTGATAGCCGAGCGAGAAAGTCGTCTTGTTCGTGAGCCAAGTCCAGCAGTGTCGGGTCGTTTGGCTGGCAGGAGTATACGGCCCTCTTCGCTTGTGACGTGAATCTCAAGCCGTCATCGATGAGTTCGTATAATGAAACTTCGGCCTCGTCCACGGATGCAAAGTATAGATTTGTGGCCGGGCTCGCTTGGAGGGTGGCGGGTATGGCGGCGGGGAAGCTCCCAAAGAGAAAAGATGCGAGGCCAAGTCGGCTATAGATGGGCACGAAATGCTTCTTAATCATATCCACATCAGCAGAGGGCTCAAGCTGCGAGAGAATGGTGCGGCCTTGGTTGATGTGCACCTGGGATGCGCCCTCGTCGCCAAGCATGAATTCGATGCATATGAACAGCAGGCATGCTAACAGCGGAACGGTGGCCGGTGATGATGCTGTTGGTTTCCATTCCTGAAGACACTTCAGGGCCTTGCCGTATTGTTCCGCTGCAAAAGTGTTGGTGAGTACGCGAGGGCCGTTTACTTCTCCAGTATTGGAATCCGAATTTGAGGGCAGCGCGAGTGTTTCATGGAGACTGCTGATGGCGAGAACGGCATGGCGAATGGCAGGCTCGGCATGACAAAAGTGCGGTACCAATTTCTTCCACAGAGTCGAGGCAACTCCATCGCTAAAGATGGATGGGGCGGAGAAGTTGCGGTAAAAGTCAAAGGCTCGCTGTTCTCTGGAGCCGCCGGCCCAGTCCGCAAAGGCTGAGACTGCCGGGCTCAAGCGCGAGTTGCTGTCGTCGGAGCCGGGGCTGCCATCGTTGCTACTCCCCGACCTGGGAGACGGTAGGTATCCGTCACATTTCCTGCCTGTCTTGGTGCATCGAAGACATGCGGGTTTGGTCTCGTCACATTTGACTTTGCGGATCCTAGATGTTGGGACGACGGGTTAGCAAGAAAGGTGGAGAGAGATGAGATGAAGTGAGATGAAAGCATAGGGCTGGAGATGGGATGGCAGATGTAGTGATGGGATTGATAGGGAGGCTCGGACTCAACTTGCAGGTCACACAACCAGTCCGAACTTTCTTGGTGCCCTTCCGGCCTGAGGGGACCTGCAATGACGGCGGCGGCGTGCTTGCTGGGTCTGTCATTTGCGGGTCGTCTGGCATGTTCATGATGCCGAGCTCCCGTAGGCCCGTCGGGTCAGAGGTAGGGTTGAACAAGTAGATAGCACTGTATGTTTCTGGGCTTCAGGGCTGGCACGGCTGGTGCCAGGTTGTTGGAACGGCGTTGGGACTTTGGTGTTGTTGGTCTGGAGTATTCTGTCTGGATCCGAGATGTCAAGTCCGAGTCCAGCAATCACGACCAAGGTTTCCTTTAGTGTATTGTGGTGAAACTTGCGACCTTTGTATCTCGTACTGCGAGAAGTAGTCTTTGGAATCAATTGACGACGAAGACACCATGCAAGGAGCTAGGTCTACAGCGGATGATGATGAGCGGTATCCGTATCCGTAGAAAATCCACTCTCTGGCGATTCAAGTTGATGGAAGCGAGATTCCCGCCCAAGCCGAGGTGTAACAGGGTAGTAAGTAAAGTAAGGTAGATACGGATCGGAGACGGTACTATGTCGAGCCAAGCTTCCCAATTTGTAGGGACAATCCCGTCGGATTCCCATGAATTCTCGAACGAGAGCTCAGAGAATGTCTCTGCCTAGAGGTATGGTGACGGTCGCGACATGGGGATAGCGGATACAAATCGAGGGCCGGCAAGGTGAGGTGGCTCTCTTGGTAATCTGGGTACGGAATACGAATGTTCTGGCGCTGGTTAAGGTAACGTAGTCTGTATCCGTGGGAACTCCAAGGATAGTTCGGTTAGTCTCCTTTCAAATGTCAGCCCTGTCACTGCCCCAGCTGCATGGCCGCGTCCCATCGTGGTGAGATGCGCATGAGGTGAGATGCGCATGAGGTGAGATGCGCATGAGGTGAGGTTGTCCAAGGTAGGTAAGGTAAGGTGAGGTAAGGTAAGGTATCCGTGAAATGCGCCGACTGCACTGCATTTGGCGGACCAGGGTGAGGAGCGAAATGGAAGGAAGCGGCTCAGCCCAGAATTCCAGACTGCAGCTCCCCGTAGTGTTGCGTTGCGTTGCACCTTCCATGTGAATGCGCCGTAGCTGTGCAGGGGAAGGAGCGCAGCAGGCACGGCAGGGCGCACCTGCTCATTACTGAGTTCTCAGTTCGAATGGGAAGGGGCCAAGGCTCACGGGCCACAACGGTGCATGTTCCACTAAAACGGGGCTAAGTCACGGGGCTGCGCGTCGTTGATTCGTCCCAGATCTCGGACTACGGTCCCGAGCGAACCAATCGCTGAGCTTTGGTGGGGCTCCGAGCCGGCTCCCGCAGGATCCTTTCGGTTCAGCGGTTCGCACCCGTTGATCCCGTTCCCTACGGCCTTGTTTCTCATCGGTTAATACCCATCACAACCAGCTTCAAGGTAGGTATCCGTACAGAGTATTTATGATTCCATACCTTACAGAATACCCATGAACGAACCCAGATGATTTCACGACACGAAGCCCAGGCCCTGTCATTTCATCATCCATCACCGGCAAACATCGGCCAAGCCATCGTCTGACTGGCTCAATGACCCTGTTCCTTGCTGCCTTGACGCCCTCTCCATTCTTCAGCCCAGACGGTAAGGTAGAACCCAGATGAACGGGTCTCTTCCCGGTTCCCTCCCGGTCTCTGCATTGCCCTACGGGCCTACAGCCTTTTTGCCGCGTATCAATTCCCCCGTCATCCCAGCTCTCACTCACTTGCGGCAGGGGTTCATCGATTGGGAGGCTGGAGGTTGGTGGCTGAGCACAGGCAGCACAGAACAATAGAATTAACCTTAATTTGACCAAGACCATGCCATATAACAAGCTGCCGCCTCTGCCCCTTCCCCGCTAGTATAGCGTCTGTCTAGCATGTCTGCTCATCCTTCCAGACGCTATGGCTTTGATCGTCTGTCAGACAAGCCCTGATTGGTGATGCCGGACTTTGAGAGACTCTGTCCCGAGCTTTCTGATGGCTCGACGTGTGTTGCTGGAGCTTCATGTCGCGCGTTGTCGTGGCTTAGTCTTCATCATAGTGTCAGACCCAGAAATAGCTTCCTTCCAGGTATTCGCAGGGCGAGATACTCGGAGAGTCTCAACAGGGCTCTTTGTCTTGTAGAAACGATATAATTCAGTCTGGATATGCCACTTGGAGAAAGTCTTCCACTCAACAATACAACTCAAGTTCTAGAGTCTCACTAGTGTATCATTTCACATTCATCACCGTAATTGAGCATCTATCGAGATGGTTCCCAACACCTCCCTCCTTGCCTTCACGGCAGCCTCTCTAATCACTCTCTCCCAGGCGAACCCGTGCCCACCATTAGGACCAACGTTACCCTCCACCAAAGCACCAAGCAACTCGACAATAGTACGACAAACCATTCTTAAGATCCAAGAAGGCCTCGTTAACTTCACCTCCGCCCTAAACTATACCGCAGTCTCCATTGGCGTCAAATCCATACACGAAGATACGCCCCTATTCGACTGGCACTACACTCCTCCCGTCGCAGACAACCTTAGCGTTGCAAAAGTCGACATCGACACCGTCTACCGCGGAGGAAGCATCACGAAGGTCTTCACAACTCTCACAGCTCTGAAGAATTCACAGATCAAGGGGACGGATCCCGTTACCAAGTACCTACCGCAACTCAAGACCGACGCCGTGAAGAATGAAGGCCAGCTCAGCTTCATCCCTTGGGACAACATTACCATTGAGGACCTAGCTTCCCATGTTTCCGGACTGGGTGGTGACAGTAAGCTGCTCGTCGTACATCTCACTCGACTGCACTAATATCCTCAAGTCGCCACTGACCTCGCCGTCTTCCCCGGTGCCTGGGCATCAATGGGCCTCCCCCCCGTCTCCAACGACACCAAGCCGACCTGCTCCGGCCTCCTCGGCACCAAGCCCTGCTCAGGAAAAGGTAAAGCATCTTTCCCTATCTAAATTACCCACGGCAAGTCCCTAACAACATCCAGACCTCCTCCACGGCCTCAACGAGAAACCCCTCGTCTTCCGCCCCCACACAACCCCCGTCTACTCCAACATCGGCATCGCCCTCCTCGCCCTCGCAGTCGAAGCAGCATCCAACCAAACCTACGAAACCATCCTCACCGACACAATCCTCGCGCCTCTTGGCCTAACAAGAACCTCCATCTCCACCCCAGCAAAGGGCACAGGCTTCATCCCCCTCCAGGAACCAACTTGGGGCGGCGACCTTGGCGCCTACGCCGCCGCGGGGGGGATCTACACAAACACCCGGGACATGCTCACCTTCGGAACAGCAATCCTCTCAGACAAGGTCGGCATCGACACGGGCTCCTGGCTGAAGCCGCGCGGCTTCACCTCCTCGCGCGGCTACTCCATCGGCGCCCCCTGGGAGATCTGGACCACCTCCACACTCCTCGGCTCAGGCGTCCCTATCAGCATCTACACCAAATCAGGCGACCTCGGCTTATACACCAACGTCCTCCTTCTCATCCCCGACTACGACCTCGTCATCTCCATTCTCACCGCCGGCGCCGAAGCCGCAGGCACATTCCAGTTCCCCTCCCAAGTAATCTCCCCCGTCATCCAAGCCCTCATCCCGGCCCTAGAGAAAGCAAACAAGGAACACGCCACCACGTCCTTTGCAGGACAGTACACCGACGAGGAAACCAACTCGACACTAACGCTATCCATCGACGACGGTCCAGGTCTGTCTCTGACAAACTACACCGTCCGTGGCTTCGACGTACTCTCTCACATCCCCAGCTATGGCGTTGGCTCCAAGATCCAGGCCTTCAACGTCAGCGGCAGAGTCTACCCTACCAACATCAGAGAGGGCGACCAGTGGTCATGGCGCGCCGTGTACAAGAACCATGATGAGCCGGATGTCGGTGATAAAATCATATACCCCGACGGCGACTGTCAGACATGGGGCTTGATTGACCGCAAGACCTACAACTACCTTGCCTTGGACGACTTCACCATCACTATCGCAGAGGATGGGTCGGCCAAGAGTATTTCGCCGCGACCGTTTGGCGTCACCCTGAGAAAGGCGTAGTCGTGGCCATGAAGAAGGCGAGAATGGTGACCGGCGTTGACGTAACTTCACATGTACACACCTCAGACATCACTTAGATTCCACTTGTTACTTTGAATTACCCATTGATTGATTTTCTGTCTACCACGACGCCATGCCATGATACCTCGAGAAACAAAAGAGGCCCTCTGCAAAGTCCAGAATGTACTGCTAAAAGCCCTTAACCCTTGACCTGGTATACACTAACAAGACCAAAAAACGGAAACGCCTGGCAACATGCCAGGAAAGTTAAACACACATTGAAGAGAAATACCGCCCAACGCCGCCGCGGCCGCTCATATAAGCGAAACCCTTCCCACGAACCTAACGAGTTCGTTTCCTCATGAAAGCCCTTTGAATATCATCGGAGCTCAGTCGCCCGAAACCTGAACAACGTCAGGATTACCAGAAGCTGCACCATCCTATGTAGTGCTGGCAGAGGTTCTCCAACTTTGTCGCCTCCGTGATGAGCTTGTTGACCTGGTTGATCACATCAAGCTCCTCGTTCGGCTTGAAATCCTTGCCAGTCAACTTCTGAGAGACGCGATCCAGCACCTCGACGGCCCGAGCATTCTGGATTTCGGTGGGGTCTGGTCCGTTGTTGCCATTAACAACGCTGCCCTCATGAGCCATTGATGAGTTCGTTCTCGACCGGGAGCGCGCGACGGGTCCTCCGGGCATACCGGGATCTCCAGTGGCAAGCAACTCCGAAGGCGCCACGTCTGCGTCGAGGACAGAGGGGCGGCGGGCCCTGGCAGCTTGCGGACCAGCAAGCGAGGTTTCGCGTTCGGATCGGAAGTTCGGTCCCGCCGGACTGGCAGCATTAGTAAGGCGCCAGGTCAGGAGAGGATCGTGGATGAACTGCGAGGGCGATTAGCAAAAAGAATTATAAAAAAACCCCCCAGACTTGGAGAAGACACATACCGCTTCCAAGACAGCCATCACACTGTCCTTGTTGTCTCGCAAGACTCTCATGACATGCTCGCAGGTGATACGGAAGCTTCCCTCGATGTTGCTGACTTCCATGGCGTAAGTGAGCATGCGGGTCAGTCGGAACGGCACACGCTCTGGGTACTTCTCGCGTTTCATAGCCACTTCGAAGCAGTCGCCAAAGTCGATGTGAATAATCTTGCCCGTCACGCGATCGAGCATGAGGTTAGACGGATGACGGTCACCAAGACCGAGAATGTATCCAACCATCGACATGACGCCCAAAGAACGTGTGTAGTTGGTGCGGCGCTCCAGCCAAGCCTCTGAGCTCTTGCTCTTGAGCCACAGCACACGATAGAGATCCTGACCCGTCGTGTTGTCAAGGGCATACCCAAAGACTTCAACCTTCTGCATGAGAGTGAGGTTGTCGTAGTCTGGAGCCATCTGAAGCATGATGCGATGCTCGATATTAAGGAGAATCTTCCTGCTTTCACGATATTCCCTAATCAGAACGTGAAGGGTGTCGCTGTTGGGCACCCATCCCAGCAGACCCGAGTTTTGTGACAACGGGATGGCCGGGTAGCGTTGGATGTTCAAGTGACGCTTGTAACATTCAGAGTCGTTTGCCAACAAGGTATTGCACAGACCGAACAACTGCATAACTCGCTCGTCTTGGCGGATATCCTCGTGGCCCTTGAGCAAGAAGGCGTATGACACACCGTCGCTGCCGCTGATGTTGAGCTTGCGAGGCCTCTGCTTACTATTAATAACAGTGAAGGTGCCCTCAAACTCCATGATGCGGACAATTGGTTGACCACTGCGGTAGGTTCCGGGCACAGCGAGATCAAGATCCTTGGCGGCCAATAGCTTGGGCGAGCAGTATGGCAGCTCGAGAGTTGTAAGCTGGGGCAGTTGTCGTGAGATGCGCCGGAATACTTGATAGTAGAGATCCCAAGCCTGGTTGAGATCGTTGACGTCTCTGCTGGCCTCGTACTGGCGGCACCATTCGCGGGCCTCGGTGAGGTCTCTGCCAAAGGCTTGTGTGAAGGAGATCTCGCGAAGAGTCTCTGGGCCACGCTCGAGTTGATCATGGAGAGGCTCGAGGGTGGCGAACATGCCTTCAATGTTGTGGTCACCAAAGTACAGTCGCGATGCCTCCTCAAGACCCTCATGCCACTGTTCATGCCAAAGAACCGCGACCCTGATAAGCTCGTGGCTGACAATGTCGGCTTGGGAAACGAGGTTGGCGCTGTGTTGACGCATACTATCCATAATCTGAGCAGCGGACCTCGAACGGCGGGTGTTTTGCGAAGATTTCATCGCTACCGTCAGCGGGTAGACCAGAGCCTGCGGATGGGCCCTACCAACATCCGCGAGGAGGCTATGAATCGACTGCTGAACTCGGCGTGTCGGCTGGTTGATTCGAGCGATGAGTTGGGGAATGACTTCCAGCCAGGTGTCGACGCTGACATTTGTAAATCCTTCAGTGACGGCAGCATTAACGTCGGCACTGGCACCATGCGTGAACCACAATGTCAGAAGGCGAAGCGTGTCTTGCAGAGAGCTTCCCGCAGACAGCGCGATTGACTTGAAGAAGCCTCTGACAGCCGGAACCACATGCTCGACAACCATGTGATCAGTTCTCTCGCCTCGGGTAGACAGGGCCTGGACAATCTCAAAGTTGGCCAGAGCCCAAGCGTGCCAAGCCTTGTACCAGCGCGGGTTGTACTTAGTAGCCTGCGAGTATGAAGTCAAGATATCCTGGACGTGCTCGTACTGCCAATTCTCCTTGTTCAGGTCGATGAGCCATTCACCTTGGCGCAGGTAGCACTTGGCCAACAGGACAGTCTGGTCGTAGAGCGCCTTCTGGGTCTGAGGGTTCATCAGACTAGGGTCGATCTGGTGAGGGAATCCGTAATCACTCGACAAGTCCATGCCGTTGGGAGCCTGGGCCGTAAGATGCGCCTTGGTCGCCTCGTATCGGTGGGCCGAGTCGTTTGTAAACTTGCGCAGACAGTAAAGAGTGCGCTCGGCAATGCCAGAAGTGCGGAACGCGGGCTGCTGACCGACTTCCCACTCGTACTTGAGCATGGCATAGATAACCTGCGACGGGATGTTTCGCGGCATGGTGGCATTCGGCTGCTGTCTCTCGTTCCAGTAAGGGATCAAGGTCTCCAGAGGAGCCTCGACACCAATGATCGACTTGAGAGACTTTTCAGCGAGGCCCATGCGACCAGATTTGCGGCAAAGGTTGGCAAACTTGATCCACATGTGCATGTTCTCGGTCGGCGTAATGACCAGGTTGCGAAGACGGAGCATCCTCTGCCATACCTCCACGTTGCGCTGACATCCCTTGAGTCTCGTCTCCCAGGTGCGCCGCATTGTCGCCTTCTTTTTATCGTCCGTCTGCTTGTAGACGATGAGCTCTTCCAGCTCGGCCAGCATCTGGACTCTGACCACGACCTGATACGCTCGATTGTACGACTCACTAACCAACGCACTAAGTTCGGTATCAAGTCCTTCTCGAGCTTGCTGCACGCAGTTGACAGCTTCCCTAAACTGGTTCCGGTGCAGAGCGAGAATAGCGCCAAAAAAGGAACGATCGGTGGAGTATCGCTTCATGGACTGCAAGTAGTTATCCATAGAATCCCACTTGCTGAGGCCCCATGCAGCGGCTGTTGCGAGAGGCGCGATGAGGCGCTGTACGTCTGGCGACGAGTTGGCCCAAGTTGTGCCTGCTATGCCAGCAAGAGCTTCCCACTCGCCGAGAGCGTGTAAACAACGCATTTTACCCATAATAATCTCGACGGGGACAGCCTTGTCTTCCGGGACTTCGGACTCGCGCTTCGAATAAAAGGCAAGGGCCTCCTCCCATCTCTCCAGCTTTTCGAACCACGTCTCTCTAAGTTGAATTCCCTCTTTGTAAAGCTGTGCTTTACGGAGAATACCGATGGCTGCGTCAGACTGCTGAAGTTGGTTGTTGATCACGATAAGAGCTTCAACCGCACCACTGCTCTGGTCCTGCAAGAACTCCAACTCCTTGTAGTGAAGGGCCTTGGCGTAGGCGTGGCAACGAGCGGCCTCCCGACCGAGAACTCTAATATCGATGGGCAGGGCCTTGTCGTCGTGTTCCATAAACTCGGCGAGGTTGAGCAGGAGGCCGAGCAGATCAGGGGGTACGTTCTCGGACTTGATGGCGCTCTCGATATTCTGAATCAACTCGTCTTGGAACTGTTCGTAAAGCTCGCTCCAGCAGGACACGAAGGCAGAGTTGAACAGCTCGCGGGCCAGCGGAAGGTAAGAGCTGGCGAGTGCGGCACACGCACGAAGCGCGTGGTTGGGTGATTCGGTGAGCAAGGTCGTGGAGAACCTACGAAGCCATTCCTGCCAATCCTCCTTGGTTGACTTACCCTTCGTATCCCACGCCTGCTTGAGATGAATGGCATTCATCTCCAACTTCTTTGCACCCAGATCCGCAAACGCTGCCTGGTCATCGACCCGGTCGACAAAACGGTCTCCGCCGCCGAGATCTTGCGGGAGCACCTCGCCCTTTTGGAGCTTGTTGACGAGCAAGTCATAGTTCTGGTGCTGAATCTGGTGCAGCGCGAGAACCTTGTTGACAGTGCCCATGAAATGAAGATAGTCTTTGCCGAGCTGTTGAATCAAAGCGCACAACGTGTCGAGAGCGGCGACCCTCAAGGCGATATCCCCGCTGCCAAGAATTCGGGTGAGGGGATGGATAATCTTCGCGGCGTAGTCGTTTAGGTTGACCTGATACGTAATCTTGCCAATCGTCTCGATCGCTTGCTTCCTCAACGGAGGGGGCTGCCCTTGCTTCTCGAATGTCCTAACAATAACGGGAATGATCAAGTGCATGTACTCCTCGGCGCTTGACCCGAATACCAGAAAGGCGTGAAGGACCTTTTCAGAAGGCGTGCGCCGCGTGGTGGTATCCTTCTCCAGTACGCCAAGCATGAGAGGCAGTAAGCCGGCGAGGTAAATCTTGAACTCGCCCTCCAAAGAACGAGAGATGGCCTCCACCAGGCTCATGA